TTTAAAATACATTTCTGTGCAAATCAATGGGCATATATCCTAAGAATAACCAATTATTAATAACCCACCATTTCCACCATTAGAACATTATTTCTTCCACATAAAGCTCAATGGCGGATGTTAGATGCTGACATAGTATTCTGTGACGGCCTTGTACTAAGAATTAATCCAACCAAATGCTAAAAACAGAAGAGACAATAGGCCAAACAGAGTGCACACACTGTCAACAGAAAATAATGAAAAGGCAGCAATATAATGATGTATGTCCATAATATATAAATTTCACTAATGATGACTCAGACCATCCACTGCAAACGCAATTTGATACAGGCATGCTTGCCCACACTTTGAGGCTGAGAGATTGTAAATGTCAGTGGCTTGTCACTCAGACTCAGTCCCACATGGGCAGTGAGATGGAGCCTGCTAAAAGGGAAGACCAAATGACAGTACAGACATTAGTATCCTGTCTGTCTCATTCAGTGTCCAACTGTCGATCTCTGGATGTGTTTGAGGCACTACTTTACCACTTTATGCATTTTCAAATTTCTATTCAGTGCCTGATTATCTTCATTCAATACCTCACTGCTAGATGTTGATTGGTTCTCCTCCTTGAATAACTGTTAAAAGTCTCGCAATTGGCTGCAGATTCAAATTGCTTTCCCCAATTTCAGTGGGGTTAAGATGAAATGGAAAAGAAATGGTGTCTTAGATTCAGGGATCAGATATGAGTGAATGTGTCTTCTTCCTTCGCCACAGAAATGAAAAGTTAAACCTTTGAAAAACATCATTACAAATATCAGACATCCTGAGATATAAAAGCTTTTTTAAAAACAAACACACAATACAGTTGATGACTGATCTAGTCTTTTACCCTTTCACTCTTTCTGCGACTTTCATTTCACGTCTGTGAATATTCATTAGGATGGCATAATTTCATTGATATTTGCATCTTAATTTGATGATCCAGTGAATTCACTGTTCACTGATTTAAAAAATGTTTGTCACATTTAATTTTGTTTTGCAGAAGGTGATAATTATATTTAAAGCGAGAAGAGAAACATTTCAGGGTCCTCCCTTCCAAATTGAAAAATTGTTATGTTTCATTTTAATTATACAAGATTATACTGTACAGACCACTATGGGTTAAGATGTCTCCACCACTTGACAAGAGTGATATGCATATGGTCTATGACAGCAGTCCAGATCTGGTATAGATCCCAGCCGAGCTGTGCACAGTCGTTTCCACTCTGCACATGCCAAGACTCAATGACACAATACCAGTCCAGAGCCAAATGGCCACTAGGCGTTTGTATTAGTTTAAATAAATCCCACTTTGGAGAGGAATATATTCCTCTGGACATTGATGCAGTGCTGTATCCTGGGGTTTGAATAAAGTGACTCCAAACACACCAATGATTTCCATCTGCTCAGTGAGTTATGCTTGTAAATTCTGCAATTAGATGCATAGTTAATTTCTCCTATCTATCAGTATATAGCTCGTGAGTTTGGTTGTGAAGACCACCAAGCTGTCAAGTACTGGCACCAAGTCGAGAACATTTTATCTCGCAGTGCAATGACTCGTGCAGTGGCTGAGCTGAAGAATTCATTAAGTCTCTGGTAAAGTCACCATGATGTACGTTTTCACACTTAATTTTCAAACTTCACTCATTTCCTTTGTGATTAAAGGCATCTGCATTCTTAAGGATGGATTAGTTTTAAAGTTCCATCAGGAAAAATATTCTTGCAGTGAATGAGATTACCAAGAGAATGTCTAAAATAATTAGTAACAGCCACTTGAGGTATCTTTGGGACAGGCACAAGCTCCTGGGCAGAATGAGAGTGACCATGAAGTGGAACTGGACAGCTTGGCAGCAGCTCTCAGGAAGCAACATGGCCTCCTGGTTGGAAGCAGGATCTGGAGATTCAAGGATCATTAGAAATGGACCTTAATACATGAATGGAGCTGAAGAGAAAATGAGGAACAATACAATAATCAGCACCTCAGTCAATACAAAACATTTGCTGCAAATAGTAATTTAGTTCTTGGCATAATACTTTCTGACTCCCCTCCCTTTAAGACACACATACATACAGTACATGAAGTCACAGCCAGGGCAGCTTCTAGAGGGTTAAAGGGCTATTAAGTAATCTATTACTCCATTTATCAGTGCAAGAGGGAAGTGCAAGCACAGCAGTAGCCTCCTACACAAGTCTGTCACCCCACCCCACCCATGACAACCCTCCCATCTGTTTGGCCTCTAATTAATATGGACCATAAAGTTGCGTTTTCACTATAGAGATGAGCTAATGAGAAAAGAGATCCATGAGATGCAAAACACTGTTGCAATAAAACTGCTTTGTCATGCGCCATTTGAGCTTGAAAATAAAGCTTTTTAGCAACAGAAATATGACACACATGTTCTCTTTCTCTCTCGTAACACTGTTCTCAATCACTTGGCAGCTAAAAACAAAAGTAGGACAAACAGTAGGAGGATTTTGAGATTCTAACAGGTGGGAAGGTGTCGTTCCAAATCTGAGAGTAAGATTTGATTAAAAGCCATAAATTACAGCACATGGTCATATGCTCAAAGCACGCACATTATACAGTGTATTTTGCTGATTTTGTGCACTGAAAAATGTATTTCTCCTTTAGACTACCAGAACTCTTTCACCATTAAATCTCTGTTTTGAAAGTCAGACTTTGTACTGTATATATGTGGAATTACTGAGATTGAAGCACGTTCCAAATTTGTGTTTGACCTGTGAGATAGAAATTTGGATTGTAGGATGCGTATTTTGATGTCACAGTTTCTAAGATCATTTTACTGACTGCGATGATAGAGAACAGTAAACATGTAAAACAAATCCCTGGCTAGATATGGGGAAAACAATTTACAGACTTATAACTCTCTGAGTTTGCAGAGTTATAAACATAACAGCAAGGTGAAATACAACAGAAATGAAATCACATCACTGTTTGAGGGGTTTGTGAGAAAGGTAAATGATATTTCCCACACTTTCCCGCTGAGAAAGGCTAGGAGGAAGGACCCTTTGCATCCCTTTTAAATCCCTCAGATGTAGTGGACTGCTGTAGAGTACATCCTAAGTCTTCATCTCCCCTTTACCCCACACACACACATACACACAACAGTGACAGGGGCAGCAACTCTCCTTTGGCAGGGACACTAAGTACTGAACAGCTCTGAGCACAGCAGGAGGCTCTGGCCACCTGCATACTGTGGAGTGGAGATAGAGAGACAAATCCTACACTGAAATTGGTGATAGACACTACAACATTTCCTTTTTCCACTCCAAGGATTCTGGCAATTTGTTTTCAAGGTTTACACTGCACTTAGGTATGAGAACTAGCATAAAACAAAATAAATCAAAGATTTCAGATTGCTGTTGGTGCTAAAACTGATTCACTTTTATGTGTATATACAGGAAGAGAAAAATGCCTTTATTGTTCCACAGGCCCAATAAAGACCTATGCAAAATGTAAACAATGTTTGAGCCTACCTCTGAGCCTTGTTACAAGGGCCAACTACTGTGCAGTGTTCATTAGAGTGGAAATGATATGTGCAAACAAAGAGAGGCGCCCAAGCAGCACACACTGCTGCGTCTTTTCATCTCAGAATTGCAAATGAATGCAGCCTCCTCACCTGGTCCCTGCAGGCAGTGTCCCAGTGCCTCCAATCAGTGTTTTATTGACAGTAGGCATCCAGCAGAAACCCGGGAGTGCTAATAGTTGTGGATGATGCCTGATAAACACGTTCTCCCCTCTAACTGCTCCCCCACACATTTTACTGCATGGCAGGGTGGCCTCCAACCAAGGTCAAAATGTGGAGATGCTTGGCAAACAGAGCTGCTTATGCAAAAACTGGCACACAGTTTTACTGAAGAGTCAGTTCTGACTCAGTTTGGCTGTTCTCCATCTGCTTTGTAATTGTAAAAGGTGCATCTTTGTCCATACTAACACAGAAGGAGGCAAGTGCTTTCCATGAATGTATAGAGAAAAGACATATTTTAGACAAATTCCAAATTAGATTTAAGGGATATGAGGAAACAGCAAACTCAGATGCTCTGCTCAATGAGAACATTAACTGTATGTACATTCATGTTAAAACTATTGGCATTCTACATTGTATAGGGGAGTGCTGTCTATGGAGGTGCAGCATTAGACTCCCAGTGCAGCAAATGTCTGTGTCCAAACCATTTTGTCTAAATAACAGGGAGGGTGGCACCGTAAACACAGCCTTGCTTGGCTTTGTCGAGCTAATGACTTCCTGCTCCAGTGGCTTGTGAAACAGTGTTAGAGCCAAAATAAGTAAAATTGGGAGCAGAATTTAATCTGTCACTCAATAGAAAGCCTTTAAGCAGAAACATGCAGCCACCCAGAGGGTGCACGCAAGTGAAGTGAAATTACAGAAAAAGCTCCCTGGCACCGAGTGAAGCACCGGAACAGGTTGTGTATAGGAATGAGGATTACAGATTGGTTGGATAAATAGGGGATTCCTTAAAGCAAAACACACCAAGTGAATGTCAACCAAGGTGGTAATCTAAAACCATCAATCCCTTTGAATCTAGCTAAGCTTCACCTATGTAGAATAGAGATTGATGTGGGGAGGAAGACTGTGCTTCCTCTCGCTTTCTGATCCTCCTGAATTTGCCCCAAGCTTTGGTTCTGAACCATGCAGCTGTGCAGCAGTCATATTAACAACCCAAGGGTTGCAAGGTAGTGTGAGCAACGTTCAGTCTAACAACGGCTCAGAATTAATCATTGTTTGCTGTTTGTTTCCTCCATTGTCTCCTGGGAAAACTGGATGGGTATGATGAGAAGTTACTCTGGGGTAGATGAGCTAAAATTAATCAAACACATCAATGACTTGTTTTTCTAAAACCGTCCTGCCTACGTTCTAACCTGCTTTTCTCCAACTGTTTTCTGAAACAAAATCACGTCCAAATTACATCTCTATGCAATGACAGCAAGCCAACATTGATTCTGTAAACAAACAGCTGAATTTATTTACTAAAAAACTCCAAAATCACTCATATTACAAATGGTGATCTGTTGAATAATGAAAATAGCGTTTCCAAAAGATATGATGGAGTGTACAACCTTTTGAAACATTATGTGTAGTGCCAGCAGCTCCAACTTAGAGGCAGTGAAACTTAAACAAGTCTATTCAGAATCACTGACATCAAAGTTTCCTGTGCTCCACATTAATATTCATGTGTGAAGCAAAGAAAAAAAAATGGAGAAAATAAGACATGAAATGCAGATTAGCCTCTTGTGAGAAGATATGCAAATAGCAAGCCAGACACTTGAAGCTTTTCTTTGTACATGAGCAGATACTCCACAAGCACATAAACTGTATATGCATCTGTATTCAAATCTACCTACAAGTCATTTAAATAGAGTTTAAAATTCATAAGGTAACAATCATCTACGTATATCATTATAATTCTGTAAGGCCAAATATAGAAATAACCAGCAAGTTTCATGTGTCTGGACAGCAACAATTACATAAAGGTATTAAATTATAAGAGAAGACTGGCTTTAATTTAAGTGTATTTTTGGCAGTGCTCTATGAGGTAATACAGAGTAAACAGGTGGCTAATTGAGTACAAATAGGAGTCTGACATATCATAGTCAACATCAGAATCATTTTAGATATTAAAATGCACACAGCCTGGGAATAATTCAATATCACAGTATGAATTTTAATGCTGCTCATTGGTGGTGATGGACAAATAACCTCCCAAATTTTCTCACATGCAAAAAAAAATCACCAATTTAATGAGCACAGTCTTTGGCACCTTAAAAGGGGAGGACCATGTTGTACTGAAAAGGATGTAATTATTTCACTGCTAAAACCAATATGGCCAAAAAAAATCCCCCAGTTCAAGATAATCTGCGCTGTGCACCTGTAACAAGTAAGAAAATATGCAATAGAAAAATTGAAATGGGCTTCATTATACTGGAACACTATTCTGCAGTGATTGATATTTAAAGGAGCTTTAATTTATGGTAAACAATAGGAATCCTGTGTTTGTCTTCATCTTAAAGAAAACACCATACATCTCTGCATCTGCAAGGTCTCAAAGGCTCTACAGAAAGCTCAATGATATTAGCAAAAAAAATACATTCCCTTTGAACATCAAGAAATATGACACTAGTGGACACAAGCATAACTAAGCCTCAAAAGAGCCAAAGCAGAAGCATTCCGGCATGCACTCCACTAAAAGATAAGAATAAACCAGCATTATGACATAAACTATATCTTAATAATATACTTCCCTCACAAGCTTTAAATCTTAATTCATTTAAATATAATGTTCATGTAAAGGCTTTGATCTGCCAATAATATTATATATCTATGCAAACTATATATATATACACTTTTAGATCAGATTTTGCTTTAAATCCATTGCTCAGCATTTCAAAGGTATCTATCACATCTAACAGCTTGGTTCAAATTGTTTTTTTTTTTTACTTTGATGTCAACAAGCATGACCTAGCATCACTTTGTTCAAATGATGAATATCTCAACTTGGAACAAGAGCCACATGTAAACTTACAGCAGGATAATTAATTGAAAATGGGTTAATTCCTCCCACCGCACAAGTCCATATTAATGGGAAAGAGATAAGAACAGTCTTAATAGTTGGTCAGACCTTCTTGGAGAAAGTGTAGCCAGAGCAGGCTTATCTAAATCCTCTTGGCAGAGCTGTCTGAATAGTGAGAGGAGAGTGCAGAGGAGTGCTTAAATTTGCCTGAAAAGCAGCACTTATAAATAAAGTAGCAGGAGGAAGTTATTCTGATAGAGCTCAACTTCAGTGTTTTGTACTGACTAACTTATTCAATATGTTGTGTTCAATAAAAAAAGCATAGAAGCAACATCACTTCATGATATGAATGAAAGTGCCACAATAGGTAAAATGTGATTTAAAAAAAAAAAAAAGCCCAGGCTAAACTATCTAAAAGCAGTGTTCTTTGTGTGCCTCTTCTCTGTCCTTGCTTCTGGAAGCTGGTCTGTCTTGCTGGCTGAGAAGTGGTGGTAAAGTTGCGGGGGAAGAACCCTGTCCCTCCTGTGTGTTTGAAGTCACTGGAAGCACGATGTGACCAGATTTTGGGTTACGAGGCGCTGTCTGCCAATGTGCCTTCGCTGTCGCTCTGCCTCAGCAACTGCCTGCTGGAGTCTCTGTCCACCTCGTCCTCTTCATCAGATCTGCCAAGACCCAGGTGTCTACGGCACACAGGAGGGCTATAGGGGTCAAGACACATACAGACATACCATTATATCATTACTTGGCTACTTACAGCAGAAACAAAACTGAAAGGTGGAGAAAGAAAAAAGGGTTGTTATAAAAATATGGCATGGGAAACCACAAGCAATTTAGGCTGCAGGATCACACTCTTCCCCAGGCGGTAAACAACGCATCCCCCGAGGTGTGTATAGCACATGTGCACATTGTTATAATGGTTACTTACTCATTTCTATTCTTAATTAGTATATAGGAAAAATGCATCACACATCTTCTTGTTACATTGTGCTAGAAATAGTCTTACCTTGGCAGAAATCTAATATTTTGTCTTTTAACAGCATAAACACCCTAAAGGAAAGCCACAGACACCTTGACAAATATTTTCTGTACACTCTTCCATGCATTAGCATTATGACTGTAGCACAATGTACATATTAGTAGACTGTATGTGCAGTTAGTACGGTAAATGTATGGGTCAGATCGTGCAACCGATTAATTCAACATTGAGGAGTTCAATAATTCAAATCTCAGCCAAAGAAGAATTCTATGTTCTATATTCTACCTTGCTTCTACCTACCATCACACTCATTTAAAGGTCATTTAAACCAGGGGCTTTACATCCTTAGATTGTGTTGTCATGACAACACATGGCATGACAATCACTCTGCTTTCCTTCAATGGCAACTTAATTCACTGCAGAGATTTCATACATCCAGACTGCCATTAGCACTGCTCTTTAATACACACCATGAGGATATCAAGCAAAAAGCAGCAAGAACATGTCCTTGACATGTCAGCGCAATGCCACCCACACATAGGCTAGCAACCGGAACTGTCAATTTGCAATTATCCACAACTGTCTTTTGAAGTATAAGATATTTGAAAAAGGTTGAAATTCATTCATCAAAAGCATTCCAGCCTTGTCATACAAACTGCCACATTTAATCAGTTTGGAAGGTTGTGACAGTTCCCGTGCCAAACACAGGAGCTGACCTACTAGTGTTGACATTTGGAAGTATGAGCTGATCATCAGAATGTACATGTACTTGCTTTTGTTAAAAAGTGAGAAACAGGGTGCTGTTGTTAATTACTGTATTAGGTTACTTGTGTAATCACAGTTCCCTGAGTAGCATGGCGTATCCCATAGTGAGCACTGAAATGCCCTAATAATTTAGATACAGGCGTGATTATCTACAGTGAAAGTGACGCTTAAAGTAAGTGTTTTAATACATTTTGGGGTTTAGCTGTTGTTTCCTTGGAACTGTGCACTAGGCAAACTGGTAGTATGGAAGCTTAATAGTAGTGTTAGAGATGGAATTTTGAACACACTCAAAAGAAACAGCAACTCCAAACTAAAACTCATTGAGTACTATTGTGAAAACAGTTATATTGTTGACCATGGCCACACACTGTATGTGCCACTCAACCTGGCTTAATTCACCTAACAGTGATTAACCCAAGAGCCAGTGTTCAACGAGAGGCAAACATGTTCGAGCACACTGAATAAAAAAACAAACAAACTCAAGCCTGCTGTCTTGAATATCTTTTAAATCACACAGGAGGCAGAGATGTTCAAACTGTCAGTAAAATGACTCTTAAAATAGATAGGCTTTTGAAGCTTCGACCTAATTCTTTGCGTTTTAATTATGATGCAAAGTATTTACATCAAGGAGCATCAGCAGTCATGTCACTCCTCTTTAAACCCTTCTCAGTTAACATGTTAAAGCAAAAATTGGTGTCATTTTGTTTTTGCCTAATTGCCAACATCTGTTTGTGCTTGAAACACAGGCACAGCCAGACAGCCCTCTCTCAACACTATGTACTTATAACAGCATCAAACACATCCATCTTTGCAAAATGGAAACAGGAAAGTAACACTGCTTTACAACTCTAGTATGTCTGATGACTAGTTTCAGCACAGTGCTTCTGATGGGAGAAATAAACAACAAAGCAACAAAGATCTTCAGTGAATCACAATGATGGATTACAGCATCCTTCTCAATAAAACGTATCTGTGCCATTTATAAATAAAACTAAAGTGACTGCAGTGTGTCAGTAATGCAAACGTAGGTATAACTATGGCATACTGCAGTAAATTGGTGATCTTCTCAATTGAAGACTGTTTGCAGGAGCAAAGGCAAAAAAAAAAAACATTGGTGGCATGCACTAACTGGCCAGTGTGACAACCTTGCATCACAAGGATTATTCACAGTCACAATTAATTCAAAACATTCACACATAGCAAACAGTTAGTACATTAAGTGAAAGATCTGTCAGTTTCAATCTCAACTTCCGTTATGCAAGGCTCCTGGGTTATTATCACACCGAGCATCACCTTCCACTGTCGGCATCAGTCACTGTCAGGTCTGTAGAGGTACTTCATTACCAAGTTATCCATCTTCTTCTGCTTCTTCTTGGTGCCCTTCTTGCCAGATGGTCCATGACCTGCAGGCTCCTTCTCATCATCATCATCATCAGATGGTTGTTTCGGGGCCCTTTTAACACTGCTTGAGCTTCGGTAGGAGATGGTCGAGTCGGAGGAAGAGGACTCAGACGAATTTGAGGAAGAAGAGGAATCCTCTGAGTCACTTTGCTTCTTCTTAGATCTCTTCTTGGACTTCTTGCCCTTCTTCCCCCTTGAGCTCTTTCTGCTGTGACGATCATCTGAGGAGGAGTCGTCAGACAGAGAGACTTTACTTTTTTTATCTTTCCGACTGCGGGAGCTGCTGGTACTCAGGGTGCTGGATGGTCGATTGCCGTGGTCCAGAGCAGACCCTGATGCAGATCGACGCAAGCTGGATGTGCTGGGCCCAAGCCCCTCGTCTTCTCCCTTCTTCCTACTGTCCTCACTTCCTGGCCCCTTCTTCTCGTCCTCTTCCTCGCCACTGGACTCATCAAGTTTGCTGCGCTTGAACTTAATGGGTTTGAAGCTCAGCACCTCATTGATTGCAGCCTCCAAGTCAGGGTCCAAGTAGTTGCGGTGGGTGACAGACTTAATGTCAGATGAATCGGGCAGATTGTTGTCTGAGGAGCGTGGTTGGGCTGGGGTAGAGAAGCTGCGACTAAGAGAGCGGGGACTGTAGGTTGAAGCTCCCCCTTCACTAAAAGCCACACTCTGGCCATCATCATCATCATCATCATCTACGTGCAGACCGAATTCACTGAGGCCACAGCTACGGGCAAGGGACAGGCGTGAGCTACTGCGTCTGTCCTCTTTCCAAGATGTGCTGCGGTGCAATGACCGGGGACTGGAGCGGCTCACACTGCTGATAGTCGACTTATTGTCATCATCCATGTCCAACATGCCCCTCCTGGTGGACATCCTGCTAGGAGCCACGGAGGACACCGTGGAGTCCTTATCAAATTCAGGGCTGTTGCGGGAGGTCCAGCGGGACTCCAAGCCCTTCCTGGCTCTGCTGGTTGCTTCAGAGTAGGCCAGGGAGATGACGGAGCCTTTGTCGTCTAAGTCTTCCTGAGCCTGGCTCTTCTTCAAATCCTCCTGGAGGTCTCCAGACTTAGACTTGGCTTTGCGAATTGAGGCGTGGTCTGGTGTGTCAGGCTGTTCTTTGAGAGTGCTAAACAGGGAGCTCTCATCACCTCTCCCCCCTATGGAGTCTTTCAGATTGGAACGCTTCCTGTAGCTTAGGGAGCTCATGACAGACACCGATCTGTTTTGCTCAATCTCTTTCCCATCTTTACTTCCGTCATTCATCTTCTCCTTACCTTCTTTCACCTCTTTGACATCTGCATTTGCTGCATTTCTAAAAGGTTGCATAATAAAATCAACACCAGAGACAACTGACAGAACACAAAAAGAAAGAAATCAGAAGCTCTGCATAGTTAAAGGAGAAACTCATCCTTAATGATATGCTACATGCAGTACATTAACTGAGACTTTAGATTTTGGTACCTTGAGACGTATCACTGATGTCAAACTGCTACAGAATAAATCTGTCATTTTCATTTGTCCTTGGGTGCAGACAATAGTCAAGGAGCAATACAATACCTCTGGCTACTTCCTTTATGTACAGTATACACTGTAGAAAGTGAGGCAATCAACCACAGAGAAGATCTATCTAACTGTGGCAGAGGCGTCATTTAGCAGCCGTGCCAACTGGCCATGGGCCACTTCAATAAATTTGACAGCAGCCGCTTCCCCATTCCGCCTGCTGTCATTAGACAGATTACTGGGAGAGAGAGATGACACCTAATCACATGAAATACCCATCCTTCTGTTACAAACTGCCCCAGGTAATCCTGGGCCTTTTCAAGCCTGGGAATGCGGGTAGTTTTACCACTACTACATTATCGTTATCTGTCATGATGCAAAAGGATGTGAGCACTAACCTGGTGCTCTTCAGACTTCCCTCATCCAACAGGGTCTTGGTGGAGCCTTTGTTCTTTGAGAGCCAGGACTTTACTCCATCCACACGGTCCTCCACCTCTGAATCTGTTTCTGTCTCATCCCCACTGTGAAGAAACAAAATCAGCTAGTTTGTGAGGAGCACCTGAGACTCAACACAACACAGCAAAACATATTCATCAAGTAATTTTTACATCTTCAAATGCAAAAATATATCATTCAAGTGAGATAATTACCCTGTTTTTAATACAACTCAATTTCTTTTAACACATTTCTTACATCCTCACTCAGCCTCTTGAACTACCTTGTTTGACAATTCAGAATCAATTTAAAGAGATTTTCAGCCAAGCAATTTGACTAAATGACTCCTTATGTGAATATATAGCAAAACAATGGTTAGTTTTCACATATTAGAAGCTTTTGTTAGTAATTTCACAGTTGCATTCAGTATAGTCAGTATGATGCAAGGCAATTCAGACTCCAGGTAAGCATGCGTGAATCAGCAATATCAACATAGTCGAGATGTTTCTTGACAAAATGTTCAGCAGATGTGGATGAGTGAAGCAAATGCATTATCCAAGCAGAATGTAGATGAAGCTGTTGGAGGCATAATTAACTTGTTTGGCTGGTTCTGGCCTGCCAGCATCTGTGTGGCATGTCACCTGCCCCTGGTGATTGTTATTGGAGTGGAGCCACGAGACAGCCCCGTGGCCCTACGCTTGACATAACAATCAATATACAGAGACCTGTGGATCCCGATGAAAAGGCTTGGTAGATCCCACCTGGATAAGGTCAATCCCCATTCATTTCAAATCTGTGGTGAATTTTCTGAATTATGCATCCCATTGTCCTAGCAGCTTAATGTGACAGGAAATGGTGAGGGAGAGGAAAGCAGAATAGCATAACTTCTAAGTCAATACTGCCATCATGGTCAGAATATGTCCACCTTAAGTGCTAGATACACTTTCTTCCCTGGCTACATGATGTGTGAAAATGATTTTTTGCATTTCACAGACAGATTTAAAATTGAGATGCATATGTTGTGAAGCCCTAAATTAAATTTGACTTGTGTTGCTATGGTGAGGCTGTCAGAGAAAATTACAATTTCCATTATATAGTTTTTGGTTTCGACATACGTATATTAAACACACTGTAGCAGTGGCAGTGATGACAGGGTTGTTGTAGAGGGGCTGCAATTTTCAATTTGTCTTGATTTATAACAGACTTTGAGTTTGATCTATTCAACTTTCAACTATTTATAGCCTTACCTATCCATCAATCTAAAATGTTCGCCTTGTTTATCACTGAGGTGTAGATATATTTCATCCTATGTCTACAGACAGCTGACTATCTTTACAAATGAGAAACAGCGATGCAGGTAACAGATCTTGATTCTTGGACAAGCTTATCTATCTAAGCCTTGGAAAATGTTGCAAAACGTTGCAAAAATGCTTATAAGGAGCAAACACAATATTCAGATAGGTGTGAGATGACAGCCAGACTGCTAAGCTTTGTCATTTGTCCACATAGCACATATCCATCTATGTAGTTCTCCCAGAGAACAGCGTACCATTTCCTATGTAATCAAGCTTTGTGTCACATATTCAGTCATGTTTGCTCAGAGAACAAAGTGTCCTCTCTCCTGCCTTATTTTTTCTGGTGGTCTGCCTAAAAGCTAGTTTTGTTTTTTCACACTAGAAAGGTGGTGGCGGTGCTGGTGGTCTGTGAGTATTGTGAGGGAGTGGGCATAGAAACAAAGAAGTCTCTGATTATTGTACTGCATCGTATTCAGGCTTTCAAGCTTTCTAAGAACATTAACATATTTAACTTTCTCATCATCAACCTTACAGCCAGGCTTTCTGGAGTTAAGGTAATGATGATCTCAGGGTGACTAAATGGGCTGATTATATTATTTTCCACAGGAAAACCTGTTCATTTCAGAGTTTGAGAGGTGCTTCATGAGGTAGCAAGCCTCCAAGTTCAGCTATTATATGTCATCACTTTATTTTCTACTCCCTCTTCTCTACTGCATGCCAAATACAACTGATAAAAGCACCACCACAAAAAGATAATGGGTTCATTAATACTGGGAAGGTTGATTACACATGCTGCCCAGTTGTCATCTATGTGATACTTTGACTCTTTAACATGATATATTACACAACAAAATACTGAAACCAGCTCACAGCAAAATCATCTCCCTCTTCCCCCTCTCTCTAACACACACACACACACACACACACACGTGAAATAGAAGGTGGCTTGCAATTGAGTGCTGTGCAAATGGTGTCACAAACGATTTGTCCTTGGCCCCACACTACTAGCTAACCAGTCCTGAGGCTCATAGATACAAACAAGCCCCAAGAATTTAGAAGTGAACGTTAACAGCTTCTGACAGTCGGCCGGCACTGGTTGTAAATCTTTGTCACAAATACTTACACTCAGCATCAAATCTCGTATGGCTTGGTTCTATCAGTTTAGCACTTACGGTACCATCGCCATAATTATGTGCTGTCTGCAATTATATATTGACCAAAAAAAAGGCATTTATGGTTGTTTGCTTTGTGATGTAATTCACTCCATACACAAGGATAATTTGCACCTTGTGCTAGAGGTGAACATAATGCACCCTTTACAGTCAATCTATACTGATGGAAGCATTTACATAGTTTGCACTGCACAGCCCTATATTATATGTAACCCCTATAATTAAATATGGCCTGCTGCAGTCTGCAGGCAAGCCCTACTTGAAAGACAGTAATTTAACATATCTTATCTCTCTGTACAATAATAATAATAATAACCCAGCCATTGTCACCTCTGTTTTGAAGCAGTTACTACAAAAATGAACAGTAATGTAAATTATCTGGAAAATCCACTTCATAATTAGAAGAAAAATTAGCTCAGCCATTATGGTTCATCATTGCTGCTAATGCAATGATGTTGCAGGGGGGGAAAATGCAATTAAGTAAACATGGAAAATCATTGCTCTTTCCCTTAAGTTGCACAAAAAGAAAAGAGGTTGTGTGATGAAAAATGGATAACAAAAAGCAAAGTGATAAAGAGTGTGACGCTATGTCTCTTTGAAGAAGCAATCAGAGGTTAAAGCGGGAAATTATGGTCGGGTATATCTGCCACAAAGACGGAGACTACATTTCTTTCATTCGCTCTGATGAAGGTTTATATTATTTAACATGCTAGAAAAATTCCTTTCACAGCATAAAGACTGAAAGAAAATGGGATTCAGTCAGTCAAAGGAAAATATTTAACATTCACAATCAATGACTTCACATTTGAAAAACAAGACAAGGTGAACATTAGTATTTAGAGCTAAATGTTTCACAACGCTGTATTATGAGATTGAATTAGTGGAGTATTTGCATGCGTTGAAATCAACAGCTGAGCTTTGGGTGAGAACATTTCACTAGCACACTGTGCCATCACTGTCCACTTGCTGACTGTGCAGCCATGGACATACAGTCACAGTGTGCTGCAATCTTTTCACACTCACAAGAACTGCCCACAAAATTGTGTCTTCCAGAGCACATGTAAGTTACTCCCACCATGTTTAGTTTGTGTAAAGGGAACAATACAGACTTCTTTCAACTTTGGGAATAAGTCACAGATAAAGCTCAGTCCCTATTTTCTCATTTCTTATCATCCGTAAACCAAAGAAGGAACAGAAAATGACACTATACACTATATAATAAGAAAAAAAGATGAAAACAATCAGTAAAGGAAATTAAGTCATCTTAATTTATGAGATTTCTAACAAAATTTGAAACAGCTAATCTAAATCTAGATCTAAAAATCTGGAGTGGATTCCCCATACAAACTCAGTGAGATATGGACTTGCATGTGCTTTGGAAAAGCCACGGAGGAACATAAGGTGGTTAAAAATCAGTGCAGAACTGATTTAAACCTAGATCCAGACAGATGAATGATGGAGGCATGGTGCTACAAATTTAAAAAAGGATAGTGTCTGATAGAAAAATATTAATAGAGACAATGATGCAGTATTACCGCAGGTCTGTAACACCTTGTTGTTTTTCATTTGGGTCATATATTCCAAAGCAGTGAGACTGGCTTAAAGGAGAATGCCTGTGTCATTTAGAGTTGTAGTCTATTTACCATTCTAGTTTACATTTCCTCTAACATTCTGCAAAGTACTGTGTGCCATCAGATATTTCAATTGTTGCGCTGAAAGCAGAAAAACAAGCCCTGAATTTGCCAAGGAGGCCGACTGTGTACAGACACCTCCAGACACTTGGAACAAAATAAAATGAAACTAAATGAAACACCGGGGCCATCCTTTAAGCACAGCTTTTATCAGAGATGTATACCACAGACACAGCTTTCTATTCTGTTTAAAATTACTTCTCCTCACAGTGTTATTATGAACAACACAAGCTGAAAGTATAAGGAATACTGCATGATTCTCTCTGGTGGTTGAAATTGGTGAGGAAAAAAACAAACAAACTCGAAAACAAACATAATGACAGAAACAAAGGATGCATTTTCCATTCTCACGTTTTGTTCTTTCTTTTCTTATATTTTGTCACCGTATCTTGCAAACTGCCAGAAGTGTGGAACACACCAAAAGGGGAACAAGGAAAAAAGAGAAATAGAGAAGGTGAGATTCACAAACAATAGTGCGAAAAGAGGACAAAATGAAATAACAGCAAATAAATAGTTTTACACTTACACACACACACATAAAACAACTATCCATTGTAAAGATAAATCAACCCATGTTAGCCTCTTTCTCAGACAGAGCCGGTGTGTGTAATGTCGTCCTTTTTAGAGGTATATATTATTGCAGTCCATGTTTACCTCTGTGGGCTCAGAGCTAGCATAACCCTCAACCCCTCTGCAAAGAGGGAAGGAGTAACCAAACAGGGAAAACCAGCACCGAGAGAAAAGATCAGAAGTAGTGAGCCGAATTAAACCAAGTGAGAAATATTTGGAGAACAAAGTGTAGAATGACTCGGGGAGTACAAAAGAAGCACTCTGGAGGAAGATGTGGAAGATAGAGAATGAAAAGATACAAGTTGTGATTGACAGGCTACTAAAAAAAACTAGCAGTTCTCATTTGGCACGTTTCCTGCAGCTTACGAAGATAACTTGCGCTGCTACTCGGGCCTCTAGCTACAGTACAGTATCCCCTCATGTACCACGCACACGTTACAGTGAAGCAAAAGCAATTGTATCTTCCTTTATAGAAGATTAAAGCCGTACTGTACCTGTTGATTAAGTCATCATTGTCATCACTCTCCATCTCGTCCTCTATGGCAGCCTGCAGGTCACCTATCCTCTTGAAGGCCAGCTTAAGGTCCACTTGTAAGCTCTGATTTGCCGCCTCTAAGCTCTCAATGTCCATTTCCTGGTGAATGGATCAGAGCACAGACGAAGCATGGTTACCTCCTCCAGTGTGAGCACCAGTGAATCGTATCAAGTCTCTCAGCACCCAAAGCCTTACCAATTCGTGCTTCTTGCGGCTGGCCTCGGCCTCCTTCTTGGACAGCTCTCCCATTTCTTCTTTCATGTCCCTTATCTGCCTCTGCATTCGCTTATTCTGGTCCTTCTCCCTGTTTTCTGCAGCAATGCGTTGGTTTCTCTCCTCTGTCATCTTTTCCAGGTTCTCCTTCAGACGACCTACGAGGCTCTGGGGAGGATTTGAGGTGAAATGAGTCAACTCTGAACATTATCTCCTTTGTTCTGTATCATGCCTTACAATGTTTGTCCCTGGCCCACCATAGGCTGTCTCTGTTTGCGTTTAACATCGATGACAATAGCAATAAAATTTGAACAGGAAGTTGTCCATTTCTTCTTGATTCTAACTGATTTCACAACCAGTGAACCAGTTATTTTATTTTTGTATTTTTCATTTATTTTATTTAAAATTTTTCCAGAGTGGGTTTGTCAATCAGTTTAGTTTCTATTGTTTAAACATGTTTAATTTTAGTTAAGCTTTTACTATTATGTATTAGTTGTTTTATAATATTTTTTAGAATAATATAATATTATTTGTTAGTTTTTGTTTTTTTCTGAAGTTTTTGTTTAATTTTAGTTATCTATAATAACCTTGGCCATGACGTATCATCAGAGCAGCACTGTAATGTAAAAAGGGAATGGTTCAGGCTACATTAGCTTAGATGCTAAAAAAGGTCTTCCTATAGTGAAGTGGTCCTCTAATATGAGAGGCCTAGGTGATACATTATGGGTCTTACTTAATTTAAGAATCATATATTTATTCTGATTTCAGGTCAGATGTGAATGTCCTCAGATGCCCTCACTTTATATAATCTCCACCTTTTGATAAATAATAGAAAATGAAATGTCAAATTAAATTCAATGAAATGTCAATTATAGCTTCACAAAGCATATCTTTTACATTAAGAAGACACAGAGCATTATCTCACCTCCAAGCGTTTGATCTGTGTCCTCTCATACTCCAGCTTGGTCTCCAGCTCACGGATCTTGGCCTCCTGGCGGCACACAAGAGACTTTTCCACCATGGACTGTTCTTGGAACTCTAGCTGGCTCTGCAGCGAATGAAGCTGGAGGAAGGACACACACATACATACACATAAACACACACAATCCACAAGGAACCGCGCACCTCCTTCTTGATCTCTGCTTCTCCACTCACTCTTACGTGAGGGCTATGAAACTTAAGAGGAAGTACTGTTGATGTGTGTGTGTGTTATTTGTGCAAGTTTAATCCATCTTGGAACATGTAAATATTGTGCATCCAGTCTGAATAATGAGCTCTAGATAAGCCCTCTATCTACCAGAAATGGTCAAAACAAGAGCTTGTGGTTCAGGCTGAGTAACACAGTAATTTCACAGGCTTTGGGAAAGAGCTGAGCTTCATGCAAAGCACGTTTGTTCCATCTGAATCGTTTTCTCATGACTGATAAAAGGAAGAAAGATACGTCACAACAAAACCGGCCCAAAGGGCAGCATGGCACCTAATGAGGGACTTTGCATCTGAGACAAGGAGGATTTGGAGTTCTCCTTTGATATTACTAAAGAAGGCAGACTTCCCTCCTACTGGGGATGAGATAACCACTTCAAGGTCAGATGCTTTTGATGGCTATCACTGCCTTCTCTGGCACGTTTTAACAATGCCTCACAGCCTGCTATGTGTCTATAGTGTAGCCAAAAAATATTCTAATGGGTGGGCCTTGCATATATTGAGTGGACCAAAGATTTGGCAGGCGTAAATAATAATAAGAATCAGGGTCGGCTGTAAGTAGGTGGCAAGAGCTCAATTCTACGCTTTAGTAAAATTATATTTGAAACAGATTGTTCCATTTGTTTGCATATCAACACTTAAAGGAGGACACCCTCTGGAAGTTACTCCAAGCTTGAGTGTGTGTAATGTGCATACAAACACACACTAAACACTGCCATACACAAGCTAAATTCAAATTTAACAGCCCAGAGGAAATTCGTTTGGCAAACAAATGCATCAACAAATTTAATGGGCATGCATTAATACATGACACACATGACATGTTAGAGGTCATTCACTGAACAAATAGTGCTCCATCAGAAAAAAAACCCACTATTATTGTAAAAGCGCTATTATCAACATAGGCCTAAATCAGGTGCATTAACCTTTTTTACCCCATGAAACCGCATTTCTGCCGAGCCTCAATCATTTAGCTGACAACTCAAACACAGTATGCAGTACCTAAACCATATCAGCCCAGAAATGGGCTAAAGCAGCCAAGGATACTGTAGCTCCAGGTTTATTATTCAAAAACGAAGCTATTAGTCAGTGAGCTGGAAGCCAGTGTTCTAATGTCAGCATGCTACATGCTCACAATGACAAAGTTAACATGCTGATGTTCAGCAGGTATATAGTTTCCCAAGTTAACCATTTTTACTTAAGTACAAATGTAAATGTACGCTAAAAATCCCCTGAGTTATAGACCTAGAGTTTAGAATGACATTTAAATTCATATCAATATCTATATTATTATAAATATTCACATTGATCAACACTTAAAAAAGTATCATGATCTTATTTTTGGCCGTACTGTACAGCTTTACTTTATAATTAAAGCTCCAAAAGCCTTAGGCAACATTCAGCACAGAATCATGGATGCATGTTCTAGTATTTGTTTTATGAACGTATGTAGCACATATTCTAAGCGTCAAGAACATCTAACCAACGTCTTTACATGGTAGTGTTGTGGGTGTGTGTGTGAGTGAGCAAGGCAACTATCAAATACAAAATTCACATAGAGCAGGGGTTTTCTGTGTGAGAGTAAAACGGTACCTCCACGGTTTTACAGATGATTGGAATAATCATGTGAATCACACATAAAATGGCCGGCATACAGTAACAAGGTTTTGCTATTATGTCCAATTGTCACTTTTTATCACATCAATAGTTAAATCATCTCATGAACAAACAGACCACATCACCTGACACTGTTTTCATACATGTTTTGACATTTCCCTGAGGATTTCCTGATATTTTAAAATGAAATTAAGCATTGCCATTGGAATGACAAACAAAACCTCAATTCGGATAAATCGCGGAGAGAGAAACTGCCAAATCAAGTTGAGAGATAATCAACGAAAGAAGCAGAAGGAATAATTTGATCTAATTGGTTGAACCATGGAAACAAGCGGCTGACTTTATGTACATGACCCTTCCTTTAAATACAAGTGTGGAGAGGCAGAAGAACAATTTCTCCCCTTGACTCTGAATCTTCGCTGATTCCTACTATTTAAATGCAAATTGCATTGCAGTCTTGAGAAGAAAGCTGCCACAGAAATGAAACCTTTATTTTTTTTTTGGTCACAATAATCAGAGAAACTCTGCGAAAAGCTGAGGTCTAATCAGAGAGAAGTGTTGAGGCAGCGGGCAGGTTCCTGGCAGGCAACTACAGCGCTTTTGAATACTTCCTTGTACCTTTTCTTGGATCTCCTGCTTCTCCTTTGTGGCCTCTTCCAGCTGGGCCTGTAGGTCACTGATCTGGCCCAAGTCCCTGGCAGACTAACACACGCACATACAGAAACACAAAGTCAACAGTCAGAGAATAAGGGTGTGTGCATGTGTGAGAGAGAAGGAGTTTGAGCATCAAGGTATGCTTCAATTATCTGTAAATAACATCCCTTTAAATGCAAATGGTTATTGAACATAATACGTCCGTGCCAAATAATTCGTCATGTGATCTGCTACAGAACAGATTGCATCTCCCTGATTGCAGAGCACACACTGAGTTTAGAGGGGAACATGTCCTCCAAACCTCAAAGCCACTCTACTTAAACAAGCAGAAAAGAACAGAATGTTAATGTCACTGTTAAATATGGTATCCCACAATGATTCAAATTAAATACAATTAAACCAATACAAATAATCAGAGGTATTACAGAAAAAATATTATAGAAATTATTATTTCTTTGGTCCGTGTCATGGTCCATTTCACTACTAGTGTGCCCTTGGCTACTGACCAATGATTACTGCATAGAGGAGTCGGTCTGAGCATTGATAACAGAGGGGCTCATGCAACAGTATTTTTAAGGCTTTTGAACCGCTCACCAAGGTGTTAGGCAGGTTGAGTTACCTGGGCAACTGCAGCTTTGTGTTTCTTCATCAACTCATTCATGTCCTCCTGATCCTCCTCCATACGAGACTGCAGGTCATTCTTCTCTCTCTGCAGACGGCTGACCTGCTCTTCCAACTGAAGCACGAAGAGAGAAGGAAGCACACACACTTTAGTATAGAGTGACGGGATTTATTCATGAGCTATTGAATATGATAAATGGTTATTAGCTGGCCGGGCCGTGGCAGTCCTGGAATCTCATCTAATGGCAATGAAACACAATCTGGACGGAGGTTCTGGCTGGAGGATGAGACCAATTGGAGATAATCAATTGGCTCATTTAGGCAGGGAAAAGTGCAGCCAGTGCAGCATACTGGTGATGTCCTATTTAGAGTTCATCCTCTGTGTTCAGAGGGGGAGGGGGGGACTCGGGCCCTCAATATGCATTCTCTAATCTGAGACATTTACAAGACCTTCCCTTGCCATAAATGCAGCAATTAACAAGTAAAGCAAAGGCACACAGCACTCTGTGTGTCATCCCCAGAGACCCAAACATCCTCAGTCTACGAGTCTGAAATGCAGACAGTGCTCTCATGAGACAGCCATTAATGAGCAGATGGAGGGAAAAAAAAACATTCGACAAAGCTTATTTATCCATTAGAGCAAAATGTTGAAATCAGATATATGCCAAAGGGCATTTATTATTCTAATATGCCACCATGGCTTGATGATGTGCACATATTAATGCAAGAGCCCTGCTGCATTTTTTGAAGAGTGCAAATTTGATGGGCAAAAGCCCTCCATTAATTAAACACTGTTTGTGGTTTTTGGTTTAATTTGCTCATCAAAATAAGGGTAGAGAAAGGTTTACACAAACAATTTCTCTTTTATCAAAACATCTGCTATGAAAAAAGAAAGGGTCGGTATATTTCATTATTGATTTTGAACCCATAAAAACATATTGTGTTAGAAACATATGCAGAACTGATTGGTGTTTAAACCTGCTCAAGCAAATAATACAAATACATCATATGTTGCGCCCTCAGGACACACAGCTAACTCATGTCAAAACTCACCGATATCTTAACTTTGACCACGTCCTCCATTTGGATATGCAAGTCCTCTATTTCAATCTCCATGCTCTTTCGAGCCTTCACCGCCGCTGCGCAAGTGAACTCTGACTCCTCCAGCTGTGAGAAACAGGAGGAAGGAAAAGATACCAGGGCGGAGGAGGTGAGGGACAAACATTAGTAGGCCAAGATCAAGAATCTATCCTGCACATGCAGAGGAGTAAAACCAAAGTTCAAAAAGTGTGTTTCTTGTTGTATCAGTACGTGCATCACACTTTTAAACCACCATCTGCTGAGACACAGTAAGTGTTCAATAGAGCAGCATACTTGATTTTTGAGCTGGGCGATCTCCCTCTTGCTGGGGGCGTTACTCTTCAGGTGGTCCAGCATAATCTGTGCATCAGCCAGAAGGACTTTGGTTCTCTTCAGGTCTTTCTTCAGCCTCTTCTCTGTCTCCACATCCCTCTGGCTCACCTGAATGAATATTGTTGCACATACTCAATTTTTTTATCCTCCTTCAAACCCCGTAGCACCTCTCGAGACTCAAAAGCAGTTTCTTTCCAATCAAAAGAAGTGGCACACACTAAATCGCACACACTAAACTGCACTGACAGAGACCAGAGGCAGAGTGATGGAAGTACCTGGTCCTGGGTGTTGAGCAGTTTGGACTCCAGCTCTCTTCTCTCACGCAGCACTTTCTGCTTGTCTTCATACTCCTCCTCCAGCTGTACCTCCATCTGTTTCAGCTGCAGGACACATGAGCGGTCAGGATGCACAAACAGATGATCGGCGATAAACAAAGTCAGACATAACACAACATCGACCATCCTGTTAGACATGGCTGCACGCACACGTCAAAGATGCATGGATCTCCCATGGGAAGATCTGCTGGCCTCAACATAGCTTTCAAAATAAAATATTTTATTCTATTCTAATATCAATACAAAGACAAACAGTATTTGTATTCTAATTTAATTTATACTTTCTTTTGATGAGAAATAAGAAATAATCTATGCTATGCAAAAATCTGTAAGTACAGTGAACTACATCACTTGTTTGTGAATACAAATGTGTATTTCTCCTCAGGGCTGCCTTGACCAGGCCTGATTAATTGTTAGAGGTTATGTTTAGGAAGACTTTGCACAAATGTAAGAGAGACAATGAGTAGCGCCTACCTTCTTACTGCAGGACCGCCTAATCTCCTCTACCTCTTCATCCTTACTCTCAATCTCTTTAGAGTGGGTCTGCCGCTGCTTCTCCATCTCCATCTCAAGCCGCAGCTTAGCCTGAGTATATGGTGATGACAGACACATACAGCAACACATAAAACACATAAATGCACAAACCAAACAAGAATCTTTTGGTTTTCTTCCAAACAGAGATATCTACCATCTGTCAAAAATGAGAGACTCTTATAAAATGATTTCTTAAACAAAATGTATATAACATGATGGTAGTTTTGAAGGATGTTATGGTAGAAGGGATTTTTTATTTTCTTAAAGGACTTACAGAATTATACGTCACAGTCTGAAGCACTGAATAGTATGATATAAGCAGCTTTTAGCAGTAAAAATTCAAACATTGCTCCATAGTGGTATGAAATACCACAAATGCAACAACCCTGTACCTGCTCCAGCATCTGGATGGTTCCAGCCTGTTCATCCAGCTCCTCCTCTTGGTCTTTCACCTTGGCTTCCAGGTCACGAAGTTGCTTCTTGACCTTGGACAGCGATGCTTCATCCTTAGACTCCTGGGAGGACAAATCCTGTAGCTCTGCCTCCAGCTGCTGCACCTTCACATTTGCCGCACACAATTCAATGTCCTTGTCCTGCAGGCGGAAGAGACACAGTAAAGCGCGCATCTGGACCAGCCCAGTTATGTCAAATGGAGCAGAGAGACCAGACGCGTAGTCCCGAGAGAGGACATCGGAGAACATCTGAAGTATGTAGTGTAAAGTAGCTTACCTGCAGCTGCTGGCGGAGGTTAAACATCTCACCAGTCATTAAGTCTTTCTCTCGAGCCAGCTTTTCCTTTAGGGTCCTTTCTCTTTGTACCTCAGCCTGAGCCTGGTTTTGCTCCAGGTCAAATCTGGAAAGTACAAAAATGCAAACATATGGATACACAGCTCAGCAAAACGTTGATTGTACATAATACTGGTTAATATGTGTCAGTTCACAGAAGGCCGAAGGTTACAGGAGATGTGGCAGAAAAATTGAAAAATCAAGTAATTTGTCATCATAAATTGTCATGGTTTTGTGTTGCAAAGTAGTTGTGTATGAACATTTTAAAATATTGAGCATGCTAACACAATATCTAATCCTAACTCCTGGTGCTTTTGAGCTTGCGAGGCTATCCATGAAACAGAGCCTTACATTAGTTCAGCGCTACCTCTACTTCAGCCTCCGCTTTTATCTCCTTCTATTAGCCATCAATTTACAATTGGGTTGTAATAATGTGCAAAATGTTTTCTTCAATTGTGTAGGGCAGAAACACTTATGGTTAGTGAACTTAACAGCTAAGTGTTTCATGCTGTCAGCTTGCTGTAATTCCCTGTTTTTCTCTCTGAAGCGCAGCTGAAAATAATTTCACCCACAGAGCATCTTCAATTAGCCACAGGGGAGAGATCACATTCTGCCACAGCGATAGCTTCTCAAGTGCTTAAAGTCTGAGTCATTTTCTCAGCTAATGCAATTCCACAGATTACAGAACATTTCAGTCACTATTCAAATTAAAAAAAATGTTAGTGTTCTGCTGAGTTGGTCATAGTGTCTGCGCTCGGCCTTCCAAAGAGAGGAGAAAGGAGCAATATGTTCACTGTAATGTGTGTTTATGAAAGAAAGAAGGACAGAAAGACAGAAAGACAGAAAGACAGAAAGAAAGAAAGATAGATAGGCAGACAGACAGTCAAAACTGAAACTGACTTCCTCTGTTTCTTCTCCAGATCATGGTTGCGGCTCTGTAGGCCCTCCAGGTGAAGCTTGGTGTCCTGCAGCTCGGCCGTCAGTTTCTGGCACTTCTTCTTCAGCTGCTGCACAGAGCGCTGCACATCCTCATTATCTGTCTGCAGATCAGCCAGCTGCAGTGTGCATACACATACATACACCACACATGCAAACAAACACACATTTTTGGTATTATTTTACGACAGTTTAATGCATATAATTTTTATTACATCTATATAATTAACTGGCCACAAGTGTGTGCTAATAAAGTTTGTTTAATGGTTAAATATTAAAAATTTCTTGCCCTTCTCTCAAGATGCCTTTTGCCCTGCTGCTCCGTGTCCAGCTTGTCATCAAACTCCTGCTGGAGTTTCTTTTTGGTGAAGTCCATTTCACGAATGGCTCGGTTGTATTTTATTCGCCACTCACCTCCTAGAGGAAAGACGTACAATTCATAAAATGTCTGTGTGACATTTGGGTGTCTCCTGCCTTTAATGAAGGCCTCGCCTCGTATACAGATGAAAAGGCTCAAAAGCTTAGAAATGATGGATGCGGTGGATTATGGAGTGTACTGTACTGGCTGCGATGGTTATCACATTCAAGGGCTGAAATAATATAATCTTTGAGGAAATAAAACTTCTTTCATCAAATCCTGACCTCATGAGGTCAAAAAATTCGACAGGAAACTACAAAGCAGCCTTAGAGTTTCAACTCTAATCTTGGATAAACCTGAGGTAAGAATTCAGAGCACACCACAATAGTAGTTAGAGAAGGACATGTCTAAGTGGCACTTTCCACAGTTCTTAGCCGACCCTAATTCTGGAGCTGTCAGAGGCTATCAGAACTATAACAGCGGCTAGGCAGACCTACAGGTTCAGGTTCATTTCCAAGCCTTATCATTTTAGAGGCTGTCCATTTCTCCTTCACATACCAACACCGGCTCCTCCATCAGTGCTGCTCATTAGCATATATATAGCATAATGACAACTTGCAGGGCCACCGGCTCTGATCCCAACGATTATTTTCTCATTCATCTAAGAATTCTGATATGCTCTGTAATGGCTTGTCTGCTGAGGTGGGTTGAAGGGGGGGGGGGGAGAAAGTAGGGGAGAAAATAGTCTCATGGACAATATGCTCTCAGCGGGAGCTCTCTTAACCAGCAGGTGGAGACCAATCAGCAACAGGCATTAGTTGTATGCCTGGGATAGAACATCTTAATCCCCTAGCGGTAAATCCCAAACTTGGAAAATATACTTAATAGCATTATGCAAGACGTGACCAAGTCTCAGTGCCATGTCTCCTGCTGAAACAGTCGAACAAAGCCACTAATTCCCGCAGCTACAATTAGTCTAAGGGAGATTTTTCAAACTGTGCACATAATGCCGGTATGAGCGGTTCAGTAAGTTTTGCCTCTGACCCGAGCTGACATGCCCATTAGGCAGGTGAAGGCACGCTGCTGCCAATGACATAAAGTACAATTAATTAGGCAATTGAAAAAAAATGTTTAAAAACACAGATGACCAAGATGTGATTCCAAAGAGAGAGAGAAGTCACTGCGAGTCACATCCATCAAATTTGTTCTTAGTCAAATTTTGGGCTTAGAATTAAATACATGGATGGATGGTCACCTCTAAGAGACAACAGGCAGTTTGTAACTCAACTAACCAGCATCATCATCATCATCGTCGTCCATCTCCCCGTTGAGTTCTGATGTTTTCATGAGCCGAGCTTCCATCACCTCCATCTCCTGTGATTCTAACTGTTTCTTCATGGCATCAAACTTGGCCTAGAATGCACAGAGACCCACATCAATCAGAAAAAGAGCGTGACAGTCACATTAAAATCTGAAATTTTGAAATATCATGATGTTATAGTGCATATTAATATCAGTAAATATATATATATGCCTGTAGCTCTTTCATGTCCTTCTCCAGGCGCAGTCTCTCTGATGTCTCAGTCTCCAGCAACTGGGACGCTGACTCACTAGTGCTTCTCTCATCAGCCAGTTCTGCCAACAAGTCTGTGATCTGGACACAAACACACACAGAGACACACACAGGGTGTAATGCAAAACTAAAATCAAATCTTTAACTGAAATAAATAAAGTGCAACTCTATCCCCAATCCCAAACACTATCCTCCCAGCATGCACTGTCACAGGCGAAGGGACCCACCCTGCTCTCCAATCGATCCGTGTTCAGTCTCAGCTCATTTCGCTCTTTCTCCACTCTCTCCAGTTTCGATTTCTGCTGCTGTATCTCCTCCTGGAGCACAGAATACAGCTATATAGTTGCATGTAATATTACAGGTAAAACTGTGATATATAAAGCATTACAAGAAATATCAAAAATAAATAACAGGAAGCTCCATGCTGCAGTGGCAGGTAGTGCATTTTGAAAGTGGACATCAGAAAGGTCTGCTCACATCTTTGCCTCGCATCTGCTCCTCAGTGAGCTGGACCTTAATGAGGGGCTGGACTGTGGTGAAGAGCTTCCACCATGGCCAGTCCTTCACCCCACGGTTCTTGTTGATGTTTTTCTGGATGCAGCGGATTGCTAGATCCTGAATCTAAAAAACATATGGAGAAGCAGTCAGCTGAGATGAACTCATACGGGAATGCAGGTGTTTTGTGTAGTGTGCACACACAGGGATACAAAGATTGAGTCGGTGGTAGTGTAATATTAATGTAATTACTTATAACTGTCTTTGTAAATCGATCTCATGAACAAATAAGCTTAGTTTTGCTTCATAATCAAGATTACGGAGATAATAATAGTTTTAATGGTAGTATACGGTGGTAAACACAGCATATGGAAACAAATGGTTTGAATGCAGTGTAATGCACAGGTATCATAGAGAGACCATGAAGTCCACGAAACATAGTCAGAAAATTAGGAAAATCTTAATTACTCACTGGAATTAATTCTTTACAGAGCTCATCTACTGTTACCATATCATCCTCAGCACCGCTGAACAATATTTGAAAAACATTTCATTCCTCATTCTTGGGTTATATTGCCTGTGTATGGGCTAGCAGCTATCCCAGGACTTGCCAGCCTCCTCTGGAGAGTTTCTACTGAGTGTGTTCCAAGGCTGGAAGCTAATTTTTGATTAATTAAATCAAACATGTTGGCAGCTAATTCCAAGTATTACACATTTTCCATGCTGCTTATGCATGAGGCTCTCTAGCAGCAGCAGATTATGGGCAAACCCAATTAGAGCAACACAATTCTCAGCATCAGGTACATTTCGCCCTGAAGGTACTCTCTATGACCAATTAGGATTTGTCACACAGTGAAAGCCTTAACATGGAGCAAAATGCAGCGAATCTTTGACGGAAGATTTAAACAGGTCTCACTTGTCATATTTAGTCCAAAATGAATAGAAAACAAACAAAAGATTATACTACATGAACACCGTGGATAAACATTTTGGTATTCATATCACATTAAGAGGATGAGACAACTGTAAAATGCTGTAATGTGAATTAGGATTGCGAGCCAAGATTAAGACAAAAACATATTTCCCTATTCTCTTCTTCAGTGTCATTTTCATTTTCATTAGATGTGTTTTATATGTGTATCTTTATGTATGCAGACATCTGAGTGCTGGGATATATTACTGCAGAACCTTCTGATGCCACGTTTGAACACATTATATGTTCAGTTCTGGGGATTTATTCACCATTAAATAATGCGTTGCTCAAGGGCATCAGCTCTGTTTGCATGTATGGCCTAATCAGGAACCTATTGTTTTGTCAAGCCTGGCTCATTATTGTAATACTATCAAATGACATTTCAACTACATGAACTACATTTCTAATTCATTCAGTGAACTCTACTCCAGCATGGTTAAACAAAAGTAGTAATGTAAAAATCCCTACCCTACCGTTATGTAACTGCAATTTTTGCCTCTTTTTAGGTGACAGGAGTGAAAAGGACTCATCCTCAACATTTATTGTGTTGTGATTTCAGAATGGTTGGAGACCAATTAAATACAAAATAGGATGAGGGCTTAATATTATGTTGTTTTTTCCTCTGCAACTATCATGTTTTTTTCACAAATGATACAGATTTGTAGGCATTCTATTATCTCAACCAGCTTGAAAAATAGTACATATAGCTGCCGTAAATGGAAACGAAACCTCCCCAGAGGGAAAATGAGCCCAGACCCCCCAAGGGGTTACACTAAGCCCCAAATGTTTACAACATCTGGCTCCGCCCCTGTTTCAAAGATCTATAATCCTACCTGTTACTTAGCATGGTGTTGAAAAATGTAATGGGTTCACACTATACAAAGAAATTTGCCTCATACCAATACAGAACCCATCCATGCCTTTAGAGTGGGGGGTATTCATGTTTCTTCAATATGGAACTGGGATTGCATGTTTCAAATGAATGAGATATCCTGTAGAATCCCCTGTCTGATAAAGGTATATCTTAACATTCAGTGAGCACTGCTACACTGAAGGGAAAAGATTCAAATGAATAGGTCTGGTGTTACTGGGCTAAAGCTAGCTTTATGCATGCTGCTTTACACAGATTTCAATGCAAATAGCTAAAAAAAAACATTTGTAGGGTACCTGAAGGACAAAACTCCCAATGCGGTAAGTGCCTGCTGAGGCAAAATAACAGACATTTAAAATGTCAGGTTGTCCCCTTGAGGAGACAGTTGAAAGAGGGGGGGAAAAAAACAAGAAAAATTTTAGTTTTGTCATTTAACATGGTCTTGGCACGAATTCACAAGGGTAATATGCCAGGGAATATCAGTCAAGGGAACTTGTGACTTTCTGTCACATCCATATACATCAACCAGCAAGTGTCTGAGAGGCTTCACCAGAACTCATCCACATGGTTCCAGAGGCAAATTATCGTCTACTGTACCTGCTAAGACTGGATACTTCAAACAGTGCAAGAGACAATGGAGACCAATCAATTTTTACAAACAGATAACAGGGTAACAGCAAGGGCACAATTGGATGTTATTATACGATGATTATTCTAAGATTGAACAGCATCACTCTGTAAATCTTCTACATAGAAAGAAGGAGAGATGGAAATCACTCAATAATCCACCACAGCCCTGATTCTGTTCCATTACTCTGGTGTCAACTAATTGAATCAGGAATAACATAAAAAAGAATGAGATTCGGTGGGAAACAATACCCTTCAGGTAATCATCGCAAGAAGGGACCACACATGTTGAATACTGTATATCAACAGTTGAATAGTAATAAATCCAACTCTATCTGACACTACTGACTACTACTACTGTTAAAAGCGTAGATTTATATTTTAAGATTTTTGAGTTCAAAAAAGCAAAACTAATAAGCTTTGTATGACCTGTCAAATAATTCCATGATTGGAATTGGATACTGGAGGTAAAACACTTAATCAGAGAGGTCAGAGTACTAAATGTTTAGAAGCAAAAGAGCTCAGCCTGAATGGCTTTTTTAACCAAATATCTTATCCATCATCCTCTGTTAAAAGTTATTTTGACTGAACTGTGGGAATGACTAAAAGGCCTGATTTATAATTTCATGAGGGGACATTTTTTGCTGTCTGTCATGTCGGTCCATGAAATATAAGACAGAAGCTTAGCATATAGACTGCAAACAGGGAGAAACATCTAGCCTGGCTTTCTCCAAAGGTAACAAAACTGCCTACCAGTACTTGTAACGCTCGCTATACCTTGTTTGTTTAATCCATACAAAAACCGCAGTGTAAAATCGACACTGGTTCTTGCCCGACACACAGAGACAGGCTGTTTTTTTCCCCTTGTTTCCGACTGCACTTTTTAATTTCACACTTTTCCTGCTGGGGATGGAAAAAGACATTAAATTGAATTGATTTTATTGAATTATGAATCTGGGTTTGACTGTGAGTAGCAGAAACAGAACTTAATCTCGTTATACAACACTGTGTTGTTAAATCTACCTTGTAACCTTGTAATAAGCCTCAATACTGGATCATCGTATAGCCCTGAGTTGATAGAATCTGGGGTCGCTCTCATCACATTCATAATTGCATGTTGCGGCTAAGCTTATTCCAACCTGAATTGAGTTTAAAAGCAATAAAGGTACAATAAGATAAAATAAAAATAAAGACGTATCTTTCTATTATAGATACATACTGTATGCAAGAGATAGGGGACATATGGGGGCAGAGGGAAAAAAGACCTCTTTGCTAATGGATTTTCTAATTGCATGGTTGCCTAGCAATTTTGATTTTCTTCAAGTTCAAGCAGATTATGAAGCACTAAGCTCTTAGCCTGCTTCATTGTGTGAATAATGACCTTTGAACTTAATAGAGAAAATAAATTGGCCTCTCTTGGTTCCCCATTTTCAACCAAAATCCATTACTCAAACGTTTATGGTAAAAACAGTAATAACTGAAGAGAGCTGGAAGTCCAGTAATATAAAAGGTCATATTGATTTACCTTATTGCAAAGACGACAATTTAATGGTTTCACAGGCATCATACACAAGTGAACAACATATCTACTCACTAACAGCATGTCATACAGGACGGAGAGTAGCAGTGTTGATACTGTTTCTGCTGGTTCATCACTAGCCAGCTGAAGCGGCACATTCACTTAAATAGTAATCACAGAGAGGGAGAAGGAATGCGGGGTTCCATACATCACAAGCGGACATGTATGAGGTCCAGTGAGATGGACCCATCACATGCTGGGAGAAAAATGGAAGATGGGTGGAGCAGATGGGTGTGTGAGTCAGCAGCACGTCTGATAAGGCTGCATTTAAGGGGAGCGGTTTGATAAAATGCAACATAAATGGACATGTCACTATCAAATATCCCCCTGGGGGAGCTGATTGGATGGATTACAGTACAGGAGGGAGTGTGGTAAGGGCGATAGATTTAGAGAACACATTTATAATTAGTTGAAGATTTACAGCAGAGCTGGTTAGATCTACCCCAAGAGCAGAGCAAACAGGCAATAAAATTAGCTCTGAGCGAGGAACTCTCAACTACTGGTGGACTCCTAGGCAACAAGGCCTCTGGAGCTCTTTTTCTTCATCTACTTTATTAAAAAAAACAGCTAAGCAGCAAAATGGACCTTGATACTTACTTTGTTTGATTTTAGAAAAGTATCACATTTATTTAAACATTTGTAACCTGTGTCTTTTAATATCATAAAGTGAATCAGTTTGATTCTCTCTCATTCAAATTGTGTGAAAAGTGTGATAGATAAGTATTGGGTATCCTTTTTGAATTTAGATGAATATATTCTTGGTGTTTTGGGGCTTGGACTAACTTTAATTCGAGACTAAGCCATTCCTCTCAGTGTGACGTATTGCCTACCTTTCTCTTCTTGAAGGCTTGCCGTGCCAGGTAGCCTCTACAGGCAGCTTGGAACAAGGTTAGATTACGCTTGGTCTGCTCATCCCTCTGTTCCTCCAGCTTGGCCAAGGTGCCAGCTCTGAAGAATAACTACAGTAAAACACACACATAACATCAGATTAAAGTATTTGAAAAAGATACAATTATTGAGACATCATGTAATGCCTATTTTAGCCAGGGGGGGACATTAGATTTAGAAACCCGGCTTTGGTGTGAAGTACAAGAGCAAAATGAAAACAAAACTGAGTTAAAAAGTCAGTAAGTGCACGGAAGCAGCAAATCAATAAGAAGCAGTGTAATCCATGGACAAGTGAGTCTTATCTAAGTGAGAAAGCTGTGATTAAGTTATTATCTCGGACAATCAGCCTTGTCTGTATCTAATCTAGGCCAAAGGTAAAACACAAGTAAACAGGCAATGGAAAGCAGATCACATCACGGCCTGCCTATACTTCAGAGGGATTAGGTGCTGTGAATGCATTCCAGATATGATGGCAGCAAGCTATTAAAATGGATGGGCGATGGACTGTCTCCACCCAAGGTCTCTCTACACAAGTCCCAGCGCTTTATAAATTACCAAACTCATATGTGATCTGTTAACAAAGCAGAAGCTGGAAATGATGGAGCAGCTCCAGTAGGGGAGTCTGCAAAAGGGGAGCAGGGGCCACATTCAGTGACATCAATAAACATTGCTTTTAATACTGCTTACTCAGGCTTGAGCAGAAGTGTTCGTCACTGTCAGATGCATGTGTTACGCTCTTCAATGTATGCAGCAATGTTGTTTTTAGACATGTGGCTATCTCTAATGGCAGGTTGCTATAAGGTTATTTGGGGCTGGTGTAATTTGCATGCAAGTGAGGCAGGTTGCTAAGGAAGCCACTGAAATGCTTTGTGAATGGCCAACTGTGCTTGTCTACTTCTAAGCCCATTTCACACTCGAAAGTGTGGCGCCATGTGAAGCTGCCTCCAAACCAGTCTTGTGTCATGTGTTTTAAAAAGGCACATATCTGGGTGCAAAAGTTCCATTGTTTTTGTACATTATTGTTTCCTTTGATTTCCTTCTTGGCTGATGGCCACTTTTCCGGCTGATAGGATTAGACCTCAGTGTGCCAGACAGTGTTTACTGTGATTACTTTACAACGGTCGTGGTGAAAAACAAAGAGGGCCATCAGTTGCGAGAATTTGCTCTAATGACCTGAAGAGGAAGAGGGAATTACGGTTGCACAGTCGGTCAGGGTGGAGACATGCCTCTCGGATAGCCACTGGCTAAAAGAGAGGAAGAAGGAGTAAGGCTTGGCAACTCTCCAAAAAAGGATGGCAAGCAAACCTCAAAGAGGGACAGGTGTAGTGAAAGACACACTTCCCCAGAGAGCAAGTGTCTTTAAAATAAATAAATAAATACAAGGATAAAAAGAGCCATGTACTGCAGCTCTGTGCTCAGAGGAGTGAAACTGGCAGCGATTCACAGCGAAGGTTTTTTCCGACATTTTAAAGCTGTTCATTTGTTTAAGTGTGCTGGCATTACTCACCCTACTCAGACCCATGTGGTAGCTGCTCTTCTCCAAATCCAAGGACTCCAGTAGCTCCTCCACGGCCTGGGTAAAGGCACACATGTACACAAACATACACACACTTAAGTCTTTCAACTGCTGGATCCAGTGGGAACTTCTACTGACACAGCAACACTTCAGTAGTCCGCAGTTCCTCTAAGTTGCCATGCTGAACTAATGGTACAGTGCAGTTTCCGCTCTTCTATCACATCCATTCCCGGCTGGATTTTGTTTTGGAAGTAAGTCAGTAAGCACAGGGAAAAGTTTGGCTCTTCAGAACCTCCCATCCCCCTACTACAAACCAATTACAACTTGTCCCCCCAGAATCCACCTGCTCCTGGCTTATTCCTCATGACCCCCTAGTGGTCTTGGCTCTCTTGCAGCTTTGAACATATAATGCCTATGCATACTGTAGGTACACCATCAGCCAGCCTGGAGCCTCTCCCTGACCATCTACCAGCCTGTGCATACTGTAGGTGTATTGTTGTCTCCTCTCTCTACTTGAGCCTCCAGCATGAAAGACCACATCTAGATTACACCAGGAGAGGTTTGCCACAAGTACTGAGGGGCTTTTGTTTGCCAGTGTTTCCACAGAAACTCAGCCCCAGTGTGGAGACACAGGGGAAAAGAGCTTTTCTCTCCCTTAACCCCATTCTTTCACTCTCTCTCTCATTTCACTCTAGAAACAAACTTTTGTATTCTTTTCCTCCCCACTGCACACAACCAGTTCCCCTCACCAATGCACAGCACGCCCTCACTGATACTTAACTTTTAACAAAACTCACAAGTTTTGGTTTTTTTTGTTTATTGTTCATAAATTTAAAAGTACTGGAATGGTTATTTGTGGCTTTAAATGTAGTACTTTCCAAGCCAAAGTACTGCTGTGCCTCTTTAGCAGGCATGATACTGATAAGGTTAAGTTGATTAGATCATTACAATGGCTCTGATGAATGAGGGTTTATTTCTCTGTCAGTTGGCTGCTGACAAATCAGGGGCAGATGTAATGAAGCTGCCTCCTCACAACATTAATCTTCGCTGTGCTTGGCCCACTGGCAGAGCTGTACATTTTCCTCTCTCGTTGATTGACTTACTCTCTTCTCGTCCTTCACAATGTAATTCCTCCCATGCTTCTTGGTCAGGTGCGGTGCCAGCACATCAAAGCGTCGTCGGAACTCAGAGAAGACCAAGTGATCGGGGTAACCTGTGAAGGTCAGTATTGAATAACATTATTTTCTGGGAGAGTGTTCGCAGAGTGTAATAGATATTTTGGGAAGGACACAATGGAGAAAAAAAAAGTTTTTGGTTAGATTTTTTTGTATTTGGACAGGGAGGTCTGTGTTTCTACGCCTGTCCTTAGTATGTGATATTAGCAGCTGTCTTACCTTGCCTGTAGATCCGAAGAGAATCGAGCAGCTTGGAGCCACGCAGCTGAGCACGGAGCAAGGCCACATCCAGTTGCATTAAGCCAGGATCTCCAGTCTCCCCTTGAGCCTCACATTCCCCTCCTTTGAACAGGGATCCACTCAGAGCCTTGAGGGCATCTGCCTTGGGCAATATGCAGTGAACAAAGTGAATCCTGGACCTCCGCACCATATCAAGGAGAGCATCCTAGAAAGGACAGAGCACAGTAAGGGACTCCGGTAGGAACAGGCCAATACCAAGTGCAATATCTTCCACTACATGTAATCAATAGCTCGATTTCTTTGCTTAAAACAACCAAATGCTATACGTTCACTGTACAACAACACTGGAAGGTAGATAATAAAAAATTTGATTTCTTCATCTCAATTTGTAAAGTCTACCTTTAAGTGTGTTTCTTTATACTGTATACTGTAAAAGCTTATTGTAGACTTCCATATAAGGCTAATGGCTTCAGTTTTTACCAATTTGTGTTGAGAAAATATGCAAATTTTCATGTTGATTTAATGTCCTTAATCATCCAATGGTTGTTTCCTGCTATAAGAAAGTATTGGGCTTTTTTGGTTGTTGCTACTTTAATTTTAAAGTACTAGGTTTGGGGAGCAAACAACCCAGTTTTATTAATATATTATAATTATTACATTGGATGAGTCCACACCTCACGGTTAACATCTCTAACCATATCCTTGCTATTTATTTGCCAGAACAATGTGTAGATGTTGTAAAAAGCAAGAGTTTTTAAAATAGCATGGCATTGGACTTAACAAACTTTGGATGTGAACGTAATCCGGGGTTTTGCAGAATCATCCAATAACAATGATCTTGTCAGGCAATAGGGTTGGAAGCAAAATAGCTGCAGAACTATTCCAATAGCATATTAACACCAGGCCAAAAATCATTTTCAAATCTGTCTCTGGGTGCAAGCCAAATACTGGCCTCATCCCATCCATTTTCTTTACAGCTGCATTAAGCAATTTGTGAGTGCTATAAGGTCCAAAGTACACTACAAGACAAATTCACAACTGAGAGACTTGATATGCTCATCACACCAACCTATTTGTGGCTTTGAATGCATAAAAACAAAAATAAACAAACACATAAAAACAGACTCTGAATGATTGATCAGTTCCATCCTCTCCTCTCACCACTTGAAGCTTTATCTGGATGCACAAGGACTTCTTTTTGATAGCAGCCACCCCTGTGGTGAAGGTCTTCCTCATGCTAGTGGCCCGTCGCAAGGACAGCTGGGAAACACCTTCAAGGCCTGCAATGGAACCGGACAAAACAGTGGCTCCAGCCGCTCGGCTCATGAATAATGAGCTGATGATCTTCCTGCAAGAGACACACCACTTCAGCCAAATGTTTGATAAAAATCAACGGAAGTAATACTTCATGCGACAGCTCCCCAAAGATAGACTCCTCCTGCGTAATGCTTACTTCTGGGAGTCCTGCAGGAGGCTTGTAGCGTTGGTGGAGGCAGGATTCTGCTTGGCGTAGTTGAGCCACCCGCAGGCGTCGTACTCCACCCAGTCAGTCCCGTGACTGTGGCCCAGCAGGAAATGATTATCCTTTTCGCTCTTCAAGAGGAAAGTGTGACCTGATGTAAATGGTAGTAGAGGTAGTGTGAGGCTCATTGTACACATGCCGCAAGATGACCAAAATGAACAGTCTCCTTCGGGAGCTCAGGAAAATGTTTATACAGTCGGCAAGAAGGGTTTAATGCAAGCTAATTCAGCTTCTGGTATGTACAGTCTGCCACAAACCTGCAGAAACTTTACTGATACAGTGATAATAAAAGATGATCTGCTCACAACCTGGCTGTCATATATAATGCAACTGTCATAGACTGATGTGTGATAAAATAGAGAGAAAAGCTCAAATCTGGGATATATGAATGAGAGGCTTTTGGCTGTTTTTTTGTAAGGCCTTCTATTAGTTCTACTAGAAAATTGTTTTGAAGCTGTAACCTTGGAGAGTAACAGCTGTCAAGGTTGCCATCAATATACAAAGAAAGGATTTCTGCAGTGATGCTGGTCAACCTTCCAGATAGTGCTTTGCGTATATTCTATTATATCAATATGAATATAATTCTATTGCCATTCTCCATGATACAATACAGTTTATTATGAATGCAATCATCAATAAACCTGTAGCAAGAGTTGGCAAATACTGTGAAAGAGAGGGTAAATAATTATTTCTCTCTCACAAATGATCAAAAAATTGCAGGTAATATTTCATGCCATTACAACAGAGATTAAAGTTCAAACAGAGCATGTTTATCTACACCATGTTATTGGCTAAGCAACATCATCACTGTTAATGTAATATTATATTTGGATTTAATATGAATATAATTTGTTTTATTTTAAAAAATCACTGGAATTTTTCAAATAAGAATTTTTCAGTCCATTTCTTTAAAAACCAATAGTGGGGGATCGACTAGAATGCTTGCCCTGCTTTGTATTAGCATCATGTCTGAGTTGTGTGGGTGTGTGTGTCCTCTCCTTGCCTTTACTCTGGCCTTCAGCAGGTCCATAGTAGCTAAAGAGACGTCCCAACAGGGTTTCCTCTGATCCCCCAGGCTGCAGCGCCTCCTCCTCCATCAGCCACAACAGGCCCCGTGCCTCATCTGTTCGCACTGTCCGTACCTGTCAAGCAAACACATACACACACGTAGACACACACACGCACGGAGGTTAAAGGTCCTTAGCCCAATCTTAGTGTGGACACAGCATGCTCTGTTTTACCTTCAGTCATTCAGGAGCGATGTTACAATGAACTTAAGGCCCTGAATTTGACCCTCTTTACTATTATGTACAAAAACGATTCTATTTTACCAACCCTTCCCCATACATGAGTAACATACTACCTTGCCACAAGGACATCTTAGATTGCTTTAGCTATTTAATGGGCTCACATTGATGAATCAGAGAATATTTCTGCCTTTATCCACCTCCTGGGTACAAAAAATAAAGACATTGCTACTTATGAAAAGTTCTGAAAAGCATCCTTCAAATGCTGAGTGCTGGCCTCTATAGTCAGCATAAATATTCTGTTCTGAGGAAATATCAGTAAAAGTAGAGTGCTGTACTGTATGTTTTCCAAGTATGAGCCGGTTGTGACAGGCCTGATAGTAATAGTAGCGTCAGAAATTAAAGTTTCAAAAGCGTTTTTGCTCTCGGCACCCTCAAGCAGTTGCTGCACTAATGGCACCATCAATTTAGCTTTTCCGTTTAATCGAAATGGAAACAAAAAGGGGTTCATGAATACGAAGTGTGGCGGGGGATAAGGGATTAAAAAGTAATACAATTAGTATTACAATTAGTGTGAACAACAGCGAAGAAAAAAAAATCCTCTCCAGCACTGATGCTGATGGAATAAGTGCGTAGGAAATGTTTTTGTTGTGTCCCTGTATGATACCAAAGAGTTAAATGTGACTTAATTGGGCAGTGCAACTTTACTTTGATATGCCTCACGAACTGAAAAGGGCATTTGATTTTTTTTGTACTGAAACTTTCGCCTAAGTTTTGAATGACGCACTTATCGTCCAGAGACCCTGAATAAGCCACTATTGTTCATGTATGAGCTCCGCAATGAGGTAGCCAGCTCGGTAAGCATGGCTAATGCCTGAATCCACCCTGGGAGCAGTAAACCAAAAACTGTTACACTGGAGACATCTTTATCAGCAGTGCACACTACACTGACTTCAAATACAACACAGTTTGGAGGAGACGTATGACAACTATGGCTACTAAGGCTGTTTGCGATAACTGACATCTGAGCTACTACATGAGAAAAGAAATAGCTGAGTGGGAGAAAAAAATCTTTGATCAAAATGTTTTCATTTTCAAGCAGCAGATCTTCAGAGTTGAATTTAGAAATGACTTTGAAGAATCAGTGTTTTCTTCCCCTTTTGTTTTTAGTGTGATGTACTACAGTTCACTGCTTCTGATGACATTCCCATTAGAGTGGGGACCCTTTAAAAAGTAAAGCACTCAAAGCAAAACACATTGGAATTATACCAAAGTGATCTATGACTCTCTAAACTCTGCCATTTCTGTTTCCATGGTGCAGATCACAGGCTGCAAAGGCCAAACATCGATTTTCTTTCTTGAAGTCAATTCTCTAACCTTTCTTTTCCTGCTCCTACCCTCTCTGTTGAGCCTCTGCCAAACACCTTTCAATATTTAACAAAGAAAACTTCTGATGTTAAAAGATGATATTCATTGTTGTGCCCTGAGATTACAATGTGAAAACAGATCATGAAAGGGATGCAAGTCCCTTAGGTGTTCTGAGAAAGCATTCAGAGGGAAGTTATTATACCAACACAAGGTTGCTTGAAAATATCCAGACATTTGAGACAGAAATGAAGCCACATTAAAGGACGGAACTTACCAGAGCTTGGCTGGAGGCTTGGTCTACCACTGCTACAGACAGAGATGTGCTGCACTCTGTGTCATCTAAAGCAAGCTCTATGTTCTCCTGAGGGAAGACAGGCAGATTGACAGACTCTTTAATGACTTGTGATGATGCTAAATAAAAGGAAAACAAACATTTGTAGAGGAAATGTAAATTGTGTTGTTTTTTAGAGAGCGAAAATAAATTAAAAAAAATACATCTGCTTTGATTATATTTTGGAATCACATTTAAAAAATTGAATTAAAAAAGAAATTCAGTTATTGACAAATGTTTCAGCATGCCAGGCAGCTTGGATCCCTGGATTAATATCTTTCTATGGACATAAACAAATGCATTTAATCAAGAGGGGCCTGATATTCATGAAATGGTAATGTAGATGATGAGGAATTAAACAGCTTCTCTGAGTATGCAGCTGGATGGGATGGGGAACATATATTAATACATACAAACACTAATTATTATTACTTAATAACACTATACTATATATTAATCAGGTGTATGCTGTATACATGCACTAGACTTGATGGCTTTGCTGCTACTAGTCTATTTTTACTTCTACTCATAACAAATTTTATTTACCTCTTATTATTTATTATTGTCTAATTATCTTCTGTCCAAATTTCCCCTTTGGGGATCAGTAAAGGCTTATCTTTTCTTATCTTACATCATGTAACCATGTTTCCCTGAGTGAGGAGCCTACGGTCCCTTTTTAAGGACAGGACCTTTTCCAGGAACCTAGGAAAATATGGAACCCAAGTTTGACAGCAAGAACTGAGTTCCTGTGTTGGTCACAGGCAGAGCTGCAATGATTCATCCACTACTCGATCATCAGAATAATAATCTGCAAACTTTTTGATAATAGATTAATCGGTTCATGTAATCTTTCAAGCAAAGTGACAAACATTTGCTGTTTCTAACTTCTCAAACATGAGGATATATTTTCTCTTTTTGATATATGATGATGATTATGTATAAAAATATAAAAGATTTCAGGCATTTTATAGATTAACTGATTGGCCCAAAAAAACTATTTTTAATTGATAGCAAAAATAATGGTTAACTGCAGTGTAATTCCAGGTACTGGGCGTTCTCCAGATGAGACCAAAAAGGGCCAGACTTAACTATGCACACTGGTGTCAGTCATCCAAGTAATTTAAAATCCTGATTCCCCTTTTTCATGGTATATCTAGTGAAGGTGCAGGCGAGATTTGTACGGATATTGAAATGAAAAAACAATGGCATATTAGATGTAAGAAAACTAAAAGCCACAACAAATCTATTATAATAACAAGAGCTTTTGGCATTTACGAAGGCTGCTTTTCCTATAGGTAAATGGAAACTCTAAAAGATTTCATTACTGTTTCAGATAATAGCATTTCTGGGAAGAAGTGGAAATAAATATACTAAATTACCTCTACCAGAGCAAAACGGGCATGCAGCAGCTCACAGTGACAAAGTGCAGGCTGCACTGGAAATGTGGGAAAATGTTGGCAGTGCTAATAGTGTGGCCGAGACAGATGCCAGTGTTCGAGTTGACTGTGTATGTGAAGTAGCCCAAATGATTTTTGTTCTCTGCTGTGGGGAGTCAATGTGCAGATGAAATACAAAAACTATCCACACAGTTGCAGCACCCACAGGATTTCATTGGAAAAATATAAAGCACATGCCTGGTGTGTGTATCACAGTTTAACCTGCCTGTCACTGCCATTGTTCATACTGTGTGCTGTTTTAAATGAGTTTGACCCAGTTTTCAATCAGTTTCACAGCTTCTCATATTTTCAGGATGCACAGACAAGAGAGAATCGCACTACACAGATTTATGCAATACTTCATATCGCTCCAATTCTCTTTCTCCCGGGAAGGGGACGTGGGTGGGGAATGTGGGTGGGAAATCCCAGGATCCTTGTTCAGAGTATTAAAAGTAATATGACCAGGATTTCTGCTCAACTTCACTGTGTTATCAGCCAAGTTTTGAATAAGCGAGATATTACTGAGCTTAGAGTTGGGGCAACAGTAATAAAAGAATGTGTTTATGTTAGTAATTAAATAGTAATGAAAGGATATGTATTAAATATTATATAGCTTATAGATGGCCAGTTATTGAGGTCCAGCACTGCCAGACAGAAATCAAAGGAGGGCAGAAGAAAAACAGTTCCTTCATCAGGGAGCAACACCACTGCTGTGCGGCTGGGCGTGTCTCCCAAAGGCAGTTGTGAGTGACTTTACTTTGATCTCAGCAGAGGAGGTGAAGACTGGCATCACTAATGAGAAGGTCTAACACATGAACTTGGCTTGTCACAGCTTGTGACAGGTGGGAGGTATAGTGTATCTGATGTGTGAACACATACACAATTGGAGTTGATATATCTGAGAGAAAGCGGCAGACAAAGGGAGAGAGAGAGAAAGAGAGCAAGAGGTAGGAGGAAGAAAGAGACAATGAGAATGAGGCCTCATATATGCGCAGCACATAGCGCTTCACATGTCCTTACCTCTTTGTATCTGTCCAACTCTTGAACGAAGGTGCGCTGATAGAAGAGAGCATGGAGACGTTCTTGGGTGTAGTTGTGGCACAGGTCCTCAAAGGTTGCGCTGCCCTCGCGCTTAGACAGCCTAGGGTTTTGAAAGCCTGGGGTGTCCACTATGAGCAGCGAGCACAGGGAATTCTGGCTGGATTTCAAGGCCCTGAAGCACAAAGGGCCAACACACACACATTCACACAAACATTACACTGTGATACTTGAGGCAACATTTTATTGATCACGTTCACTGCATATAACCCCTAGCTTTAACCTTAGCTCCCTGCATAACATCCATAACTTTAACATTAAACTAAGTCTATCCTAAAACTTGAACCCAAGCCCTGAAGTTAAACCAGCTTCTTATAAACCAACATTTTCTGGGCAAGCTTTGCTTAAATCCCCCCAAATCATGTAAAAGTAACATTTTATTCAAGGTTCCAAATTTTTGAAAGATATCAAATATGTCAAGATGAATTAAATGCTATTAAACGCATTAGGCATCTGCACGTTTCCATTATATAAAGGTGCAGCCAAAAACATGACATCTTCAATTGAATATGGTGCAGCTTTAGTAAAGTACTGGATCAGAAATACTTACCGGTTTATTAAAGAAATGAGGATAGTGAAGAGTTCAGAGTAAAGCCCAGATGCCATGGCCTCTAAACACTCCATAGCCGTAGCTTTGGATCCTGGTATGAGAAGTAGCCATACAAAGAACACACCAGAAATAGCCAGTTCACAACAATATATTCATAAACATAAAAAGCATGAAAAGCAGTTGAATTGGAAGAAGAAATGAGCAGTAAAAGCTAGAATGAAACTATAGTCACAATATTTTACTCTAAAAGGATGTACAATAGCATGATATTTGTGCATATTATGCCCAAAGGCATAAAGTATTCAAACTGGGTCTGAAATTGTCTCTGTAAAGCGATGTCATTTGGGACTCAGGTGTCTCAGAATTGGTCAGATCAAACAGTGCACACTCATGTCTGTGCCTAGCGGCAATGGCCACCTGTTAGGCTCTCCTAATTCCTTCCACTGTCACACAAAATAGTGGATTCGTGGCACCCAGGGATATTTTCATGTGTGCATACACATCTATGACTGCATGTTTATGTGCAAGAGGAGATACAGGAAAGGTAAAACAGAGGTGAATTCTGTCCATCCTCGCTGTGACAGACTTTTAACTGTACCCTCATGCCCTTCAAAGTGTACTGCAGTCTTGATGGAAGTCAGAGGACATGCATATGTGAAAAATCAATGTGAGGCAATTATGATTTCAAGGACAATGAACGAAGAGTAGATCCAAAATTGCTTGTCCCGACATAGTGTGTCTACTTATCTGTCAATAGCCATTGTAAAGCTGTGGTATTCATTACTAAGATAAGCTTTACTTTCTCCACAGCATGCAATTTCCCTCAGGTGATGAGCAGAGGCGTCTGCGTGAGTGGATGTGTGTGTGGAAACAGAGCGAGAGTGACAAAGAGAACGGGGGGGGGTCTGTTGGTAAATGTGGTCTGTGGAGTACCTGCATCTGCTGTGCCATTTTCGTCAGCAGCCTGGCGGACGGAGCTGGCTCTGGGCAGGGTGCCCTTGGCCTGGTGCTTGAAGATGGAGGAGGAGAGTTCCTCCAGGGTGCAGCCCAGCAGGTAGGCTGCCTTCTGGGCCCACTCGTGACGTGCAAATTGTTTCCTGCCAGCTGAGACACGTGCATGAAAACCTCCATTAGCCCTTCTGCCAGCCACTCCAGGCACATGGCTAGCCTGGTAGCTTTGTGTCAATCCTGTCTCTGACAGGGTAGGATTAAATCTCTGGTCAGGCTGACACTGACACAGCTGGTGAGAACATGCACTAAAAGCATGCTCAAAATGTTGGTGTCTTGAATACATTTAAATACATTTGAAGAACAGACACATCCACAAGCTTCAACAACTACTGTTTCATGTTCAAAAAAGTCTGTGAAGTTGAAGTGATAATTGCCCTTTTTATCGTCTTGAGAATTAAAGCAAAACTTATCATTAGGGGACACAATTAATTTATTTACATAAAGACCTCTGTTGGGAAACACAAGTTTCTCTTTAATCTAGTGGCTGTGTGATATAAACATGCAGATATGAGCGCAAACTTCAGTTTTAATCCACCATGAAGTGATATCTTCTAAGACTAAAGAGAGAAACTGGGGGATTTCCCACAGAGAGTAGTGGGCTCTATCTGTTTCATCAGCGCTGCAGAAGCCCTGCACACTTTTCCTGATGATAAGCAGAGTGGTTGTGAAGACAAGTAAAGACATTTAAATATTTGCTTTGATAGATATTTGCCACCAAAGTTATTACAATTCCAGTAAAACATATAAAAGGAGGAAATTGAGTTTGCCGATTTATCTGAATATTACTGAGTCAAACATTAGGCAGTGTATGACTGAAAGATAAAAAATGACATATGTGCAATTTTTGCTGTTAAAAAGCACGCCGACTCACAGTGTGGTAAGCCTTTTTTCTATCTACACTTATTAGATATAAGTGTCGACAGTTACAGCATACAGAGAAAAGCAAGTTGATTTCATGTGGTCCCTTTAATTCGTTTTGGTGGACTAGAGATCAGTGCTGCCCTCTTGTGTTACACAATGAAGCTGCACTGAAAATGAACATATGGTATTTTATGCAGTTTGTGCATGATAGTCAGAATACAAACTGGGTTAACTAGGTAAGTCTTTTTTTAAATTAGAGTATGATTACAGTAATTGTATTAAAATATTCAATATGTCAAGTCATAACTTTGATCCCATCATGCATTGTTTTTTTCATTAGACCCACTGGGGGTTTAACGAGGGACAGCAGTCCTAAGTCTGTAAGTCACCCCTGTAATTAGCAGATCAGAACAAAGTTGTTTAGTGTCTGAATTCCCAATAGCAGATTCTATGTGGGATGATATTCATTACTGAAAAATTATTTTAAAACTGTTCCTGGATGGTGTTAAACTGCCATCAAAAAGACTGGCAGCCAGCTGGAGGGGATAACTGAAAATAATTTGGCAAGCAATTCTGCATAAGTGACTGGCAAAGTGCAGTGAAGACAGAGAGTGAAGAGTGAACAAACATATCCAAAACACAAAATACAGAGGCACTGCTAGTATTCATTCCTTGTGATTTGTATGTTGTATATTGTATAAATACATAGATAATTCCATCCAGCATACCGTAACTGTTTTTAAGCAAGGGCCTTTCATACTACAAAAGTACAAAAAGGAACTAATAATAATAAAAACTCATTTTGACAGACTCAACCTTTTCAAATGGCAGATATCTAATTTTAAAATGGAAGTCAAATGCTGTGGGAGGCAGATCTATTACTTTAGAGCAAAAACAAACAATCAAACTCTCTTACATTAGGTGTCATCACACAAATAGCTTCAAAGACAGGAACAAATACTCATGTTTAAGAGGCCCTCTGATGCATTCTTATGACAAGATCAAATGTTTGTCAAGACTTGACCAAAATCAGATTGATGTTTTTCTGTTCTGTGTTTCCTAACAATTAAACTCCAGTAGTCTGTCAGTAGTCTCAGCTGCTGTAGCACAAACAGTGCTTTATTTAAGTTTATTTAATATGATCATTCAGCCTGACAGAGGTTCAGATCGAATAGATCAAATACAACGCACTTCCCCTGCTGTATGACTAATAAACCCAAACTATGAAGACCACAGTCGGCAAGATAACCCTGTGGCAAGGAGTCTCAAATGATTTCAGTCAGTTTCCATATGGTTATCAGTCCTAAACCAGAAACTGCTCTGTAATGAACAAGAAAATATCCTGGATACTGATATAATCACCCACTTTTTAAAAAATTTAGCGCTTTAGATCAGCGCCATAGAGCAATTTAACAACCTGTGCAGTGTGCAACATCTTTTAAAGTGCAAATGCATAATTCAGTTCACTGGATTACAGCTGTCTTGCATCATACTCAAGATGTTACATACAGTGAGATAATGCAGGCTTGACATTTTTGAGATTACAGTGCTATCAAAACGACTTTGGCTAACAAGGATAATGTCTGGCTGCTTCAACTTTTTCATCATGTACTGTAGGGTGTACAGATTAAGAATGATCCTTTGCATCTTTGTTACTGGTATGTGCTATATTAGGTTTAGCATTAACCATATGAGTAAGTGATGCATCCACAGAATGGAAAAAACCATTCAGAGAGCCATCTTACCCTTAGTAGCTCCTGCAGCCCCAAGATGGTAGATGGCCCCAAGGATGAGCCAAAAGGCCCTCTGCTCATCACCGCTGATCCCCAGAACCTTCATGGCTGCCTGCAGCTTGGAAAACTGCTGTGAGGCCCGCTGCTTATCCTCAGTCTGGCAGATAATACATAGGTACAAATAAAATTCCTTTTTGCACTATTAACGATAAACATTCCAAGATTATAAGTTCAAATATGATTTACAAAACGGACTATATCTGCAATGGTTCAGCATATCTGTAGATATCAGTGATTAAGTATGATTTGTATAGGCCACCACATATTGCGCAAAAGACTGTTGATGTTGCTTCAATGTCACGGCTGCTGACAGATGTTGATAAAAGCCGATGGTTATTTAATGCTTCTTTAAGCGATGACAACATAGACTCTCAAATAATCAGCGTATCGCAGGTGTTTTGTTCTTTCCTGTAATCCATCATGACACTCTGCTGTGTGACAGCAGGTGAGTAGCATTATGCACAGCAAGAGGGCCGGCCACTCAGTTAGAAATTGTTGCGTAGGTTTCTTACATGGTTTGTGTATTTGAAAAGATCATACATGGAATTTAATAATTTGAGCGTTTAGAGCTTTATGAAAGGCAAAAGTAATTATTTTTACATTTCTGGTTATTCAAAAACAGACCAATCTCTCTTTAACAAGTAGTATTTACCTTATTCTGAGGCATAATTCTGAATGAATTGTTTTCAGCAAAGTGGTTTAGGTGCAGCTCAGTCCTGAGGAAGAAATGAGAACGCAGAAGACATCAGCATCTTTCACCACTAACGCCTACATAATTAGAGCTATTGTAGCAGTAATATAGCATTGCAACATATCAACATATTATTCCAGTGTATAACTGTGGTGTATTGTGCACTTAATTGTCATAACAGCATTAATCCTGACCTAAGAGAGCTGTCTACTCCAGCCATCAGGTAGTAAAAGACATTAAAGGTGGACTCTCCCTCCGGTCTTCTTGTCAGCCTCATCTTCTCCAGAAGCATAGTCTGCAAGGCCATAGAAGAACAGGATGTTAGCATGATAGACAATAACATTAATTATAGGCACTGCGAGTCAGCATACTAACAAAGCCTGCAGGAGTCTGGTGAGAATCTCTACTAAAGGGATCTCAAACTACTGGTACAAGGGCAATTTCCAGCCCTCAATCCCCCTCCCTCCAGCCTGCAACATTATGTGCAAATATAATATAATCTGGCCTGCAAGACTGCAAGATTATTATTTCTAAATGTTTAATATCAATTTAAACTATTTTAACAAATATTACTTAATTTGGTGCAATGAAATGTTTTCAGAATATTGTGCTTTCTCGTAGTTCTTGAGCGCTGAAGTGGCTCTCCTGTGAGATGACAATACCAGCAGTGGCCACAAGCAAATTGGAGTTTGAGAACCCCTGCTATGCTAGTTTATGACACACTGCCTGAGATCATAGCAGATAGCATGAAACTCAGAAGTTGACCACCAGTGACTTGAATAAATAAATAAATGTGTTTATTTGTACCTGGATAGAGGCTGAGGTCACCAGGCCTGCCTGGTCAAAGTCCAAAGAGACAATATGGGAGAAGCGACTAGCATTCCCATTCAAACAGCTAGAGGCATTCCCAAATGCCTCCAAAACTGTGTAGACCGCCTGCCATTTCTCTGCTACAGACAACAAAGAAAAACAAAGATGTCACTAATACACCAGCAACAACATTCACTAAATTCTTTTCATTTAGAGTTTGGATCCTTTCCAACCTACCGGAGAATGTTTTGTTGGTGCTGCCAGCAATCGTGAGCAGGTATTGGATGATGTGTTGACAGTTGGTGGTCTTCCCACTGCCACTCTTGCCCAGCAACACAATGGACTGATCCTGGCGAGTGGTCAGGAGGTTCCTATAGGCAGCCTGGGCCATGCTGTAAATGTGAGGGGCAGTGTCCTCCCTTCTGCAACCCTTGAACATCTGCATCACCTGGAAAGAAGACATAGGGACAGTGAAAGAGAGGAAGAAAGAGGCAAAATCATTGAGGTTATGAATATCAATTACTATTTTCCTATTTTGCTATTCCATAAGAGATGTGTCATTATATGCACAGCCTGCAGGCCCACCTTCTCGGAGTACATCGAGGGGGCGCTAATGGGGTTAATGACCACCATGTTGGGCCCAGCGTGGGTGTGCACCAGGTTACCGCCATACCGCTGCCTCAGGGAGTGCATCACGCTCGACTCATTCAAATACTGCAGAGAGGCCAGGTCCTCCACTCGGTCAAACATTGGAGGGTTTGCCTAGAGTTCAAAGTCAGAAGGAGTCACATACCCACCCAGTGTCATCCGTAATGGATGTGGTTCAGAGTTTATTTGATGATTAAATACCTTCTCTACATCATCTTCATCCACATCCAATAAAGAGCCATCACTCTCCAGGCGGATTTTCACCTTCCCCTCTGGCAGACTGCCTGCCTCTGTCTTCAGGAGGGTTGCTGCATCACCACAAATGTGTGGAGTTAATTTATCATGACATATGATCTCTTAGCGCAAAAGCTTCATCTTATCTCACATGTCTGATAATGTGAGGCAGTTGTATCTCTTTTAATAACGTCTAAGCTTCATTAAAACTAAACAAGCATTCCATGTTCAAAACATGCTGAGTCTAATTATACACAGACTGAGGTAAAATGGAGTAGTCTTGTCAGGTGCCCTCTTTTAACATTAAAATATCAAGCATTTTCCAAGCTTTAAAAGCCCACCTCTATAGCACCAGCACTGACAGGATAGTAAGCTGAGAATTTCCTTTAAAGTACTCATATTAAAAATGACACATCGATACAGATACCTAAAATGCAGAAGTTTTTACTAACCCAAGGAAAATCCATCCTTGTGGACCAGCCATACTTTATCTGTGTTATACCAGGCTTTCTCTGCCGTTATCTGCTCCTCAGTCTTTCCCTGTTAGAACAGGTCAACAATCACAGTGAGAAAAATGATTAATACTTAAATCAGATGCATAATGGACTTGCACAGGGATCCTACAAACTTTCACAAGCACAGATTAATGTGCAGTCCACACTCACATGAGACATGCAAGGGAACTGAATACACTGGGTGGAGGGCTTCTTTCAGTGTCATGTTTCAACTCAAGCATTTATTCCCATTATGCATTAGCCCTCCACAGAAGACCTACAGTTCCCATAATTCCCCTTTTACTTAAATTGTAAAAAGAAAATTGTTGACTAAAAAGACAAAAGACACAGACAGAAGGTGAGGCAGGGGTGTTCCATCATAACCAAGGACTTCACATATATAGAAATACTTCACATAGACAAAAATACATGAGTTTAGAGGGACTGCACAGAAATACACACTTAAATAGCACTAAACAGAAAGTGTTTGGAGTAAATCATGCATGGAAACATTTAAAGTACACTATACTCCGACACGCAATCCAGCCAGCATAATAAATATCGGATAGTTGACATTTTATTATTTTTTGTGTTCTCTCCCTCTACAATGTGGGGACAGTGGGTAGTGAACTGCAGAGTGCTCAGTGACGATGCAACTAGGGGTATAGAGAAGATGAAATCTGAGCTTTGCGGTTTGGGGTTGTCTCACTCACTACTAAGCCATTCCAGACACCCCTTTATTAGTTCACACAGCACAAAAACCACAAAAACACACATCACTCCGAAACATGGGGGGACATGCAACCAAGAACTACAATCGGTTGTAGCCATGGTCAGACCTTAGCTGCAGCCGAATGTGATGCCTGAAGGATGGCCACGGGGTCCTCGACAGGCTTCAACTGGAGAAGGAAGGGAGTAGAAGTCAACTGAGACGTCAGTTTTTTGGTGTCGGAATTGAACCATGAAACATTACATTGGACTGCAATTTTAAAGTGCACAATCCAAACAATGCACAATACGGGGTGGTGGAAAACTTTTACAGCAAGTCACAAATAATTACAAGTAAAACACAATACAAAACCCTGCAGCAGTTCAACCATGCAATACTAAGTCAAGCAACGCTAGCAGAATAAGTGAGTCATTAAAGTATTTCAGCATAAAAAATTACAGTATTAATGCATTAATGAGCAGGGATTACAAGGTGCATTGAAGTGCAGTGAGTGGGTCTGTGGGGAAATTCATGTTCTGTCATATTGACAGTCACAGTTAACAAGATCAGTCGTACACAGTAAGGTTTAAATGCAGGGTGCAATGCAGCCAGTTGTAAAACAATATAATAGTCAATGCTAATGAACTTGGCTATAGAGATAGTATGGTGCTGCCAGTTGTCTCAGCTGCTGCAATGTATTTGAGAATGTGTTGCATATTACTGCAGTATAACCTCAGTATCTATGTGGGTGTAAAGAACAAAAGCAGCAAGACCAGCACACACAGCTGCACGTTGTGTTTATTGTAAACTAAATGCCGGATTCATAAAATCAAACTTTTATTAATCTTGCTGAGACCTTTAAAACCTGTTTATTCCTGACCCAACTTTGGTGACCCCTTGTTCATTACTACATTCAGGGCCCATGAGTGGGGACAAAGACGAGCAGGCAGGCACAGACAAAGTAGGGCAGAGAGGGGTCAGTAGAGGAGAACAAGCTTAGACTCCAGCACTCGACAGGCAAGAGAGTGCAACGAGCCCCACGGACGAGCGGGCTGTACCTGTGAGGATTTGCGGCCTCTGGCACACTGGCCATGCAAACAGCAAAGAGGACAGCAGCAAGTCAGGATCCAATGACCCACAGAGAAGCAAAAGTAGAGACAGGGAACACAATTTGAGACAACAGGAGATTGGAGCAAGGAGAAGTGCTTTTCAGTGCTCTAGACTTTGAAAGGGGCAAAATATATCGTCATTCAGTACAAAGGTGCTCCTCTGGACCTGATAACAAAGCAATTAATACTAGTGAATGAGAGGAATGCAATGAAAAAGACAAACATGGTACTAAAGATGTTAAATTAATTATCAGACATGTACAAATTAGCTCAAAGAGTACAAAAATCAATCACACAACATCCAATTTTATCAAAGTATCCGCAGAATGTTTTTGCCTCCTGTATATTATAAAGATAAACATTCAACACAAGATAAGTCCAGCTCATATTGTCATAAAAAGCCTTTATTTTCTCCTGAACTAACTCTGAAGTAATGTCCAACTCGTAAGTCATAGAAAATACCCCTTTGGTCTCAAAGTTTCAGATTTCACACCAAGTGGCCAACAACACGGGGGGGCCCTGTAATTGGAACCCTATGGACAGTGGGACAGCCCGGCGTGGACCTGGGTGATTTTTGGACACATTTCCCTCTGTCTGGGGAAGCAAGCAGTTGACTCAGGCGGGTCACAGGCATCGCAAGTGCAAACAAAGAGATATAGGGAGACTAAAGTTACATCTTTGCCATCAACAGTGAAGATCCTCCTCACGCGTTTGTAATCGTCCTCAGTGGGAATCAGCTCTGGGACCTACAGTTGGATAGTAGGACCAGTGATTGCAATTGGGTAGCCAGAAAGTAAAATCAATGATCCAGAGGTACCTGCTATAATTGTCCACTTTAGACAAACTGAAAACTGAATGGGCACAGAGCACTCCATGTAAAAAAGAAAAAAAAGTTCTTTCAAAATGTGAGAACACACACGGTTACGAGTACCTTTGCAGGGAGATGAACACACACCTGTTTATTCGGCGCAGACTGAGCCTGGGGTTGTGCAACAGGGGACGGCCTACCATTGGGGGCCACAGGAGGACAAGATGTCTCCTTTACCTTTACACAATATATAATAATCACAGACACATAGTTTGACAGACAAACATGAACACACATAGATGGAAATGACATGGGAAGATGATAATGAGAATGACATTTAAGTTTCAGTTTGATGTATTTTCTCTTTTAACTTTGGATTCAATTTAACACATCCAGCACAACAACCAACTTCAAAGGTGGTTTGTTCCTACTAATTTAATTTTCCAATTAATTCAACCAGGAAATGAGTCAAGGAAAAGGACTATTAAAGAAAATTGGACCATTAAGCGCTACAGCAAGAGAGAATAATGGTTCAAGGCTTTTGTTTGTCAGTGGTTACTTAAGCAGCAATCTGTTGCAAATAATTAAATATTTTAGCATTGTCTCAGATGAATTCTCATACAACTGCACCAAAATCCAAGGAATCTAGCCCCTTATATTAAATCATTAAAAAAATGAGTTCGCTCTGTCGTTGTATGCAGCATTAGAATCGATAATCCTAGTTTTGTCCCATATCTGCTTCTGTTTGCATCTAGGTTATATTTCGAGTTGTTGTGGTTGTGTTATTAAAAACTTTTTCAATCATGATAAAATCATTATTTGAGATTCATTTTAGAATGAGAGTAAGGCTAAGTAGAGCCTTTACACTATTCGTTTTAACTGAACATTCTCTGTATTTAATGGTAATTGCTGATGTCTGCCATTATCAACAACAACATAAATACGCTTTTTGTTGCACAGTCGTATTGTTATGTAGCTCCAGTGAGAGCAGAAAAGTAAAACCACTAAACAGCACAAACCTTCAAGAATGCTTAGTCACACATAAATGTACATTTTCAAGTTCAGCTGACATCTTGATCCTGCCCTCAATATTGGAAACCTATATCTCTCCCTAGAGCAGTTTAAAACACTATCCCTCAGCAAAAATACCAGGTGCATATCTCCCAAATCAAATCCCTCGCTCAACGGCCAAATACCCAACTGGTCGCCAGATTTAATGGGCATCTGTTGATAAAATTTTCAGATGGCCTGCTGACAGACAAATGCCAGCGACACTAAATAACCTTGTCTGAGATACAAATTGAAACAGGGGCTATGACAGTATAGATAAGTTTGACACTAGACGGCTGCAAAATAACATAAATAGCTTTTATCTGAAGCTGGATTATCTGGATTATTATTCAAGTGCCGACTCTAAGCTCCATATAAACCTGACCAACTGGGATCTTGGTTTTCTGGTCAACTGTTTTAGAAAAGGGCTGACAACTTATAACTACTGATTAGTTTACTCTCTATAAGAACGTCATTTGAATTATTATTTGTGTTTCTTTAAAAAAAAGCATCCCACAAGATCCTTAAAGTCCCTGCCTTGGTGGTCTACAGTAGACAGAGCCTGCAGAAAGTGACAGTAATGAGTCACAGCTCAGTGCTCATGGACAACTCCAACTGACCAGACTACCAGAGTGCAAGCCATGAGTACACCCTTAGACCCACTGATGAGATCTGATCATGAGCTGGTACATGCACCCTGCTTCCCTTCACTTGTTCAGGGTGGCTTCATTATATCAGAGCGCGTTTTTGTCAGAAATCAAGAGCAACTTTTGAGAAAGTGTAAAAGGAGTCATTTTGTTGTAGCCTAATCCTAACGCCAGTCATAATGATTCCTAGCCGAAAGAAAATCAGTTTAAGTTGTCTTTCAGGGTAAACATCATGAGTAGGTTGTCTGTATATGAACAGGGTTTTCTGTGTTATTATCACACAGCATGCTCCACCTAGAGGTTAAGTAGCAGACATGCACTTTTTCACTAAGTACCTCCGGTTTCTTTACAGCAACTGCACGTGGCTTTGGGATAAACCCTGCAGGAGGAGCCAGGGGGTCTGTCTTTGTGACCGGGATGAATCCTGGAGGTCTTGCTAGGGGACTCTGCTTTGGGGGCACTGGGCTGGATTTTTTGGCAGGAATGAAACCAGGTGGAGGCGTCATCAGATTCTGTTTGGGGGCAGGGATGAAACCAGCAGGCGGGGCCAAAGGGTCGGGTTTGGGGGCGGGGATGAACCCAGGCGGAGGGCTGAGGGGGTTAGACATTGGTGGTGCGGGGTTCCGCGCCGTAGTAGCGGGCACAGATGTGGGTGTGGCCTCCTCTGTTTTTTCCACAGTAGGTTTTTCTTCCTCCACCTTTTCTTTCTCCTCCTCCTGCATCACCTCTTCTTTCGTGTCCTCTTTGCGGTCCTGGGTTCGGGTGCGAGGCCGGTGTTCCTTGGTTCTACTTCTTCCCATTAGGCTGGTCAGACCCATGGATATATCATCCTTGTCCTGCCCACCAGGTCTCGTGGTTTTGAGCACAGAGTCTGCAGCAGAGGTAGTCTTAGCAGCCTCAGAAACAGCAGGCTGGTTCTGCTGTTCCGTCCCAGGAGGAACCACACGTCTAACAACCCTTCTCACAACCCTTATCACCTTTTTACCGCTAGAGCTCGGCTGCTCCTTCGGGGAGTCCGGACCACCCATGTCAACGTTACAACTGGGTTCTTCAGCTGTTGATGCAGTCGACTGTGGACCACTTCCTGCGTCTAGCTCAGGTTTTGCGACTGCCTGAGGCTGACTACTATCTACATCAGACTGGATACAAACAGAAAGGCAGACAATAGCGCAGATTATTCCCATGGCTGCCACAGATAAACTGTCAAAGATTTTGACAGCAGGTTTTGGGCTCAGAAACTGTGTACACAGGATTATTCAAAATGGATTTATATCAGCTAGTGTATTTCTATTTTTATACATTAAAACCGTCACTCAAGCTAGTGTATGCAACCACTCAAGTTAGTGTATGCAATCAGGCCATTTGATCAAACGTTTTCACTAAATTCTAACTTTATAGCTTATTGGCAAACTGCTGGAAATAATAATAACGTTTTGAAGAAAACCCTTTGGGATTGATAATAAATAATCTTAAGTGTAATATTATACATTATATATAATGTAAAAAGCAATATATTTATTCTTCAGTTTGATTACAACATTTTGGTGTTGTTTTGATATGAATCTAGATCCAAATATAATTCCAATCTAAATCAGGATGCCTCCTATATTCGATACAGACACACAGGCATCAATAAAAATCCCAACTTAACCCTTGATTGTGATCATGATTAGTAGCCATTTTTTTCCTTATCTTTTACCACAGCACACAAAATATTTTGTGAATACGTGCCCAAAAGCATGCAGGTGAAAAAGCACTTACATCTGGCTTGTTCTCAACTTTAACCTACACAAGAGGAACACAAATAAGATCAAACCACACATTCAGACCAAAGCTTTTCTCTATCAACATAAAGGAATGTTTCAAAAAGCAACAGCATGCAGATATGAACTGAATGGCAAAAACACAAAAAAAAAAAACACAAAAAAGTGAGACTTTCCTTGTGCTCCCAGAATGAAAAGCGTGATTTGTACGCCATGGTGATAAGCCAGAAGTCATGGAACGAGCTGGGCGATGTGGAGAATAAAAGTATGGAATGATGAGAGAAAAAAAGAGACAGTCGGGGAGAGGAGGATGTGCGATGGAGAATGGGAATTTAGGAGTGAGCGGTGGGATACTGGCAACTTGTTTTCTGCACACAACAGGTCATACACCAACAGGGTAGTGGGACCATGCAGCACTGAGGACAGAACACATGAACATAATGAATTTGTTTGCTTTCTTCACACTGCAAGAAACAACTGGAAGACAGGAGCATTAAGAGCTAACACGACGAACACACTGCAAACAAAACTAAAAGTCTGTACTCAGAATCATCGGCAGTAGTGTTATTTATTATACATGGGCCTCACTTTTAATCAGATTAAGTATGAAGAGCTACTCTTCAGTCAGCACACTAAACGATTACATCCAATGTCGGTCGTTTGTAACATTCTAAGTGATGGCACAAAATCAATTAGAAAACATATGTAGGTGTTGCCGACTGGAAAAAACATTAAAGTGAGCAATATTAATGGTCCATTGGCCAAGGAATCATACATGCGATTTTCACACTTACACATCACTACATCTAATCACCAGGCAAACATGCAACAAATTTTGTAGAAAGCCTATCACAACTTTTCATTAACAGTTTCAACTAAAATTGGCCTTTTCCTCATCGAGGAGACACAGCAAACATGAGTCGCACAGCAACATGTTTCACCATCTCTGGCCCTGCTTTCATCAGAGTCCACTCCTATAAATAGTGTCAGCAGGAAAGGAGGCCATTCTGAGACGCCATCAGAGCCCAAGTGGAAGTGCTAAGCAGAGCATGTACACCCTGAGCAGATCACACTGCTCGCCACACACACAGTCCACCAGAGGCCCGAGCCCATTACCTTCTCTCTAGGCCTGGTTAACCTTCCAATCTTCGCTTTGTCACTGGAGCAGCACAGTCGGGGCACAGGCAGGGTAGGACCTGGGTCTGCAGAGAGCCCACACTCGCTAGTCCTGAGTGAGTGGGAGGGCAACCTCGGGGGCGGGGTCACAGTCAACACAGCACAGTAAAGCTGTGGTCTGGGATGTGGGGGTAGTGGGCGGGGTGGGGTAATGTGAGAGGAGCTGGGTAGGGAGATAGAAGAGGGACAGCTGCTGAGATACAGAGGGGCTATAAATAGAATTTGCAGAACCACATCAATTATCACAGCCACTTTTCCCTGCCACTCCTCTCTCCTGGTGACAGGGAATCAGTGAGGCAGTCCAACTCATCAGGTGATATACAAACTTTAGGAGATTGAGAAATGAAACAAAGATCTATGGCTAAATAATAAATGCAACAAATATTCTACTCCAAACAGATTCAAAGTTGAAAGCTCATTTAACTTTCCATTCCTCTCCACAATAGCAGGTTGAGTAGAATACACACTATTATGTGCACATCAAACAAGAAACCTGTTCATTCACTGTAAGGTGAGCCTGTGATAGGGAAACCTCTCGCTCTATGCCGCTACAGCAAAGCCGACATCAAAATAGATAAACACATGCAAAGAATCAAAGTATGGATGTATTTTCTATGGTCCCACCATGTCTTTAATATTTGTGGAAGGCGTGTTCCTCACCATGGCTTTTACACCACAAGAGGGAGCTATAAACCAATGTTTGGATTTCTTAATTTCACAGAGGGTTCTGCTTGGGCACACTACTGACCTAAATTTGAGATGTTGTAGAGTTCAGAGAAAAACCTTAGTAAGAACCAAGCAGTGGTTGCAGGACCCAAGCCCAGATACATGATAACTAGCACTCACTTCATGTTTATCTGTACTGTAAATTAAGATTTGAAACATTTTAAAATGAGACACAAACCATTCCGATACGATTGTATCACTACCCTCCAAATCAAAACAAAATGTTTCATAACTTAAAGTCTTTTAACTGCATTGCTGTAAAACCAGTTGGATAAAAGCATGTGTTGAGCTGCCTGGAGGTAAGAATTCAATTTATTCATGTCATGGAGTATCGCCACACAACAAAAACACAGAAATGTAGCAACAGGCTTGGCTGGGCAGGGATGAGCTAATTCAATCTTGGCACGCTCTTTTCCTCTTCATAAACTCATTAACAGTTTCATTTATCAAATAACAAGTGCTTGTGTAAAGTGCAAAGCTGTTGGTTGTTTATTAAACTAATTCACTCAGAATCAGCAGAAGCTAAAGCATCTGTGACAATATCTTTTCTTTTACTATTTTAACTGCAATGTGAAAAAAATAGAGCCTTCCAGCAAATAAGATATTTCTTCCTCATGGCAAAATCCAGAGTTCACATATCAGCACTCAGCAAGACCCAGCACACACACACACACACACACACACACACACACACACACACACACACACAGCCTAGCTGGTCTATCTAGCACAGTTTGCTAATCCCCAGAGTCAGTTACTGGGACACAGCATCGTGTCGACTGTTTGTCTACACATGGTTAGTGCAGACCGAAGATCAAGGACTATACACCATAAACACTACTGATTCTGTCCCAGTTAAACCCTTCAATAATATGAAATCTGTCCCATGCTGTAAATTGTTGTTCAGTGTTAACTTGGGTTTACTACCACATTGAATATGTCATACATGTTATATATAAATACAGCATAGATTATTGGTTTGTCCACAACAATATCTGCGATTTCCTTCTTACCAAATTCTTATTCATTTGGGTTGTAGGTCCTATTAAACAAGGCAGAGCTGACACCGAGAACAAACACAGAAAAGCTAAAAATCTCAAGACACAGTGACAAAATCCAAATTATCATATTTAATGAAGATGATCATTTCAGATTAAAATCTCCATACTGTGTATTCCAAGAAAAGCAGAAATCAGGTGGACATTTTACTAATGCTTTGAGAAGTACTGTAAGAGCAGACATGAATCATGGGACATCACACTCTCCCGTCCTCTGAAAAGTCCAGGATGTGACCCAGATTTTACCCAGTAATAGTAAATAGGCCTGAAAATCTGAACTTGTTTCTGAAAGTGGGCCACATGGACATTATTTAATTTAAATTCAGGTGTGATCTCACCTGTGGCTCCTGCGTGTAGGGAGGAAAGTAAAAAAAAACTGCCTCGTGTAATAGCCTGCAAATGAACAGCACCTGCACAGACACCAGGGATAATGATTCTTGAATGAGAAAGCCAACAACCAATTGAGTTTCACATATTAACACTGCACACTGCAGTGTGTATCATAAAACAAATGCGCAATCACAAATGCTTGCTCATGGCTCACAAGTGTCTATGTCCCATTAACCGACACTCATGGTATCAGTAACACGCCCAAGAATGTCAAGTATGTCCAGCCTAAATATGTCAAAACAGCAGTCAAAATAGTCACAGTCACTCATGTAATGAGAGGGCAACATCTGAAACTTGCGTCACTGTGCCAGGGCATAAAAAAGGATTTTATTTCAAAATATTAAATGCATGTAAAGAATGGATAAGCATAGGATCTATCATGAACCAACCAGCTTTATCCTTGAAAGCCCCACCTCTTTCTAATCCACGCGTCTGTATACTGTAGCATCACCGCACTGGAAAGGGGGAATGACGTGATTTAAATGGGCAGCTTGGGGAGGGGATTACACCATTTGCTAATTTCCTAATGATAAAACTGTCTCTGGACTGCAGTAAGACAGGAAACACATGTGGTGATGCTGTGATATTAGATGCCACGTCAGGTCAGCCATTGGCCAGCCTAGCATTCAGTTTTATTAAATGTAAACATGTGAAATCAGCTCCAGATCTGGGATATTATTAAAGTATGACTAGGATATGTATTTTCATGTTTGTTCTACCATAACAAAAGTAATAAAAGTGTTTTTAAAATTAAAAATCAGTGGTGCCTGCTCGGGTGACTGACTATTCATAACCTACAAAATGGGCACTACTACTTCGACAGGAGGATATCAACATATAAAGTCATTGTAGAGATACAAATATCATGCGCCTAATCCTTAAATATGGAAGTAAAAGGTATCAAATAAATGTCAAGTCAGCTCTGCCAAAAAGGTATACTCAGGTATAAAATAATAAAGTGGCATGTGTTAATACAGACACTAACCAGTTAAGGGACAGCCATTTTGCACCTGCAAATCTGTCATCTCAACTTGGTTTCGTAATGCCTTTGACCAATTGATTTCCCTCAACCAGCTGGAAAATTGAAAATTGTCTAACAGTGCCCCTGCCTTCAGAATGTTGTGAGACAACAATGAGCAGACACAGGGTATCTCAGCCCCACTTACACATTGTACACCTGCTCATGTGCCTGCATCAGTATTCCCTTACACAAACTGAACAGATGCATTGTATGAGAGCTCATTTTATGCCTTCGTTTTGCCTTTGCATTCACAAGTTTCAAATTCTCTTTTAACTTTACAAACAATAGTTCAAACCTATTTTACATCCAAGTGGCATCATCTCAGCAATGAGATGCCCGTTGGCCTGAGTGTAAAACCCAGTGTCTATGATGAGGAGCTTGCAGTGAATCTGGAAAGACATTGAAAGCTTTGGAAATAAAACAGAGGGGACAAAACAGAAGAATAGTTGTTCTGGCCTCATGCAGTGTGGACAGTGGCTGCCACCCAATGGACAAAAGGTTCATGTGCTCAGCTGCGCATACTTGGCCTAGACATGAAATAATTTAATTTAGGCCCAGAATAAATGCAGGGACACATGTAAATATCTTTCTTTCTCTTGAGAAGTACTACTGACCTGTTGAAAAGCAAACAAGTAAATCTTTGAGATTATATTCATTTAGTGCCAGAGACAATTACATTGGGGAGGAGATTCCTGTTTTGTTTTTTTAGCGGGACAGACTCACGTGTAATTGTTGAGAGGGGTAGTATGTCTAAAGCAAACCATCTGATGGTACTGTAATCAGAAACCATATAATGATAAAACAGAGACAGAGAGCGAGCAGGTGTTCAACTGATACCAAACCTGAACAGTCTTATCACTGTATTCACAGTGCAGTCCTTCAGTTACAAAAATCACAGCTGGTTTCTTGGTAACCTCACGGTGATGATAAGGCTCCAGGAAGTCACTGCACTCAGCCAAGAAATAGTCCCCTGTAAAGCCACAACTAGATAGAGATACAGACGAGGATGTGATGTGTTAGTTAGTTAGAGTTTTAGAGGTGCTGCACGTTTGGACAGATCTAGGCTAGCTGTTTCCTCCTGCTTCCAGTGTTTAAGCTACGCTAACAGCCACCTGGTTGTGGCTTCACATTTAGAGGACAAATATGATATCGGTATCAAACTTCCCATCTAACACTTGGCAAGAAAGAGGACAATAATTTTACAAACCTTTAAATGAATTCAGCCAAAATATACTCATGCATCACATACGGTTCTAACTGTGTTGCTGAGCTCTAGATCCAGAATCCAGATCTTATTATAACCAACTATAAATAGTGCTGTTGGTTCTAGGTCACACTCACATGCACATTTTGTGCTTTTTAAAATGGCCTGTCTAAGGATGATCATGATCAGTTGAATGTAGGACAACACAAAGAAAAGTAATTGTGTGTCTGGCTGTGCACACATTCATTCCCACAGTCCCTGGTAATTCAAAAGGATGGTTACATTAGTAAAAGAGACAATGTAATATACAAAAAGAGACATATCAAAAGTTCACACCTGTTGTATTAAAGTGTAGTTCATCTTAATTCTGATAAACCATTTCTGTTTAACTCAATATTTGATCACTAGTGGCCCTTTCCCACACTTATAACATGGGGTGATACATGTAAATATAATAGTACCTTCTGTATAATAGGTGCATGGCGTCATCAGAACAATATGTGTGATTTTCTGGTAATCATAGCAGCTCAGGAGGTAGAGTGGGTTGTCCACTAATCAGACGGTTTGCAGTTTGATCCCCGGCTCCTCCCGCTGCATGTTAAAGTGTCCTCGAGCAAGATGCTGAACCCCAAATTGCTCCTGAAGCTGTGTCATCGGCGTGTGAAGGTGTGTGTGAATGGGTAAATGTGGCATATAGTGTAAAAACGCTTTGAGTGGCCGGAAGACTGGAAATGCGCTATACAAATGGAGTTCATTTACCATACATAGGGACACACAGGATTCTGAAAAAAAGTAAGCCTCAGAAATCGACACTAGTGACACTATTTTTAGTATTATTAGCATCTCTGTTGTCACTGCTTATACAACAGCTTTGTACAGTGCACCTTTATTATGCCAGAACAACAAGCCACATGGGTTAAGTACTGAACATTCATAACGAGCTGAGCAAATCTGACCTGGGTTTCACCCGTGATGCACTCTGAAAGAATGGAGACAATCTCCTTTAATTGCACAAAGACAAAATATATTAGTTAGTCAGTCAGTCAATTCAAAATCATTTCATCATTCTTGTGATTCTGAATAAATCTGTATCTAACAACTGGCCCAATGTGGTGCTGTCAAAAGGAAATTATTTTACTGATTGAAAAATCTGCCTCAATAGTCTACATATTATTTTATAGCTATAACTTAATTAAAATAGTGCTATTCAATAGTAGGGATGTACTAGAGATGACACTCGAATCCCGATAATAGGTACATGATACGATTTTCTCTCAATTGTTTTAACACGATTTGATTGAAGAAAAATTCCAACTGAAAAAAACTCTATATACATATTACGGATTTTTTTCAGCCATAATTTGTCTTCAATCTCATTTAGTTAAATACATATAAATAAAACATTGTCTTGCATTTTCACATTATAGAATACTTTTTTATTTCTGAAGATGGGTGTTAACTGGGCAAAACAATGCATATTTTGTATTCTTTGTAAAAGTGATACTGATGTCTTTGCGCCTTACAGCTACTATCGTGAATTACTTTGTGACTCTGCTATTTAAAAAGAGTATCACAAGTCATTTTTCATCTCACTGATTTGAATCTTCACATAACTAAGTCTGGCAATTTACTTCCATGTAAGTCTATCCTTGTGGTGTAACTAAAATACATTTATTCAAAACTGTCTGTCTGTAAACTCTACTACCACAAAACCAAACACTTAAGACAAGTTCAAAGTCAGCTGTTTGTTGTGCCAGCTAATAAAGAGTTTAACTCGATGCTGCTCTACATGTTGCACATGATTATCCAAGCCAAAGAACTGAATGGGCTGCCAGCCAAGTCTTACAAGACCATATGGCCATGGTCTGTGGTGGCGTTAGGGCCGTTGTTTCTTTCAGCGTCCTATTGTTTGGTGTCAAAGGACTGGGGGGGTGGAAGGGGGGGATTATACACAAGAACACATTCTCTCTTTCAAAACACACACAAACACACTCCCCCATACATACAAGCACAATAGCACATTACCAGTGTCATTACAGGTCGACCCATAATCGAGACATTTTTAATACACTATGTGTGGGTGCAAAACCACATATTTAAAAGAAAGAAGTACCAAAAGGAAAAAAAAGGCTGCCATATAGTAATATATTGTTCATAATAATTGTTGATCCAAAGTGAAATCAAAGCCAACAAAAAAGGAGATGTAAGCACATATACTGTAGGTATCATCCAATCATGAGATGGCATTGAAGAAATATAATCAATAAATGTGGAATTTGAGCTTAAAAGTTCAAATTCCACCACAAATGATGCGACAGTACTTACATCAAAGACTTCTTTGCACAGGCCTTGAGTAGCCCTCAGCCAGCTGCGGTTTAACTCACTCAGCTCCAAAATCGTCTGCACTTTCAACCGGACTGTCTCTCCAGACTGACGGATCATCTCCACGATCTCGTCCCTGCTCTTGTTCTCCACATTGATGCCATTGATTTCCACCAGCCTGTCCCCCGGCACCAGGCCCAGAGCCCGGTCCTTGGTCCCAGCACCTGGTTCGGCAAAGTGCACCACACGCCGACACACTCCTCCATCAGGCTTCCTGTCTAGCATGGTGGTCCTCCGCAAAGAAAAGCCAAAATCCCCAGTGTTGCGCCGCTGTAGCTCTAGCTCTCTTGGATCTGGTATTGGTGGAGCAACGAGCACAGGCAACTGTAGGTCTGCACCTGGGAAGGTCTTCTCCACTATCTCAGGAATGTGAACCACACCGGTGCCTTTTGGGTTGGGGTGGGACTTCAAAGAAGATGTAGTCCAGTTCTGCCCAGAAAGATTTGACGCCTCCAAAGGACCGTCCTCATTGATCTTCAGGGAAAAAGACACGTGCCTCTGGCCTACCACCGAATTCAACTTGGCCAGTTCCCCAAACTTTGCGGCTCTCTCCTTTACAGAGCTGCGGTGGTGTACCAGTTCACTTCCCTTTATGTTTTCACCAGAAGTACTTGTGCTTATTTGCCCCATATCCTGCTCCATGGTGTTGTGAAGGCGCTCAGCCTCCAGGTTGGTCAGGCTGAGCTCCATGTTGCTAGCCACCTTGATTGGGATCGGGCTAGAGATCTCCAACCTGCTCCTAGACTCCCTCTTAGAGCTCCCTCGATTGAGGTTGAAGAAGCCTCTACGTATGCTCATCTCCTCCAGGCTCTTTAACTCTGCCTGGGACATACGCTCTTTCTTCTCTTTCTTGTCTTTCTTGTCCTTCTTGCCCAGGTCCTTTTCCTTCTCCTTCTCCTTGTCTTTCTTAATTAGATTAAACATGCTTGAAGCAGTCTTTTACCAGTTTGAATTGTTGACAGCGAGAGAAAGATAGTTTCATACAAATTATTATGAGAGGTACCTGAGAGATAGTAGGTACAGACCTATAATGTCACCTGTAGGGAAGAGGACAGAAGAAGAGAGAGGGGAGAGAATCAATCAATTATTTGCTGAGAACTTGATAGAACTGTCTAATTCAGTTTGCATGCCGATTATTGGCCAATATTGTTTACTGGACTGGCACATACTGGCACATATAACAGACAGTAGATATAGTAAATTCTTCACAGGATGCTTTTTAATCGACATTTGTCCCTTTTAATTTCACATTGAATATGCGTTTCTTATGTTTTAATTTATAGAATATGATATAGCCCTTAAAAATCCATTATCAGTTGTCTTCTTGTAACAGTAGACTATAATAAACCTATCCCCACATGAAAGTTGCCAAGGTTCACAGTTCTGCTGTACTTACACGCATGATTGTTCAAACTTACATGTTAAAATTGTTATTCTTGCAACACAAGCATAAGTTTTATCAAATACTGCATCGCACATCATTTAATCTTGCAGTTTCAAGGATCAACACAATCAAAATAATAAAGCTGTGTTCAAGGTAATTGACACCACCTACTGATGCATGACAGTCTGAACAAAGGAAATGACCTACAAACATTAATATCCTCTCGATTTGGGATTTATTCTCTCAGTCCTATACCCTGACACATGTGTATGACATGATACGTGTGTTGCCCTACTTACAGTCACAGTTTGGAAGAGCTTTGACCTTATCTGTCTTGCTGTCAAATGCTCAGCATCACCATTTAAAGTGATGCAGAACATTTGTGCATGAGATCCTCCATCGGAGCTGCATTGCATTGCATATACAAAGTCTGTGCGAAGCCATAAACAGTAAATTCGCACTTAATCCACACATAATCACATCTCCAGAGAGGCTGTGGAAATAGCCGAAAGCAATTGCTATCACAGCACTTTCCATGTTCTGTGAATATTCTGCTGGTGACCTTTGACAGAAAATGAGAAAACACTGTTGATTTTTAGCTTTACTGAACTTACTGTACCCATGGTACAACTAGGTTGTCGCTGCGACTAGTCCAGAGCTTGGCCGTAATGCTCTCCCTTTAAGCTGCTTTGCCCTCATTCTCTAGCACCAGTGGCCTCAGGGAACACTTTCAGCACAGTGTAAAAATGTCATTCATATAAAATAACGCAGGGCAAACGCTGTTAGCAGACAGCATCCTGACCTACCTGTAACTGCCGGCAAAGGACCGCGTTCTTGTCTTGCTTGAAGTTTTCAGCATTTTCTTCCTTAGAATTGACAGTAGGTGCGAGAAATGTTCTTGTGGTGCCTTCAAATGCCTGCCGTAAGCTCCGACATTAGAAGATGATGGTCGTTCATGAACAGCCTAAGGATACAACCAATCTCGTATTTGTGTTTTTAACGAACTAAAAAACAAAAGTGTATCTGCAGAAAATAAAGACGAAACATGTCACTGAAAATACAACTTGCTTGTATTATGTGCATAGAAGAACATCACAAAAAGGAATCATTATTTAAAGAACACTTTAAAGACAGCTTCTACTTATGCTGGTTTTATGCAGTTCGTATGTATGTGTTACATAGGCAAAACGTGCCAAAATAAGCACTCTTTTTACGATTGTATTTGGGTTGTCAATGCTTAAACTGCTCTAAAGTGTAATAATTCCAACGGCACTTTAAGGCAGCACAAGTGTAAACCGGACAGCAGTGACCTCTCCTGGTATTTTTATTACTTACTGGAACCCTGGATGTGCAGGTGCAGCACGGGCACAGGTAAATACTTTACCCAGGCTTTACTTGTCAGGACTCATCTCATAGAATATTGTAACTTTTATTTGTAATATTAAATGTCATATAATGAAATATGTTTGTTTGTGTGATTATAGTACCAGTTTGTGCCTTTGAGATGTTTGCATATACGATTACACTTTAGACCAAATTCTAATTCTCAAATGTGAGTTCTTGAAGATATATATATATTATGGGACACAATTACTATGCAGAACAGCAATAATAGATAATATATATCTGGCCAAGGCAACAAAAATCAAGCCTTTTGTCCCACTCTGTCTGTCCCGGCTGTACCGGTTTACACAATTTATAAGGGCAAAATAATGAGAATCGAACCAACATAAGAAAATAGATTGATTTGACTATATCTACAGAAACATTTTCATAAAATACTGCACTACATTAATATCAGTGCTTCCCTCAACAGTACACCTAATAAACCAGAATGGGGGGGAAAAAATGCAACATCTCCAAATCATTCCAAAATTCCAGCTTATTAATGTTATAAACTCTTACATTGATGAGATTTAAGACTAGAAACAAATACACTGAATCTGTCACAGTTTCTTCCTGAAATTGTGTGAATCATTTTAATAATCGCTGACTTTATAGCTTACTTAAACTGATCCATCCTGAGAAGATTCCAATTTCAATCAGTTTTGAGTTATACAACTGCAATCATAGATGGGAAATATAAAGCAAAGTAAGGTCTGAAATAATTTACAGCCATGACTTTTTGCCTCTTCCTATTTTGGTCAGATTGTGCAGTCTAGTCTTGGTGCGTTCCTTCTCATCTTGATTTCTCTTGGAAGTGCACTCCAGTGTAGAGTCCGTCTCAAAGGAGATGGCCGGGGCCTGGTTTGGGACAATGCTGCTCTTGGTAGAAGTGGTCTGCAAGACGACCCTGCCACGTAAAGAGTGTTTGAGCTCAAGCAAAAGCGGGTTGTTGTCAGAGTATAATTCCATCTTCTGCAAAGGGTCTCTGCCTGACACACAGCATGTACAGCATGCAGAGAACAAGACTCTGAAAATATAAATCCAGCCTAAATAATGCAGCTCCACAATGTTCAAGATAATGCAACCTAGGCTGACACTGAACATGAAGTTGAGAAAGATGGTCTTCTCTGTTGCTCGAGACACAAAGCAGTCGGTTCTGTTTGGACAGGGGTATGTCTCACAGTGGAAAAGGTGTGGAACTTCAAATCCAAATAGGTAATACTGCCCAATGAGGAAGATTATCTCCATGATGGAGCGTAGCAAAACATGTATGATGTAGATGAGTAATACCTGGCTGGAGAGCTGAGTCGGGTCCTTTCCTACCTCTCTCATTTCCTCATCCAGCTGGCTCCTCTCCTCACACTCATCTTCCTGTGAGCTCCACTCCTCGTTGCTATAGGCTGTGTTATAAAGACTGCCAGCTTCCAGTGTTGTCTCTTTATCTCCTCCTATGTGTTTGTCCCTTTCGAGAGAAGGTGAGGACCTGGGGACCACTTCAACCTTCTTAACCTCCAACTTTTCATTCTTGGTGATTTTTTGCAAGACGTAAACAATGTAAAAGATAGAGGGTGTGGAGACAAGAACAATCTGAAAGACCCAAAAGCGCAAGTGTGAGACAGGAGCAAAAGTGTCGTAGCAGACATTGTTGCATCCAGGCTGCAGGGTGTTGCAGGTAAACTTTGACTGCTCATCGCTGTAGACAGCATCCCCCACCAGGGCCACGAGCAAGATGCGGAAGATGAGCAGCATCGTCAGCCATATCTTGCCAATGACTGTGGAATGGTTTTGAACCTCCGTTAGGAAGCGGCCAAGAATGGACCAGTCTCCCATTTCTGTGGAGAAACCACAGTTAAAACATTACTTACAGTATCAGGCAGAATGTTTTTATTAATAGCTCAAACTGAAGTGGTTGCTCATATCCTGTGCTCCTAAGGAGAAAAAATGACTCAGTAGTCTTACCAAGGAAGCAGGTGCATGAAACCACATGTATTTGCACATGTACAGCTTTCAAATATTATCTAGATTTAAATATTGACCTAGAAATCCCCTATGAATATACAATAAACATAATAAAATAACTTTCTCAGTGTGTCACCGCCCCATATTACCCGTACATCACAATCAGCTATGACCTTCAGTGTAATTTGGACGTTATCAAGAATTATAATTGTAATAACTATAGTTGTAATCAAAAATTATTTTATGATATTACATAAGAGCAACTATTGCATTGTTAGTAAGCTGTAAATGACTGTCGGTTTCTCATATTCACAAAAAAGTTTATTTACATTCAATGAAAAATTCCTTGGTTCACAAATTTATTCTCAAAAGCCATATCTAAATTATACTCCTAATTCAAGACTGAATCATGAAATGTATCTTATTAAGAAGGAAAACAAGTTAAAACGTAATTAACTTCTATGAAGTCCATTCTGTTCTCCTGTCCTGAAGAAGCTTACCTTTGGAGAATCTAAGTTTTCCTTATCCAAAGCTGGAAAAATATCAGAGGAAGCAATCTGCATAACTGTATTTTCAAGTGGAGCCTGTTGCTGGATGTTCTCGTGTCTTTTGAGCTGGATGAGGGGAGAATGGGCTGACCACACATATTCCCCAACTCTAACTGAAACGTCCATTGCACTGTATGTGAATAAAGGCTTTCAATGTACAGTGGGACAAAGATTGAAAGGTACAATGGGGGCACCTTTACTGAACAGCCATTCGCAGGCGAGCAGAGAGTTCAAAGAACATACTGGAAAGAGTGTCCACAATACTGATTCAAGCATGGGTCTCTGTCCACTTTAATTTTAGAGCTGAAATACAAGTCTAATTTCCCAGAAGATTTCAGTACTTTGGTCTTACTGGATACATCAAAATGTAATGGGAAGAATCCCCACAGCACTGAGAATCAATTTTCATCACACTTATGGTGAAAGTGAAAAAAAATTACCAGCAACGTTTGATTTTTTAAAAACAAAGTTGTTGTTAAGCAAAGAATAAAGGCCTACCTCAAATCCTATTCATAAAGGATAATGAAACACGTAGAGTGAGAGGCTGGAGAGAGAAATCTTCATTCAGCTGAGGGTGTTATAAACTATTATTTTTTTCTTTGGCTGCATGCAGTTTAGAAGAGGAAAGGCTTGTCTGCCTTGAACCTGATTGTTGTTTCCAAAGCTAATTATTAGCAGAATGGGAAGGTTTATTTGTAGTTTGATAAGGTATTACAGAAAATATGGAATGAGACAGGGACAATGGCTTCTATCTTATGAAAGATGATGGAATGACATACAAATGTATGTGTCTTATTGGAGCGTCCAGGACAGTCCTTGTTGCTTATGGAAGTCATCTGGCATTACTGTTCTTGTATCTGCAGATGCGCTGTACTTTTGTCTTGGCTGTCCAGAAGACTGAAGGTGTCATTTGAACACACACAGGTCCTCCTGTTTTCCTAAAAATGGTCTGCCTGCATTGAGTAAGACCGATTAACCTGCTCCAACAGAGATACTAGCTTTTATATATATCATGTGTTTCCTTTTATCAGATGATTAAATTAAAGACCAACATGTTAAATATCTTTGGGGCAGGTGTAAAAACATCAGGATAAAACGAGGTAGCTATGACTCATTTCTAGTGTGAGCCAGTTACCACTCCATCTGAGTCCATTACATGTTAGTTATCGTTTAATGAAGAATGATATAACACAATATAAAACAAAAATACTGTGTCAATTCCCCCTTTTATTTAAGTTATTGAAGCTATTATTCTATAAATCTATTATTTGTTTTTTTACACACTTAAATTTAACGTGTTAGTCAAAAATGTTCTGTAACAGTAATCTTAATTAACATATCATAAACAGCATTAGAAATAAAGCACTCATCCAGTCATTGTCACCTGAACACAAATGGAGTGATTTCCTGTACTATACTGTACAAATACCAAATTCTGCAGGAAATAATCCTATGAGACGTGAGGAGCAAAATATTTCTTTAACACATTTTTTGAGTCGGTATTCAGCGTTAAGGAGCAGACTGAATGTATGTTTTTTTGGTCCACTGGAGGCAATTCATGCAATTTATGGGTTCTGTCGTTTTCATTCATCCCCATACCATGAATGAAAATAAACGGCTCTGCACGCGGATTATTTCTTGCCCCGTTTAAAGTGAAACACAGATTATAGAAAGATGAAGGGCCAAATGTTTGTAACAAACCGATCTGCACTTCAAATTGTCTTATAAAAACCGATGCAGGGTTAGTGAAATACAATCAACCACATGCGACAGTAGTCGACTATAACAAATGCCCCTCGCAGAATCAGCAAAAAAACATCCAGAGGGGTGTTTGTAGAAATCCAACTCCATCTAATTAGTTCTGTGATAAGAGAGGGGCGATTGAGTTAATCTCTTGCGAATATATTTTAGAATATATTTCAAGTTGGCCGTGTTTTTTGTATTTATATATGTTTTATGAGCCACATAAACGATTACGTGAGTTCTTTTAAATATACTACATTTAACATCACCCCTAAATAGTATGTAAAGTGGTTCAGTCCTCGACGTTACCGGAAGTTGTTTCAGCTGCCATGTTTGGTTGCTTTGTTGTAGGCTTCCACTTCGTTTCCTACAGAATTAGTAAGTGTGGAAATGGAGCCGAGCTGGAGTACGTTTCTTTTTCAAGTAAGTTGACTCTTTGGGAGGGAAACTGGGATAGCTCGTAAAACAACCTTAAAAAATGTAAGCACATGGTATTTTAGCGGTAAAACCAGTTTTTAAACGAGTAATTCCAAGATCAAGTAACCAAGCAAAACAATGGTATATGAATCCAGGCTTCCAGCTGTGAGGCTTGGGAATGACGCTAGAACAAAAAATCAATTCTCCTCAACGAGTGTTTGAAAAATATGGCTCGGTTTTCTATTGTATGAATACTTAGATAGTGTATGCTGAATAACTCGACAGCATTTGTGATATTTTTAAGTTTGTTTGCCAAGTCGAAGCCAGCAAAACATGCGAGATAATTTGAAGTAAGACTGGGGACGCCACTGCACCGTTACAATCGAGACAGACCTGTTTTTTTCCCCCCTGTGATTGAGGGCTTTGATCGGATGCCCGCTGGATAATGAGATGTTGCGCCGGCTGAACATTTTCAGTGTAACGCGGATAACACCGCAGATATTTTCCCGATTTAAAGTGATTAATGTTTGTAAGGTTGGATAAGTGTATGCTTAGGTTATCAGCTGCTGAGATTTACCAACGTCGATTCGCAAGTCCGCGGTGAACTTTCCGCTTGCCTCAGCCGGTTCGACAGTAACTAGCCAAGTTAGCTAACGATGTTTAGGCTGCCTTCATCAAACTCGCTGGCTAATTTAGCTAAATTCGGGCGAGGCTGTCGTAATGAGCTTGCAAAACTAACGTTACACGACTTGATAACCGGCGCCGTACGGCTCTCTGTTTATTAACTAGCTATTTATTTCGGGAGACCGCCGTGGAAAGGAATTCAAACTATGCACACAACATCAGCTAACACTAGCAACGAAGAGGCACATTTGAAATTAGCAACGACATTACGCAATTTAAAAAAACAAAAAAACAAAAAAAACATTTTCAGGCAGAAAGTGAGTGCTCCTGTTCAGAGTGATATCTGCCACGGTCTGAAGATTTCCACTGTGTACTAAGATGGAAGTCTATTGTTCAATGAAATGAATGAAATGTTTTATTCCCATGGCCTTACTTAGCTCAAAGAATTAAGCCTGGTGTGAGCATGAAAATTGAGACCCCAAGTTTTTATGGCGAGGGTAATATTTCCAGTGATTCATGTTTTGCCGCGGATTTTGATTTTGTTGTTTTAATGCATTCATTTTGCCCGCTTTTTAATCCATATATGAGCATTTATCCCAAGTATGTCAACATTCTGCTGTCTCGGTTTTTTTTTCCTTCCAACTCTTAAATAGAGAATTTCCTTCATATTTTCGAAGTTATGCCCAAGTATGATTTAGTGGGTGTGACAAACTCCTCATGGGAAGTTTCCTCAATGAACTTTCCAGCAGTTCAGCATCATTCACAAAAAAAAAAAACTTTTAAGAATTTCATTCATTTTTAGAGATCTACCAAGTATACATCTGCACATTTTCACAACAGAGTTGCTTTGGGTGCCACGGTTATTATTTTACTGCAGCTTCATTTCAGAAAGTGTAACTGAGAGCAGGGTCAGGTAGAGATCATGAGTTCTTGTTGGTAGTACTTTGAGTCCCTTGCTAATGCCAGCCAATAATGTTTATTTAAACAAACCTGTGCAATCCTCAGAGAAACATGTTTACTTTGTACCACTTTTACTGTACTGATAAGCTAATTAAGTAAATAGGTTAATAGAAGTGTGTCAAACTGGTGCCGAGAGGAAGTACTGATGGAATATGGTGGAGAGGATGCATAGATGAAAGTCATATAACGTAAAGATTTTATGTGTGCCATCATTATAAGGCTACTGGAGTCTTAATCAGAAGAAGCAGTCAAGAAGAGATACAGTTAGAAGTGCCACAGGGAAGCTTTAACTAAGATAAATATGTTACGGAGCTTCAATGTTTCTTTCTGTGGATAAATGTCTTGCTACACAAGCATAAGTTAACATTACTGACAACAACTAGCCCTGCTCAGTAAGGCAAGCAAGAGTTGGAAAGAGCAGTGGACTGTGGGGTGCTTTTAGTGTATCTGCAATAATGTTATGTTGCTTATTGCAGCCTTTAGCATATGTCACCTCTTTGTGTTATCGGGAATGTTTTGCTCTGCTGTCTGAGGCTGATCACTTACTTGTGTCTTTGAGTGCTACTACTTCGTGATGAAAAAGGCAGCTGGACAGTGTGGCTTGTTGTGGAGTATCTGGCACGTAGCCAGAAGCCCTGCATGTATTGTGTACGTCGTACTGTTACTCTCTCAGTCTCATGTAAATCTGTGTGCAGTTAGCATTTGGGCGCTCGACATAAGGAGAGCAATATTTAATTCAACTACCATCATGCTGTGCAGCATTTTTAGTTTTTCAAGTTCCCCGCTGTGTTAAGTGTTATAGAAAGTAATTTTATTAAGAGGTGTACATTTATCCATATTGGTATGTAAATGAGTTTGAATATCACCATAAGTACAGCTGTATCTCCTCATATTTTTGATAGATGTGCAGTATGGTAAATCATCTTGTTAAGACCAGTTTTGCTCTGGATCTGCAATGATACACTACTGGTACAATAATACCATTACAATAGTAATTCTGCAAATAAACAGGGGAATGGTAAAGAGTGCCCCAAAGTGAGAAAGTCATAATGCAATCCTTCTTTGCCCGAAACTCTAATCTGGCTTTATCTGGAGAATGTAATAGCCACTAAAGAAGAACATTGTTGCATAGAAACATATATAAAACACGCTGCTCGTCTATTCATTCCAGAGGCTAATTTATCAAAGCATATAGCTGACAAGTACCCAAATATTTAAAAGAAGTTCATGTTCAACAGGTGGACCCACTACACTGAACATTTTAAATGTTTGCAAGATTGACTTATTTTAAAGTGATTGCACACACTATATGTGGTTTAAAGAAAGCTTTTAGTGATGCAGCGTGCGTGTGGAGGTCTACTGTAATGTTACCAATTACACCTGTGCTTTACCTACTACGACGAGCCAAAATGTATGTTGTGAAAAATGTGTATTATCTTTCAGAATTGTGGTAACCTTTGAGCAAACAAAAAGGGATAAGAATGGAACGTTACTGAGTACTACTGCATAGCATGGATTCCAATTCTGGGTGAATTTCTGGGGTGCAAACCATGTTATTACATCACTGTTAGACCACTCACCGGGTTTTTTCATCACTGTTCCTGTTTATGGTGGTAATGCTGGCAAAAGGTGAACTTTTTAGATAGCTGTTAGAAAGTTTTCTGCTTGATGTATGATTTCCAGTTTGGGCATCTGGTTTTGACCTTGACTTTTTAGTTTAAACCCCCAAAGCCCACCACTATCGCAGAGAGGTACCGTTTGTCAATAATGGAATCTTTCTGGTTATTCCAGGATGGAAAGTGTGTTATTGTTCTTTTTGTCTAGGTTCTATCCCTGCACTCCAGTCACTGCACATTTTGTATGAAGGCAGTATTCCTAGTTCAGGGGATAAGATTCCATTCTTGGGTTAATCAAGAGCAGCAATTTTATCGTAGGTAACATTTCATAGATTTTTCTTCCTTGTCTCTGACAGGACTGTTTTCTATGGAATCTTGTATGAAATGCCATCAATTTTGGAGGTTTTGGCTCATTGATTTTAGTTTTTTGGGGAGAAGGATGACATGTTGACTTGGTTCAAAAAGGCATAAATCATCTTGCATGATGCTGTCCAAGCCCAGGTGAAAGTATTAATCTATCAAAACCTCCACAAAAACATTTTCTCACTCCCAGCTGAACTGAAATGCCTCTACTTGCAACCTAAAGCATCAACAGGCGAATGACTGAATCTCTGCAGTATTTGTATAGCTTTACAGGCTATGAAAAAATCCAGAAGGATTAAAAACATTACAAGAGTGATGTTTTGTAAGAACTTGTGTTAACTCAGCAAAGACCCTGAATAGCAGCCAAAGATTTCAGAACTTGTAAACAAGTGAGGAACAACCTAGAACAAACTCATAAACTTTAGGAACAGAGAAGACTTTACATGTATCAGAAAAACAAATTATATATTTATATATTCAATTCAATTTAAGTTTATTTCAGACACACAGGCCCATACGTTATATTTTATGAGTTTTGTTTACTGCAGTATTATCCCTTGGTTCCTTTTTTTACATGTTTACATTATCAATTATGGTTTTTGTTTGTTTTGTTAAAACTGGGATTTCGGCAAGCAGCTGTAGGGTGTGACAACAAAAGATTTCCAGAAAGACAGTGCATAATCTGACTTAGACCATGAGTTCAATTCAAGTCTACAGTGGCCCATGGAGCCACCAGGACACTCCCTCCATTTTGATGTTATTTATGAGGGAGCAGCCCCAGTTGTCAGAGCGCATTTGTGTCAAAATGGTCAGAGCTGCATGAAGGCACAGCAGCTTACAGGCCCTGCACCTCTGTGTCGAGGCAGCCTGTCTGCAGTGGCTATGTCTGCTGTTCACAAGCTTCACAAAGAGGGTCCCCGGCTGGTACCCCCCCCGCCACCCACCCACCCAAACATAAAGCCCCCCACCCCACCCCTGGTGTGCCAGCGGACTGGCATGATGATGACTAATCCTGGAAGGTGGCAAGTGTGAGCAGGTGCTTAGACAAATGGATGGGTGGGCTTTGGTGGCATTCTCCAGAAGTTCCCAGGTCCCATTGCGTATGAGGGAATGACAGCTAGTTTAGTTGAGTAGTGTGTGGATAAACAATGTCCCTGTCTCATGAATAGATGAGCCAAATCAATGAAGATGAGCATACAAAGATCCCCTGCTGAGGCATCACTGCTCAGATTTGTGTCTCTCACAATAGGCTAGATGACATAAGGAGGACATTGTGTGGTTCATTTTTCTTTTCTGTCCACTGCCTCCTCTTTTGCAACTCCTTTCTTGGCTGGCCTTCTTCGATGGATGATTAAACCTCAAAGGGAAAGGTCAAGCATTTCACCTTGCCCTTTCTTGCTGGTGGTTGACAACATAGTTGTCTTGACTGTGTCCGTTTACCGAAGCAGCAGTGTTAACTGTTACAATTTTATGTCTGATATTGGAAAAATGCTGTTCAAAAGTGATGACAGCAGAGATACCCCTAGAAATTTGAACAGAAATAATACATTAAAGCATTTTTCTCATAAGGAATCAGATTGAATAAAAACTAATGAATAAGCACATACGTCATTCTGTTGATAAAGTGTTTGCAAATTCGGTGTTTGCTTCTTTTTGAGGGATGGGGGCAGGGTAGTCCCTTGGTCAACAAGAATCTATGTCCTTTCAAAAAGGGGGGTAACCAACTCGTTAAAAACGTATCTGATCTGTGCAATTGTCAGAATGTCAATGTAGATTAACTTCTAACCTTGGTTGGAACATAGCTAACCTAAGCTGACAAACTGATAATGAATAGCTTGCAGCAATATTTTATCCCAGGGATTCCCGATGTTATTTTGTTATTTATTCGCCCTTTTGTGCAGAGGAATCAAAGAAATCTACAACAATAAGCATTTCTGCCTTGTGGCAGCTCAGTTTATTTCCCTTGTCATGTAAGAAAAGTAACGCAGAGGACAGAATAGACAAACCAACCCCTGGCTCTAAATATGGCCTTTTGCGTTTGTTGCGAGCGTCGCGGCCGCCGTAGTTTCTTCTACATGCTCGGAAGGCTGTTCTGTATTCAAATGGTTGCAATTGGCAACTTCACAGCTAAATGCCACAAAATCCTACACGCTGTCCTTGAAATGGGTGATACCCAACTAAGCAACTCGTTTTTGCTTCTGCTAATTGCACCCGGCCTCTTCACTCCATAAAGCGATTGTGCCACTGTGCTTCACATTGTTTTGTCTAGTTTAGTGACCTGTATTTTTTTTGTAGTGTGTGTGTGTGTGTGCGCCCTTCAGCCCTTTACTTCACAATGTCGTCTAACTGAGCTCCATAATGGCCTGCTCTTCCGTGCACTGGACTCTGCTATGCCTCTAATTTGGTGTGCTTGCTTTGCAGTCACATGATGAATCAGCGCCGTCATGATGGGATCATTTTTCATCCAGTATATTTGGATTCTTTTGCATTAGTGGCATGCTGCGTCAGCCTCATTAATGACAGATCCAGTGCCCATTTTGTATTCTGTAACATCTTCCTAACCCTAGCTGTTTTCATGGACTTGTAATTCTTATGCAGACATTTGAAAGTAATGATACAGTGGGGGGTTCCTACTGTTTTGAAATTGCAGTCCCTAATGTTGATGTGTATTTTATACAGAGGATATAATATGCTGTGTTCAATTTTGTGTTACAATGTTCACCCTTCAGTATCATTAGCTGTGCTAGTGCCATAAAGCTTGTATTAAATTTAGCCAACACATGTCTGGAATTTATGAAGGCTCAACCAAATATTTATCTCTGTTTGCTTCATCAGCAGGCCAATGAAGCCCTCCACCACCAGCACCAGGTGGCCCAGAACAGCCTGCTGCCACTTCTTAATGCAGGAGCCGAGCAAATTGACCAGAAGCCGATCCTGCCGATCCAAATAGACCAGAAGCCCCCTACCAGTGCTGCTGATCTCCTCAAAGACAATGTGGCCAGCGGAGGAGGTGCACGGCCACTAGTGCCTGTGATAAAGAAGGAACACAAAGGCAAAACGCCTTTCGTCTGCGGCTACTGCAACAAGGCCTTTCGCGACAGCTACCACCTGCGACGCCATGAGTCCAGCCACACCGGTATCAAGATGGTGTCGCGGCCAAAGAAGACGGCCCAGACCGCCCCCACCATGGTACCCATGATCTCCACCATGCCACGAGAGAACAACGGCAATCCCTCCTACATCTCCACGGTAGCGGGCATCCTCTCCACAGCAACCACCTCTGTTTCCTCAAGTATCATGACATCATCTGCGATGGGCAATGTGCCACAGCAAAACGTCCCCAAGAAACCCGCCAAACCTGTCAAGAAAAACCACGGTTGTGAGATGTGTGGCAAGGCCTTTCGTGACGTGTACCACCTGAATCGCCACAAGCTGTCCCATTCAGACGAGAAGCCTTTTGAGTGCCCCATCTGCCAGCAACGCTTTAAAAGGAAGGACAGGATGACCTACCATGTTCGCTCTCATGATGGGGGAGTCCACAAGCCCTATGTATGTTCTGTGTGTGGGAAAGGTTTTTCCAGGTAAGGACCACATTTTTGGCCTTTTGATAGGTTGTTGCCTTTTTGTGTTAGACATCCTGTAATATTGTAACTTGTGCTCAAGTAAATTGGGTAGTGTTTCTTAAATTAGAACAATGGCCTTCCAGTATTCACTGACAAGCACACACTTGTGTTGGGAGTAAGCCGTTTTAACATTTTGTGTAAATGTAAAGATAGAAAAGTGGAAAAACCACCAAAAAGTATTAATAATTCTCCACAACTTTATTACTTATTCGGTAGCTCTCTAATGCTACCCCCCCCCAAAAAAAAGTTACATTCAACAGTATTATAAGTACAAAATGTGGAGAAAAGGGTGAAATTACTTTTCACCTTTTTGTATTTCTAATGTGGGGATTTTTTTGTTCCTTCACGCTGTCAGACAGACTTGTCATAGTAAGTCAGGCTGGCAAACCCTCAGCAATGGATGGTTGCTAAGTGCTAGCAACAGACTTCATGGGGAGATAATATTACCTGATTCAAATGTCTTTGTACATTCCTCATATAGCTCCTAAGGTGGTTGAATAAGTTGATATGTTCCCTCCTAGACCAATGGCATGGCATGAAATAATTAGTATGTTACCAGGCAGTTGGAATGGACTAAACATCCACTAATAAATGTCAGTGAATGGCTATGTTATCAGGGCATGTCTCACAAAACAGGATTAGTCACTTAATAGACAACTTTACTAAGGAAAATGTGGAGCATGAAAAGAAGCATCAGGTATCGTTCACTATAATTCAGTAAATATGCTTCTTGAGACAGGCCCAGTGCTGCCTAGAACTGCCTCAAACATGTGGGGGTTCAGCTGGGTATCATGTCCCAGTCACTGTACTAGCCACTGGTTTGTCTGGGATGTGTGTGAAGTGCAAGTGTCTAGGCCCGTGACTCTGTGTGCCATACTTTCCTGGTGAAACTTTGCAGCCAAAATAAAAGGCTTTCAACTCTGCTGTATTTGTATCTGAGGAAGTGTTTAGTGGGCAAGGGGGTCAGCAGGAAGAGGGGCAATACACAGTGACAGTAGCAAATGTTAAAGTGGTGAGAACTTTGGGGTAAATGCAAAAAAGCTTGTTTTTACAACTGCTGTAGTTAGTTTTCAGTCACCAAGTAACAAGTAAACAGGAAGTAAGTTTCAGATATCTTGTTTATTTTTATGGAGTAATCTCACCCTCTGATGGTCGCATTCCAGGGTCAAAGAGAAAAGTCTTGACTAGCTTGTCTGCATGGAATTTGAAAACAGTGTAATGACAAATTCAAACAAATATACCTTTTGACTGTGTACTTGGCAGTCCAAAAACGCAGCAAAACACACTTTTACAGTATTTCAAGTTAGAAAAACATGCTGGCTAAAGTAACGTCTAACCTTATATACAAAATGACCATGTTTCATGTTTGCAATTACTCATTAGAATATTTTTGTAGGCTGTGAATACAAAGAGAGGATTTATTTTAACAAAGAATGCAGTCGCCAGATGCTAAAAAAATATTTTCTGCTCTACCAGAAGTTCACTGAACAGCAACCCTCTTTCTTGTAGCATGACTTGTATGTGAATCATTTGGCCGGTAGTGTTTTGGTTACTCAGTTGCAACATTATTTCATATAGAGGGATGGTTGTATTGCCATTTACTCTCTCTGTAGCTTCCCTATGGCTTTGTTTGCATATTTATAGTTGAGAAGCAGTTTAGATTTGTACTTGTATTGACCCCCCCCCCGCCATCTCGACCACATGCTTAAACAGTCACACATGGGAGAGCGTATCAAGGGAGGGGGGAGGGCGTCACTTGTCACTTTGCGGTTCCCGCCAGCATGTCACAGACTCTCTTTCCCCTGGGAATTCAGTGAACCATGTGGTAATGTTCAGGTCAACACATTTACTATGTAGTGAATACATATTTTGTTTTAAGAAGGTCTCCTAGTGACTTCATATTTAGACTTATCAACACAAAAACACATTTAGCTGTCTTTTTAAATGACCCATATGACTAGTGGTACATGTATATCAGCATAGAGTGAGCCGAGAATATTCATAACACCGAAAGAGTTCCGTGCTGCAACACAACTTCAACAAAAACATCAGCAGTTTACCCTAGCCAAGCAGTAACATTAGCACTGTGCTGTGTAGGGCAGTTTCAGGCATGCCTCCAACACAGTGACGTGGGGTAGGGATTCATCAGCATACTGGAAAGTGAGAATGGGGACTGAATAACAGGGCACTGACTCACTGCCACTCAGCCAGATATGTAGGCAGTCACTGTCTGGAGTCTGCTCTCCTTGTCAGTTAGACAAATAAAAAAGAGAATAAAAAAACCTGATTCCGGTTCATGGCATCACTGATAAGACGCCACTTGACTCCTCTCATTTGTGTTTTTTTTCTAAAAATCCAGCAGCATGAAGCTTTCCGGTTTAGAAGCAGCTGCCAGTGCTGTAGCCCTTACTCATTCCATTATGGCCCTTCTAACGTGATTCAGCTCACAGCTTCACTAGAACTAACAAGCTGACAGAGGAGGATCAGTGCCAAGATGAATTTGTGAATGCTGGAGTTTCACCATAAAGGTCAAGAGCCAAAGAGCTGTTTTCTTGCAACTGCTGATATGCAGTGAACAGTCAATTATACAGTAGAACGCTAAGGAATGTGTTGACATCAGTGTTTGCTGTTATTTTTAACTTTCAGTTTAACGGAAAAATAAATCGTAAACATTTTGGTATTATATTAATAAATTGGACTATAAGGGGTTATGTGTGGATATATGTATGTCAGTGAATATCATCTGTAGCAAGTAAAAATCACCTGTTATTGTCCAGGTTCTGTTTCAGCCATTTCTCAGTTTAATCTGTGTTACATGTTGATGCCAAATTGGAAACCGAAGTAAACATGTTATCAAACTTGTTTCATAATGCAAAGTTCAGAAAATAAATGTGTTTTTTTTATATATATTTACAATCTAAAAGGTCATTCAGAACAATGGTTGTTCACTACTGTACATGCATTTAAAAGGAAAATGTTGTGCAAATTTAGTTTACAATTTTTGGAAACTCTTAACCAAATTCCTTGAAATTGTCAGTAACATTCTCTTTAATAATTCTGCCAAGGCTGCTGGAAAGTGAACATGTTGTGTAGTTTAATGTTAAACTGTCAATTTACTCAGAAAACAAGTTGAAACTAGGTCAAACTAATTCATGCATGATTGATCGTGGAGAATTAACTGCCATTGACGGAATTTTAGGACTTTTCCCCCCTGCTCATCCCCTATTATCAAAGCAAACAGAGCACAACCATATGCTTCCACACTTCTGCACTTGCAATGTATAGCAAAAAGATTAAGAGTGTTTCTGTTTTCTTTTTCTGATCTAGGCCAGACCATTTGAGCTGCCATGTGAAGCATGTGCATTCCTCAGAAAGACCGTTTAAATGTCAAGTAACGGTAAGAATCACTCTCTGCTTCTATGCTCTCTTGTCGTCGTCGTCGTTGTTGTACGCCACTGACCTTTGACCCTGTCTCCTGTCCGGCTGCAGGCCTGTACCTCTGCTTTTGCCACCAAAGACAGACTACGTTCCCACATGATCAGGCACGAAGGCAAGGTCACCTGTAGCATCTGTGGGAAGATGCTCAGTGCAGCCTACATCACCAGCCATTTGAAGACTCACGGACAGACCAACTTTAACTCATGTAACAAAGGTTTGTTATATATGTGGGCAGTGAGAATTAAACCTAAACCTAGTTTTTTAATCCAACACACTTGAATTCAAAAACTTTAATAAAACGTCCCATGATTCTGTTCTATAATGTTCTGGTACTGTTAAAATCTTATGCTACATTAGATTGCAGTTGAAGTAATGATTTATTTTTTCTCCTACCAGCGAGCAACTTTTTTTGAGAACAAAAGTTGAATACTCTTTTCTTGTGTGTGTATTTTCCAGACGGTAACGACGTCTGCAACTCTGCCTCAGCTACACCTGTGACCATTTCTGCCCCCATCACCACGGCGATGAACCGGATTCACAACAACCACCCTGTCACCATAGCCGCACAAATGAACATTAGCACCAACACAGTCAGCCTCCAGCACCCAGTCACCATCACCGGGCCCGTCAACATTGCCTCCGTCAACATCCCCTCCTCGGCATCCATGAATATAGCCCACCCAGTCGCAATAACGACCCAGATGTCTATGAATATGGGTGGTCCACTCAACATCGCCATGAGGCCAGTGGATAGCATGTCTTTTCTGTCCCAAGTCTTGCCTTCTTCCCCACCCTGGTAAAAAAGGAGAGAGAGCACTGAACTGGCCAGAAAGAAAGGGAAAATGAAGTGAAACAAGAGACTCCTGTCATCATAATTTGCACCTCGAGCCGAGCTCTTTCTCCCCCTGAACTATGTTTACTTCATCAAACCCCGAGGTGAACACTTACATGAGCTGTGCTGCCAGGTAGGAGCTCCCCAAGTCACAGCTGCGTCCCATCTAATGTTAAGTGACGGACATGAGATGCAGGAGGCTTGAGTAGAAATCGAGTAGGATTTATCCTTAAATCAGGACAACCGTAAGACTTAGTGTAGTCAGTTAGAGTGATAAAACTGTGATTTGTATCATGACAAATGAGAGGAGAGATTTCCTCGAGCACCCTTGAGGACTCCACGGGAAAACACACCTGTGCTTTTGTAATAGGGAGATGAGAAATGGACTGAAGCAATAACTATAAATTGCTGTTTTTGATGTTTTACAAGTTCTCTCCCAAAGCCTCTTGGTGTTACTTTGTATGTTGTTTTTTAACTATAGCCTGCTAATCACTATCTATTTAATGTTATAGGAAATGAGTAGTAAAAGGGACAGCAGCTTCCACTTGCATGGAAGAATATTTTTTCACAGTGCTATAGCTTTTGTTTTTCTTCTCAGATAGTAGGTATGCTCTTGAGGTACAGTGACTAACTTGTACAGTTGGCATAGTAATGTATTTTCATGTCGGCATTTTAATTTTTTGCTTTTGTCGCTCAAGTGGATGTCTCGACGCGGTCCTCTTGACAATGAAATATTTGTACTTTGTTTTCTATTTGTATGGAAACACAAGTGTTTGTTTTTATTTGTCTATTTGTAGTGTTCATTTTTCCATGAAGTCAGAATGGAATGAGTCTTGCACTGAAAGCATATCCTACATGCAGGTGAACAGCAGTATTATCAAAGATCAAATTGGAGTCTTAAGTGTTTTGGTTAGCCAACCTGCACTTGAGGGCCATCTAGTGGCTGACCATGGAAAGGCCTGGCCTTGTAGTGAAGCTTTTTCAGGCTGTTGCAGTCATCATGATGGTGACTAATTAGCAATGTCTGACTCTTCTGTACACTGTTTTTTTAAAAACCATTTATCTGTCATAGCCCCAAGATATTACTAAGAACCCCTCACTCAGGAAACACACATAAAATCCCATCACTTACAAACTTGGTTCCTTTTTAAATTGAGTATATCTACCATGTATCTTGATCTTTGACTTCTTCACGTTCACGTTCGATTTTCAAAATAATTTGGCACTGAGGTGTTAAAAGACTTGACCAGACTTCCATCAGGGTCAAGAAGTCCAACATTTATTGATTTTAAACGTAGCCGTCCATTTAAATAATTATTTACTGTGCAATGGCATACATGCTGTATCTATTTTTTATTTTTTTTGCAGTTCCTTTGAAGTCGAGTTCAGCTCAGGCTGCGTAGCTATGTGGCTGAGATCTGGATGAGTTTGCTAAAAATGCAAGTTTGTGTCCATTAAAATAATGGGACGAGATTGATGTTGCATGACCCCAAACACTGTAGCTGTTGAACATTAACTATTTTTAATGAATGCCATGTGATCTCAACAGTGTTGCAGCTCTTTGAGTTGATTCAGTTTATACTGAAAAATGCAATATGCATGTTTGTCATTTTTCCCAAGTTTTGTTTTAAACGGAATATTAGTGTAGCTTTTACTTTTGTTCTTATGCATTTACGTAGATACACTATGATAGCCTGTTTGCCAAATTTGATACAATAATAATGTGTTAAACTGAACATTTCTTGGTGAATTGAACATCTCTTTATTTTTAAGGAAAACAAATAATTGGAAATTCCAGGACCCCTGTGAAAGCAGCTGAATGTATATCTTTGTACAAACCTATTTTAGTTCCAAGGATATGGTAGTTACAATAGATGTGAAAGATAAGATAACCTTTTTTATAAATCTTTTGTATTAGAACATTAACAATGGTAATTTTGTATATATGAGAAGCTAGGCTTTCTGAATAGCAGAAAGGTCAAACATTCCTACATTTTTTTTAAATGTATGTTTGTCAAATTATTACATAAACATGCGCAATGTTATGTGCCTTTTATTTGGGTTGTCTAAATAAAAGAAAACTATCAAACGTGTGGATATGTATTAAGTAATGTTCAGTATTACAAAAGTACAGCTGTACAAATATTTAGAAGTTTATTATTTATCTCAGATACAGAATTTCCAGTGTTTTAACTAGAAACTTCCTTCCTTCTGTTTTTGAGTGCTTTGAATACAAGCCTTTGAATGTCTTTGCAGGTGTGCAGACTCTACCGTACCAACCCACTCATAATATCAAAAATAAACAGCCTCCTGCAGTAAAAGAGGAACACCAACTCAAGGCCAACTTTAGTGTTGTACCACTTTATATAAATAGGTGGTTTTGCCCGTCTACTCTTGCTTTACATATTGCCAAACAGTTTACAAAACATGTTGCTAGTTTTTGGCTGGATGGCATCAAGGATGGGCCAGACCCATAAATGGAAAGTATGTTCCTGACTTACTGAGTGAGTGCTGAAGTTACACATGTAGTTTCCCCAATTGGCTGTTGCTCTTTGAGAAGGAAGAGGTGCAAACAGTCCTCAAATTAAATTAAAAACTGAAAGTAAGTTACCTGCTAAAACATAACTACTTATCAGAGGGAAATGTGCAGTACGTTTTACTCCACTATATTATCTGGGGTAACTAGTTAATTGTTATATTAAGATTTAAAAAGCATATATGTTTTTTAAAATACAATACAATACAATATACAATACCAGTGGTTCCCAACCGTTTTGTCTGGTTACCCCATACAAATTAAAGGATGTAATTGGCGTCACTTGTCATGTTTAATGTCAATGAGTTGTTCTACCCAAGAGACACCCTAAACCTTTCAGATGGGTTGTAAGGTACAAGAGAACCTCAAGGCTCCAAGTCTTAATCCATCATCAGTTTTCAATGCATTTAGAAAAACATAACGTTTAGTTAAAGAGACGGCGAGCCAGAGCAGTTAAGCTCAAAGCAACGTTAAAAAAAAAAGTACAGTATACAATATACAATTATACTGTCTGCAGGGCCAGAGTGGGATAATAATTCAGGCCAAGAAAACTAACTGCATTCCAGGTCATACATTAAAACCAGACCAACTGTTGCACTGGGCTCATACTCGCTGTTGGCTTGAATAAGTCCGCTCATTCTTCTCTGATCTCGCTCATTGAGAATTTGTTTTCCTCCACAGAGCTGCCTCTGTCAATTGTCAATTCTAAACACCCAAGTGCATGAAAATGTCTCAAGGGCAGCTGTTTCTGAAATGGCGGGACTACCACATCTGGCACAAACAATCATACCACATTCATAGTCACATAGATCAGTGGTTCCCAACCCGGGGGCTCGGGCCCCCCACTAGGGGTCGCCAAAGATTCACGGTGGGGTCGCGAGGCCTTCTTGATTTTAGAAGAAGGTGTAAGAAAACTTAAAAAAATGTACACAGTAGGTCTATATCTCAGCATTTTATTCAATTCAGTGAAGAAAACAAAATTAAATTGTTATTTTTAAAGTATTTTTCTTTAAGATCTAAATTCTGTGAATATATCTTGTGTTCAGGTCTTCAATGTTCACTCTCTGCTGAACAGCCTCGTCCTGCATTAGAAAAGTATGCAGTTAAAACACCCACAAAGTTAAAAGAACAATGACCAAGCATCAGGGAAAATTTGTCAGAATTTGTCAAAAACAGAAGCCTATTAGGTACCTACAATACATAATACAGAAAGAATAGTATCAAAAGTTCCTAAAAAGTTCAGGAAAACGTATTTCTGATGCAATATTCACAGGGAATAATCAATTTCATCCAAATGACTAATTTTACACAAACATCCTGCAGATATTGCATTTACTATTTGTGTTTTTTACAGTTTATCTGTTGTTCTGTACTGTTATTGTTATGCATTCAATATAATATGAAATATCCATAAAACGTGTCACTCAGACAGGGGTTGTCAGTTTACTCAATGATAGAAAAATGGGTTCCTTAAGGAAAAGGGTTGGGAACCACGGACTTAGATCATGCAGCTTAGCCACTGTTTGGTCAAACTACTGACGCTCTGCTATTTACTGAGTTACAACCAAACACAGAAGCTGGTTGGAGCGGGTTATCCTAAAGTGGCCTAGCAGTGTAAGCAATATGTAAAGCCATCACCCCAACACATATTCTGTTGAAGAATTTAACATCCTCTGGAAGTCAATGTGACGAAGATGTTCCAGTTTATTGAATATGTTTTAATAATAGATTGTATTATCTGTTTCCAGTTCAGATCAGCTTGTTTAAAGTCATTTTCCAAATTCTAGATTCTAATCTCCTTTAATATGTATTGTTTCTGAAAATTTCAGTAAAACAAATGGAAGCATTTCACCGCACTGAAGAGGTTCTTGAAGGTGACTAAAAATGCAGTTCAGAGTTGTCCAGCAGATGGTGTTGTCTATGCATATTTCACTGTTCTGTGCCATTTGAGCTCTTTAGTTTGATCTATGTGTTCCCAACTGGTCCCCGATGTGGGCATAGTGACTTACAGTCTCCTGTATGATCGCAGTAAGCTTGCTAACTAAATGGCTTAAAGTTTGAATTTTATTCTGCCTGGATGACATTTCTTCGATTTCACAGGGAATGGTGATGGAAGCTGAGACATACAAAGACATCAAGAGTATGTGGTTGTGGACATTTCTTAGAGTTGACCACATATTGTATGTCTGAATTTACTATAAAGTCAAATGTGCAAAGGCATTTGTTTCTTCTAGATTACAACACAAAGTGTGGCAATGTTACATCCTACTTCGTGTTTTATCCAGCTGAAGGTACTGACATTCCTAAAGGTCAGTAATAACAAACAAGGGGTTGAACAAGTATCATTTATTTCAAGATCTAACAATGCCTTCATTTGCTTTAAAATATAATCTAGTCAAGCAGTTAAGGCTGCAGCACATGTCTCATGCTGGTAAAGGACTGAAGCCCCCAACCCCACATGCTGCCTCCATCCCTGTTTTCCAGCTGTATGTATGCAGTAGAAATAATAAAGGTTAGAAGACTGCCTTGTCCCTTGAAAAAAAGACACTTGGCTACTCTGTGGGGTGGAGAGTTCAGCTGGAGTTCACGGGAGGCCTGCTCTATCTTACTTCCTGTTTTCATATAAATGCAATAATGTCTAATAGACAATGGACATAGTTCTATGTTCTACATTTTTAAAAGGGCTTAAAGTAAAATTTATATTTTTTTCAGGGTTTTCTTTTGTAATATTGATAACATACAACACAAATGGCCTTGAGTTGTCTCCACATACCCATATTAGTGCTGTCAACTGAGTGTTACTCAGTGAGTGCGGTCTGTACTGAAACATATAGATTTGCACCGCACAATATTTAATAAGTGCACTGGTTATGTAACAACACATTCACATACAGATCAAGGTACACACATTTTTGTAATTGTCATATTTATTTGAATTATGTAATAACCAGACCTGCATTAAAATTATGTTTCCAAAAGATTCAATGAGCAAAGTCAGCTGTTTTTGTAGACTGTAGGCCAAAGGCTGTGAGTCCACTATGATCCCGTCAGGGCTAACCACCCCCCCCCTCGAGCAAAGACGATGGAATCAGACTGTCCACAATCTAATTTAATCTGAAGCTGTGAGCTCTATGCGTGCTGTCTTGGCTGTCCAATAGTACAACAGTTTAAACGGCTTAGGAGAGCGTCAGGCTGGGAAAGGATCATGCTATCCTCAGCTGAGCGAGTCGTGTCTGCAAGTGCCTGTCTGAACATTCCTCATGCTCATTTTTTTATACATACATTGTGATTTTTTGGTTTTGCCTGATGCACATTATTTGTCACAAAACAAAGGTCAGAAATCCCCATGTTTCATTTAAGAGGAAAGTGAACTCTCGGGCGAGCCACTGAAATGTTTTTCCTCAGAGATACTCGAGATCTTTCATGAAATACAGGATAGTGGCTTCTGTTGAGCTCACATCTCACCTTTCTGTGATCTGTCAACTGAAGGGTTAAGTAGTCACAAAGATAATCATTTTCTCACCACCAGAGCCCTTATGTTGCAGTTATGCAATATATGTTAAGCCAGACATATGGTATAAAAGAGGTTTAAATGAATATTTCCCTTAAATTGCAAAGTTTTACTTGGTAGTATTTAACAACATTCTGTTTCCAGCATTAGCTGCCATCATATGGAACAAAATATAACATATACATATACAACCCATATCTCATATGTCCTTAAAGCCTTCCTTTACTCTGATCCCATTGTTAACACTTATTAACTTGATTATGAAGGCAAAGAGGAGCTGAAATTGGCAGGGTGCTATGCTGGCATGTCACCATCAAATCTGTGCTGTTAATACAGCAGGACTGAGTTTACAAAGTACAGGACCAACAACAACAAATAGTTTATGATTTAAACTTGGCTTTGTTGCTGTTTTGTTCCATTGTTGCAATGGTGTCAGATGGATTTACAGTTTCATGCTAAATCAATGTCATGTTGCAATTTTTCAGAGGAATTTATATCGCCAGGTTCCGATCTAGTTTCAGTTCTAGATCGGAGGTCAACTCGGCGGTACACCAAAACACTCTGAATGAGGATTTGAATTCCTTAATTTGATTTTTCTCTCTGATCCCTATATGTCAGCATGCAAGGCTGCTATTTGGACTGGTGCTTGTCTGGCCAGTGCAAGATACAGTACAATTTCCTCAGTAATCAGAAGATGAGAAGAAGCAGATGGACAGATGGAGAGGAGGAACACAGGGCTCCATGAGAAGTGACTCACGTTCCATTGTATAATCAGGGTATATTAAAGGAAGGAACATCACACCCTCATTGCAGCAATGAGCCATGGGTACTGTTGCTTCACGGTTGTGGAAACCTGCACACTCCTCCCACCCCCATACATACGATATACACTGTCCTGAGGACGAAAGATGCACCTTGGTCTCGAAGTTGCCGTAAATTCCATCACTGTCAAGATTTGTAACATACCGTTATTTCTTCACTTTTGGCTGCATGCTCTTGTTTTTTTCAGACTTTTGAGGAGTGCGATTAAACAACAAACTAAACGATGTACTGTTAAAGGCTTAGTGATCTGTAGATGTACAACATCCTTTCCACACACCAAACATCACATCACTGTGGAATGCACAGTCTGCATTTGAATGCAGACCATGTACACTCAACTACATGCAAGTGGAATCTCAACTATGTGGACTTGGATTGGCTGGTAGGGTAGGCGGGCGGCTATGTTCTGATCACAGATATCCACCTTTGATAGAATACATAAAGAGTAGCGGCCTATTAATCATATTGCTAATATCTCTATTCCTATAGGCCTTATGGTGCATCTCTTTTTGCTCAACACAGAGTATGTACTGACAGTGCACGCCGCTGCGAGTGTGGTGAAAGGTGGTGATTATTCTTGGGGCCCAAAGCTACTGTTGCATCGCCAGCGCTACCTCTCCACACTACTGTGCAATTGTGCTGTACCAGTGTAGGAGAAAGAGGAGAGTTCTGGATCCTAAAATTCATCACAGCACCCATGTAATGCAGACACTATCATATTACCTTATAGTACTTTTTTATCTGCTTTGTTGTCAGTAAACAGGCCTTTCCTAGGGGAGGTGGTTACAGCAGGAAAATGGTCATAGCAGGAAAAGCGTAGGTAAACTACACTTATGCATCCCAGTCAGCCACACCAGTGCAGCACACGCAATCGGCCTGTTTCAAAGAACATATTTTCTACACGTCATGTTATGAAAAGCACTGGTGTTACTAATGACATAAACAATGGCTCCATTCAATTCAAGTGCCCCAGTAAGCCATGACAGTGAGACAGTGAGGCAGCATGCAAAATACAGGACCCTAAAAACTGAGGCAGCTAAATGGAATCCAGCCATTGTTGATTCTCATTCTTTGCACCTGTGCTTTTCATTTAAATTACCTTCCTTTCAACAGAAAGTAATTAAGTCGTTGTAGTAATTGTACAACACAATTACTGCTGTTCTTTTTTTTTTTCTTCTTCTTCTTCTTCCTCATTTGCATGTGCGTGAGCGCGCGCACGAGAGAGGTGGTGGGGGGAGGTCGAGGGAGAGGAAAGTAGTGCAGTTTTATTTTTTATTTTTATTTTTTGTAACCTGCATGACTTCATTTCCCAGATTGCACCGCGCCCCGTGATGTTCCCAACAGCTGACAGACGGTGAAAGCCTCTGCCGGAGCTGACGGTGGAAGAGAGTAGCCTCCCGTTCGGTGTAGCCTACACGGACTGAGAACACAAGTCGCGCTTTGCTGGACTCTGGACCGCTTCACAGCCCCTGGGGTCGCCGTCGGGCATCTTGTTTTGATAAAAAAAAAAAAAAGATTAAAAAAAAGATACAAATATTCGGTTTGCATCCTGACTTTTTCCAGATTGGGAACTGGGGACATTTGCTGTCAGCTAACTTCCACAATAGGTCGCTGCGTCGCCGGGGACTGCTGCATATGTTTTATTTGAGCTTAACAGTTTGACTCCAGCCCCTTCCAGCCGTGCCCAATGCTGAGGAATGGATAGTGTGTCTGCTAAAGGTGGGAAGATGGTCGAGAGTGATGAGCAGCCGAAGAGGGATAGCGGCGGTGGCGGCGGCGGCGGCGGCGGCGCAGCGATGGCCGCACTACATCAATGCGAACTCATCCAGAATATGATTGAAATCTCCATCTCCAGTTTACAGGGGCTACGGACCAAATGCGCCGCGTCCAACGACCTCACACAGCAAGAAATACGCACTTTAGAGGTATGAGCTTTTGAGATAATGTGCCCCCCCCTCTCTTGTCCTGCAATAGAAAGCGGTCTAGTCAAATTGCGGAGTCATGAAGCCCAAACGCTATGTCCGCCTCATATAGGCTTAATATTGGCTGCAAGCGAGGCGCCCTATGAGTGTCAGTGAGCTGAGCACATTTTTTTTTTTTTTTTGTCGCTTGCAATATACACCGTACTGGGTCGATGCATTGAGGTGAACATAGGAAAATAAGGTTTAAGTTTTTGGGCTTCTAGATTCCCGAATGGTCGAGATATATATTACTGATGCCCGACCCAGTTATTCGTGTGACCTCTTTCTCTAGGTGGACATATTTGTCAGGAGCCCCTCGGATAGTTCACAGCACCGTGCTGTGCAGCTGAATCCAGCCTGGCCTAATGGCACACATTCAATAATCCAGATACTGCCATCATTTTATGTTCCACGTATTCTGTTCTATGCACGGGGCTTCGTGTCTGTGTCTGTCTGTCTGTCTGTCTGTGTGTGTGTGTGTGTGTGTGTGTGTGTGTGTGTGTGTGTGTGTGTGTGTGTGTGTGTGTGTGTGTGTGCGTGCGTGCAGCAGGCATTGCAAGATAATGTACGACGTGTTCCGTGTGTGTGTGTGTGTGGGTGTGTGTGCACGCACGCGCGCTGCTTTCCTGCATCTGGATGCAAAATTCAGTTCAGTCGTGTTGGGATGACTTGACATTGCTTAGCGCAAGAGATGCCATTGGCTTTACAGCGCCTCAGCATGTCCTGCTATAGTAGGCAGTCATGCCCCGGTAGCATGCAGGCATCAGCAAAGGCTGCACTCAGTATTTTCCCCCTTGCATATTTAAAACAAATGCTCTTATAATGTTCAGATACTTGAATGCTCTTTTTGAAGGAACTACATGATAATCAGTAGTAGCTGTTCTGAATGTGGGCCTTTTTATTTTTATTTTTTAAAAATAATTCCTACCACAATTTGAATATTAATGTTTGATATAGTCTTTTTTTAAGTAAGGGTCACTTGTTTTCAGCCCAGGGATGTTTACGGTCACATATTGTTTTTGTAATATTCTCGGCTGTGAGATGACTGAAGGAATCATGTCATGGAAAGTCCAGCTTCATGTTGTTAGTAACAATGCAATGAGGGGACAACAGGCCCTGCTTCGGATGGGGAGGGTGATGGAAAAGAGGGGGCTGGTGTTGGGGTATAAAAGGCTGATGCACAGTGCTGTTGATGAGAAGTGGTATTGTAAAAAAACAAAAAAACAATACAGGCTTAATGGCTACAAATGTGAACTTGTAGAAGGTGGATTAATGTATCGCTGGTACAGGCTCCAGACATGCTGACACTCAAGAGATATGATAGATGGTAAATGGGTTTTCTGGCTCATGGTTTATTTAAGCATTATACCTTGGATAAAAGGAATATTCACTCCTGATTGGCTCGAGGCTATCAATTATCCATGTCTGTTTTATTTCTGTATAACTGAACACCCCATGAACAATTGTGCCGTTGCCCCTATAAACCAATGTTCCAGAAAGCTGTGAGCATTTAGTTTCAGCCAAACGGAGATGCAATAGCCTGGCTGAACTGGTTTGCTAGTGACCTTCAAAATGTTTAAGAATCGTGGCTGATGAAGAAAATAGTCCTTTTAAAGCACGTTACAATATATTTGAAATCTTGTAACTGTCTGGCCAGGTAGCAACACGGTATCGCTTGCTCAAAATATCTATTGTATTTGTGATGCTAGTTTCAAGGTATGCAGAAAAAAGATACCTTGTACAAGGGAGAGATGGCAAAGCATCCCTTTTAGGTGCAGCTTTTTAACTATTTTCATAATACTAATGTCTACAAAATAATGTGGTAGCTCCTAAGCTGGCTGGCAGGCATCAACTGCAAGTTGGCAAGCTACTGTGTGGGAACAAATTTTCACAGGCTCAAGCAAAGAAGCCCAGTATTAAATGGAAAAAAAAGTATTAACTGAAATAGAAACCAGACCAGATCAGTTTGCATGTTTGCAGTTTGTCACATCTTTGTTTTCTCACACAGAATTAGGGTTTATCAAATGCCAACCTTAAGCACGTTTGGTTAAAACTTAGTCTGCTTGAATAGTTTGTAACCCCTCTTCTTCCACTGTCATGCGTACCTTGTCGCTGTGTGGAACAGGACATGATCTGGCAGAGTACTTCCTGAGGTACGGTGTCTTGTAGGTGCATTTTGCCCCGGCATTGTTCTACATGACAATGGGCAGGCTGTGCCTGTCTCACATGTTTCTTGAAGGCTATTAAAACTGCTCTATGGTCTCTTTCCTGTGGTTCGAGGCCTTTATTTGGTGGGTGGGAGGGGTCTCTGAAAGTCAGAAATAGTGGGTCTGATTACCTCAAGTTAGCTTGGCTGGTTTGGGGTTTAGCAAGCTATTGGCTATTGAACTTTGTGGACCAGAACAACTAGGAATGCATTGGAAACAGGTATAGTGGATACTTTATGGTTTACAGCACAGCCAAATGTATGTTGCAATGGTATATTTATTCACATTTTCTTAAATTTCTATGTTCACTGATTATAATTGTACTTGTGTCTCAGTAGTCAAACTGTTTCTGATCAGCAGTGACTTAAGAGTGCCTTACCTAACATAAAAGAGCGTATAAGTGACTGTACGTAATGCTGTTTTGACTGAAGGAAAGATAAAGAGTGACTAAAGACAACTAATCAACATGTGAGTAGGGATGTCTTCAGTGACCGCTCTTGTCAAAACTTCTAGAGACTTCCCTTGAACTGATTGTTTGCTGTTGGTCTCATTATGCATCAACCGCTATCGGAGTCAGAATCCTCCATCTGTTGTACCTGCAGTTGTTTGGTAAAAGTTTGTGTTCTCTTTTAATTTGTCATTTCCTTTTGACTCGAACATCTTTTACTGTTACTTGCTGTTTCATTATATTTTCATTGCCTCTTGACTGCCATAGATACAGGGTGAGCGGAGAATGTAGGCGTTCCTCCTGCTTTTCATTGATTTAGAAGTACTGAATCATCAAAACCTTGTAGTCATTTAAACTAAGGAAGAAGTCACAACTATTTAAACAGAGAATTGGAAGTGAAGAAAGCAATGGAGAAGACGGTCATGAAGATGACAGCTGAATGCGTTCAGTGACGACACAGTAGCTGCCAGCTCCATAGTTGCTGTCCTTTACCTGTCCTTGACCTTTGAGCACCATGTGAGGGGACAGGAGAAGAAAAGGGACTTTGAACTGACAAAACAAGGATTTTAGATCAGCTGGCGATTGCCGATAAGGCTCGATGTAGCATTTAAATACGGGGTGAAAGGTTCATCATCACTGCTGAGAAGCCTGGTCTAGATGTCTTTTCAAGTGGATCTGGCATAGTGTGGGCAGCTGTCTTGATCAGCAGTCTTATTTCCTGTAACTTTACTGGCACATCATTTTGAAACCACCTCTTGCCACAAGTGTGCACTTTCACTTCTTGTTTTAGCCCTCCGAGAGATTTCACTTGCCACATGGCTCGAATATTTAAAGTCAGCAGATTGTGGAGTTAGTTATAGATTTAGGCCAACCCAGTATAGATCCTGTTATATGTCAGGTGCTGTATTTCAGACACGCACAAGACATGACCCTAAAACTCATTTCATTTGTGTCTCAACCTTGACCCATTGATGTGAAAGCTGCACAATATCTTGATATTCTAGCAAGCACACTGGCTTGCAACTCCCATCTCAGTGTCCAGGTGATCAGCATCCTGTAGCAGTAGTAGCCAGACACGATAGGTGTTTCAGGCTTTGAGGCAACTTTTAAGGTACGATATGTAATTTACGCCGCTAGTTTGGTGACATCATGAACTAGTGTCAGTTGTTGTCATCACCACAATTGTTGTCATTGCACTTCTCCCAGTTCGGATTCCTTGAGTGTTCATTGATCAGGTCTACCTGGATCTGAATTATCCACAGAGGTCTCCTCCTCTCCAAAAGAAATGGACCCAGCGATTAAAACTGCTGACGTTAGCTCAGCTTGTTTCTCTGATAACTTAAGATCCAGACGTCGGATGACTAAATTCCTTTATCTGGTAAAAATACATAGTAATATAAAAGTGTATTGTAAAAATGTGCCCTAAAAAATGGCTCAAATTTAAATGTGTGACAGCTTCTGGCAGACAACCAAATGCATGTGCAAAGGGGATATGACGCCATTGACTGGTGAAACATTACCTGAATAAAATTACGAAATTCTCTGGGTTTGAACATTGTTGGAAACATCTGGGAGTGATATTGGTACACAACTCAACAGCATATTCAACATTGGTCTAGTGATATAGACAATTTGTGGAAAAATATTATATCTTGAATTCATGTGATGAATTTGAGCGAACTTCGCCAGGTCAAAGTAGCTGTCACACCCGTGGTGGAAACTGGTATCGCTCCCATATTGCACTGGAGTGCCATCAAGAGAGGCTCAAACTCACTTTATACTCTCATTGAGAGAGCTTTATTATTCCACTTGAACTGTGTGTTTTTTCTGCCTTGCCAGTGAGAGGATAATGATACTGGCCTCTCAAATGGAGTGCTAACTGGTACTTCACTTTTCACATGTTAATCCCACTCAGCCTGGTCTCTGCCTCTCATGCTGCCTCCGTGTTACTTCTACTGTAGCTCTTTATGTACTCCTGACTTTTGCTTTATCATATCCTCCCTGCACTGCCTTAGCAGCTTGTTTGTTTTCAAGCCAGGCCCAAATCATCACCAGTCTTCATGACCCAGACACTTGGAAACATGGACATGAGTAACAGTAGAACTCAAGGTTTTTGCTTATGTGCTGTGCTTTACATAACCTTAAAACCAGTGTCAAATGCTGCCAGATATTTATTCATTGGTGTGAACCTTTTCTATAAAAGCAATTTAGCGTCTCATCTTTTTTTAATCACTGCTCTCAGTAATGATCAGCAAACAGCAAAGCGTCACTCTGTTTTGTCTCCTCATGGTGTTGGAGAGAGTTTGCTGTGCGCTCGTGGTGCGAGCTGTTGTGGCTGCATCTATATTTAGACATCTTTCTTCCTACGCATTTTCAGGGTTGGTTGTTAAATAAGAAAATCAAATGACGCGCAAAGAGCCTGTGCAAGAGGGGAGAGCAGGGAGGAAAGGGGAGGGGAGAATCAAAAGCCAATCCGCTGGGCTGCTTCTTATGACATGACAACCGCTGCGTGTGTGTGTGTCTGTTGGAGGCCTAGAAGAAGACAATGGAGATTGTTGCTCACATGAGGGTATAAAGGAAACACAACTGTAGTGACTGTAGCAATGCCGATCCTGTCTCTGTTTCCTTTTTTTTTTTTTTGTAGTCGATAAGAATGGACTGCATGATGTGGAAATCAGGATGAACAGTGTAGGCAGGCCTTCATCTATTCTTAAACTGACTCAGGATGAGTTGCATTGCATCCTGTAATTTTGAGGTCTGCTGGGCTTCTTTTGTGGAAAAGGGGGGGCGGGGGGGGATTTGCTTGCCCCGGCTCCAAATTATGAAGAGGTTAGCATGGTTTGCCTTTTTATAAATGGTATATTGTTACTATATGTCTTAGCAACATACTTGAATTATTGTACATCCTAAAGTACATCCTTAATTTTGAACTTTTTATTTACTCCACTATTGTCCACTCTTATCAGCAGTTCCATTTAAAAGTCGTACTCTTGTACATGTTGAGGCCCACTGACCAGATGTCCTTCTGTCAGATGTCACAGTGTAAGCCTAAACTAGTGTGTGTGTGTGTGTGTGTGTGTGTGTGTGTGTGTGTTTGATTGATTGTGTGTGTGTGTGTGTGTGTGTGTGTGTGTGTGTGTGTGTGTGATTGTGTTGCAGGCAGGGACATAGACTAAACTTGCACGGTCTTACTACAGAGAGTTGGAGGCCACTCTGTCACCTCCTCTATCCCCCACCCCCCAGCCCAGTGTAGGGGTCAACTTGTACTGGTGGTAACAATGATGGAGGAGGGGCAGCAGGCCATTGTCTGGGACTGTTAACCATGTACGTTCAGCCTACCGCAAAAATCCATGTGACCTGGCCTCTGCATAACCTGGCTATATTGTTTTGTTTTTGTTTTTTGACATTTTCTTTTTTTTTTTTTTTTTAAAGATAAAACTGTGCATCAGCTGCGAAAGATCGGTGCACTCACCATGGTTTACTTTCATGAACCTGTATAGAATGTGTCCTTGAAAGTGAATATTAAAATTAGCCTTAAATTTGCATTATCTTCGTGCTCCAGTGCCACTGTGGCTACTGTCACATTCTATTTTGACACTGACTGGAGCTGCCGCATGTAAAGGCAGAGGAGACTACAGGCAACTAAAACAACTAAAGGATCCCTGCTCTTGTGTCTCTTTGTTGCTAATAGTGATAATACTGATGTGGTTTTCTCCTATCTCAGAGTTACTAGCTTTTTTTAATGTGCAATAGCTGATATGACACAAGCATTAGGAATGCTTCAGTGGTCTTATTCGCTGTTCCCGTTCTTGTGACAATAAGAAATGTGTGCATTTTTAGTCCGGGAGAAACTGACCTTCCTGTGCAAATATCATTTTCTGGGATAGAGCGTTGTTGCTCGATTCTCACATAGGTCATGCTATCCTTGGCAGGTGCACCAAAGTGGCTGTGTCAGCAAGAGCCTTGAGAAAACAATTGGAGCAGTGGGATCTGCTCCCCGAGTCTGCTGTGTCAGGCAGGCCGCTGCTGGGACTCGTCTCCCCTCTCTGGTGGCTGACACACTGGCTGTCACTCATCTCCTCACAGCATTAGGCTGTTGCCATGGTGTTGTTTAGCTCTGCTGACAGGTGGGCTCTGACGCCATTTGTCCTCCTCCCACCTCCAGGCCACACGTCGAATGCTGCCTTCTCCACTCTGCACCAAAAATAATATGCGAGGGGGCCTGTCATTATCTTTTGGTTTGTTGATGTGCCTGACTGTGCTCCCAACACAAATACACACATTACCGATATCAATGAGGGATTTGGGGACTTGTGTGCTTGTGTAATCCTATCCACCTTATTTACTTAGGATGATAATAGGTGAAGTGAACGCTCTGCGTGTGACTGGAGATAAAGATGTTGGTCATGTTTTGTTGCCACTACAGTCATTGTCCTGTGGAGACACACGATGACATTAGTATGTTGAGTTGTATTGTGCCTGAGCTCTGTGTTTCACATGTATGGGGAAAATCCCACTGAAATGTTGCTGACGACTCAGAAGAGGGGTTGCTAGGTAACCTGACGTCACAGCACTGCACTAGTGTATAGGGAGGTAAAGCAGGAGGCTAGCTCGTTAGCCACATCGAGTAAAGACCTCTTACTGCTGGCAGTGCTAATCCAGATCTCCAGAAACACTGAATTCAGACACTTGATGAGGGTACAGTGAATAATCTGTGAGGCTTTGTCATCCTGTATTTTGCTTTTGTAATGAATCGGGTAGGAAATTTATCACAGCTCCATGTTGTTCAGTCTCCCATCTACTTGGTATACATGCCTGTCTGCCAGGACAAAGCCAGCTGCCTATCTCTCTCTTCCACCCATAGAAGGAGCTGCTCTTACTCACTGGGCTCTAAGGTCAAATGCATGCAGGTTCAAACTCTAAAGATATTTAGGACACCACATTACCCCACTTAGATGTTTGATTTTTTTATAAGCAAGTGGGGTTTTTTTGTGCTTTTTGGGAAGATATTTGGCATTGACATTAAGGCCTAAATGTTTAAATATAGGCATGTAGGTTTTATTTTTGCATTCATTTTCCTCTGGACCAAATAGCTTTTATGATACAGTCCTTACTTGTAAGTTTTGAAAACATCACGTTTTATTAGTTTGTGTTCAATAATGCATGCAGTATTATTATTTTATAATGCTCTCAGTGCAACTGATAATTGATGAGTAAAAAGCTGCAGTCAGAGTCGACACAGAGAGCATTTACCTCCATTCCATCCTCTTTCTCTGTCCTCTTTCATCTCTCTGGCCCACAGTGGAGATGCTTTTGTTAGCTGCCACGAAGCAGGCTTTTTACATCCCAAGGCCACACTTTCTGAAAGTATCGTGGTTGTATTGAGTTTTTTTTTTCTGTCTGGTTGGTGAGTGGATGTGTCAGGGAGAAAGTTGAATGAGCAGAGAAAAGACGCGCGCTCCTCATTGTTGGCTCAGGCATTCGAGAAGTGCGGTGGGTCGAGAGCTAGCTGGTGTTGCACGGCTCATCTGAAGGTGCTGCCTGCTGTAATGGACTCTTACAGATAGACCGCGAGATAAGGAGACACACTATACGGCCGTGCCGAGCTGCACAACGCAGGCCGCTGCAAACTAATACCACGATGTTCATCGTAATACTTACTCACAGGACCACTGCACTTGACATTGGCTTGGAACGGTTGAGGTAAAGTCTCACAGCTTTATATGTCGTTGATTATTTAAGTGTTTTGAGACGGTGACAGGTCTGGCTTTTGAGGGTTAGTGATGTTCTGGTAATGTTAACTGATGCGCCCCACGTCACGAGACACTACAGAAAAGGTCTTCACCAGGGCTTTAGTCATTAATGTGCTGATTAACAGATGCAAGCATCAAGAGAAAGACCTGAGGGGGGGGTTACTGTGCGTCAGTAAGCTACTACCCTGCCTGAACAATGTTGTAAGGGCGGTCTCGGCAGGCGAGCTTTTCTTCTTCTCTCTTCTCCATTCACTCCCCTGCTTCAATGTGGAGTTATTGGTGGGGATGAGGAGACACAGAGTGGAAGGAACTTACAGTTGTAGACACTTCTCAACCATCTACAGCTACAATCTGGAACTTTTTTTATTGGCTCGCACAGGAATTGTGTCATATTTTTTAGGTAATTTGTAATTTGTCGTCGCTATTATGGTTGATCGTGAGAAAAGGTGCAATTCTGTACCGTGCTGTCCGAGAGCTGGTGATGAAAAGAGAGTACAGTAGCTCTGAAACTAACTGGAAAATCGACTGGTCATATGGCACTTTCTTCCGTCATTATGTCACTAAGCTGCTTCCTTGTTCCAAATACACTTGTTTGCTGTGCCAGCACCACAGATGCTCTCATTAGATGACCAGCTCATTGTTCCTCTGTATGATAATAGCTGTTTATATCTAATTAACCGTCTTGTGTGCTGGGGGCACTGGGAAATTGGGTTAAACAAACACTGGAATCATTACTGCAGGTACATTGAGTTCAAAATGGAAAAAGCGGTGTGAGTATGAAGTAATTTGTGCGTCAGGTTAACCTTTATTGTATTGATGGAAAAAGATTTAGTAGTTTGTCTCAGCTGAGGTGATGAATGTTCGACGCGCTTTTCCCTATCTAAGGTCACTTTTGCAGAAGCAACAGTGGTCAGTAGCAATTGTGTTATTACTCCAAAGAATCACTTTGTGTGACGTTGCAGGAACAATAAAACACACATACTGCCAACAGAGAGGTGTGACAGATATCCTCCTCAGCCAAGGCCTGCCTTTAGCTGCGAGTCTGCTCCTAGCACACTGTGAGTCTCCCCTCTAACCTGCCCCTCCCATCTGTGCTGTGTGCTCTATTGCTCCCTGCAGGTGAAGCTGATGAAATACATCTGTAAGCAGCTGCAGTGCAAGCAGAAAGTGCCAGAGACAGAAAGGCCCGAGGCCCTGGACAGCTACCCGCACTTACGAGACTGGCTACGCACCATCAACCTGCGACCGGAGCTCATTGAGGTGGGTCACGTCGTTTGTCTCTCTCCCTCTCTCTCTCACTCTCTGGCCTGTGTGATCATCACATTAATGTAGATTCAGTGTGTGTACTCAGTCACAGCTCACATGTGCATGAGGAATACTTGACCAGTGACCATCAAAATGTCTTTCGGGAAGAGAAGCTTTTTACGATCATCGAGATATAAGCTGCAAACAGTGGCAACAAATCTGAACTTGACCTGATTAATTTTGAAAAAGCTTTTTCCATAGTAGGAAAGTGACTGCTCGCTATCACTCAGACAAGATTAACTCATCCTTCTTTAGATAAACTCCTCGTGGTCGCCTAAAAATCTAGTTCCCAGCCTACTGCCATTTATATCTTTGTGCCATGTGAGTGAGACTGGGGTGGTTTTTTTATACAAGTGTGTGAAGAATTTCTCCATAATAAAAGTTTGTCAACAAGCCAGTCTAACATAAGAAGGGTCTGTACTTGGATTAATTTTGCTTTTAGTTTTGTAAAAGTGTTTAATTCTCTAATTAATTTCATTTTTCCTCTGACCCTAGCTGCAGATTCCAAATTCAATGCTCAGCCAATATTTTCCACATAACAAAAATAATCTTTTGTACAGATGAGAACCAACTGTAGGACTTCCTCTGTTGTAGTATTTAGATGGAAATCTTTATTAGAGAGCAATTTGAAGCTTGTTAGTCTAGCACACAAGTTTACCAGATATAACTCTTGCACTGTACGGTTCTTTAATCATTGGCATAATAGTGCTCCTGTAGACCGACCATACTGTATTTTTGAGACCGACACTGATATGGATTTTTGGGAGTTTTAAAAATCTGGTTACGATATAGTATAGTCTATCATGTTTTTTAACTTATAACTTGGATTGGCTAAGGTACATATCAAGCAAAACATGCAAGCAAGTAATAAATGCAACATCATCTCCTGTCAATCGTTGCATCAGATTGGTTGGAGAGGAACCAGTGATTGTCAGCTCAGTTTATTGAGCCTGCGTTAAGTAATATATTCAACTTGTGTTGGTCCCTGAGCAGGAACACAGACTCCCCACCAGTTAATCTGACCTCTGGCCTCTTTGTGGAGGAGCAGGGGCCCTGACAGAGACATTTCCTTCAGAAACAATCCTTCATCAAAACAACTGTTTAAATATATTAAAAACATTCCCCACTATCTGCTGCTGAAAAGAGGTCACTTTTGATCACGGGGAAACTCCCATTGCTGTGTGCAGTTCTCTTATCGCTGTGGTTTTTATTTATCTTAATTATTACATTATTATTACATCTGGGTTGAGATCCACACTGAAAGTTACACATATGCCTTTGCATAAGGAAGCTACAGTGTTAGCAGTTATGGTGCTGTTTAGTGACTTACACCAGCACCCAGCAACTAGCTGCTTATGCACACCTGACAAAAATGCATCAGTTCCTTTCCTTATTTTGCAGGTTCGGTGCAGTCGTCATTCCACCACATCATTTGTTTGTCACATTTTCTTGTAATTTCCTCTCCTTCCACTGGGTCCCCTTCCTGTGCTTCTGTAAACTGTTCAATCCCTCTCAGACACTGTATGTTTTTAATGTTCTTGTCTGTTTGTCTTGTCATGTTGCTGCACTTGTTATTCTTTAATATGTCGCAGCTTTGGGCATGCTTTGTGTTTTATGTCACTGCCTCGTTCCAGATCTGATTATTTGTCTTGTGTTTACAGTTTCGTCATATCTGTCATGCTCAGCTTTCTGTTTGCTTTTCAGTTTAAACCACACCATGTTCCCTTCAAAGAATTTTAGCTTTGTGCTAGAAAATAAGAGTTTTTGACAGTATAGTAAAAGTGCTCATTTGTATGCCTTGTGTACCAACGGGGATTTCCCAAAACATGTAGAGCCGTCTTAGCATAATGATGACCCATTTAGATCAAACATTATAAGACTGAGATTTCTACAATGCATCCCCTCACTTTACACTATGAGGCCTGGATTATGCAATGGATGGTCAGAAAAACATTACAATGATTGTATTCAGTATTTATTTTTTCTAACCTGGACTCAAATCTCTCTTCTCCTATGCTGCAACTGACAGCGAGGTGTTGCATAATGTTATACAAGCAAGTGGATGCCGTGTTGGCAAGCTTCTTAAATGATCATGTGTGTCTCTCTGTGAACTAATTAATTTTATCTGTGGCTCTACTAAGTAGCCTTATCTTGATTAACCCGGGGCTCACTACAAGGAAAAGGTTGCCAAAGAATCTTGAGCCAGGCCAACATGAAACTTCCCTAAATTGTAAAACTTCACCAAAATAGGCTTTAAATGTGTATTTTGTCAGAGCACATATCTGTTTGTATGATAACATTTAGAGGCGTGTTCAGTTGTGATTGGTTTGAGTATTATATTCTGAGAATTCTAAAACGCCAACTACTAGTAATATTTACTGGAACCCACTTTACTTATCATGTAGATTAAACAACATCGACGTGACGTTAATTGCTTTGTACAGATACACAACAAGTCTGACCAGGAATACTGTCTCAAGGCGGCCACAGCAACAGTAATCATGTATGCAAGCTAGGCTGTTCATGGTGCTAAAATTGTAATGTTATTATGAGTGAGTAGGTGGGAGGGGAGCGGAGGGCCCACAGCCACTTCTGAATATCACATCACTCACCCTTGTGTGTCTGTGCGTCTGTGTGTGCGTGCGCTTCCTTTTGCTTACAGTGTACACATGAGTGTGGGAGGGTGCCCTAGTTTTCTGATCAGTGTTTGCCCTCTCAGAGCAAGGGTTTAACCTGAGTGATAAGCGACTGCGTACTTCCCATGTCAAAAAAACATCCTAAACTCACTGGACTATCTCCGTATTTCCTTCTGTGGTCTGTGAACTGATTGTGCTGTCGTGTTGTGCAGCAAATACCTCAGGCTCATAGTTCTGTCTCTGTAGAGCTTCACTTTCTGTTCACAATCTTGCCATAAGCTCTTCTATTCTATTCAACAATTCTGATAATTGTTCTTACATGTACGACGTGCTTCAGTAAAGGTCCTTGCTTGATGTTCAAACTACTATTTAACTAAATGGTACAATTTTTCAAGTACAGATGTTTAACTTGCTGCTCAGAGGTACAATCACATTGTGATATGTGTTTTTCAAGTTGTTATAAATGTAGTTTCCCACCATGAATCTGTTGTTAATATATTTGTAGATAACTAGGGCCATCGCTTGTTTTATTAATCTAATCTTATTGTTGGTTTGAGTACTGTTTTACTGTTTGCTAGTTTAAAAACACCCAGTACTCTGTTGCTTTCTCTCTCTGTGTCTTTTCATTGTGTGATAAAATAGCTGATTCACATTATAATGTCTATTATAAGTTGTTGGTTACACGTAGTAGGTTGCAGGTTGTCACATAAGGTTGACCTGTAACTTTTTGGAAAACGTTTTGTCATTTAGTTTTTTTTTTTTTTCAATGTGTATATATTTTACACAAACATACAAACATATCCTCCAGTATAATTGCAAATCATACCAGGTTGCACTATATTCAGTCCTAGCAGCCATGTAAATGTGCCTACCAGTCCTAGCCAGTTTTGCCCTACTAATGGAAACCTCTGCTTGCACAGTGTTATGTTATGCAGAGTGGATACACACAACACGTCTATTTTCTTCCTGTTAGGTGCTGTCAAAGACTGCACTTTACTTAATCTATGGCATAGATGTGTTATTCAGGAAGTGAATCTGACTCACCAACAGTACTATAAAAGTATTGAATAGACACGTAATCACACTTGATCTTAAAAAGTCTCTGCATTGACTCAGACTTGACCAAAACTTGTCCCTGCTTGGTTTTGAACTTGAACACGGTGACATTGACCGCTGCAGATTTTGGGGCCCATCTAAAGTTTTTACTACTATCTATTGTTACAGGCATAAAACCAGGCCTGTAATCTGCACTTATCTCCCAGATATTCTATTTATTTATTTTATTTAAAAGGGTCCATGTGCAGTTTAAAACATAAACGTCACCATTTGATGCGTCGTACCAGATTATAGCTTTAAGCTAATAAATGGAAGAAGTGGTATGTGAAATGCCACAAACAAACAGGATTACGCTGATTTCCAGGAACAGTACAAGTTAGAGGTTGTGTGACCTATTTAGTATCCCCTACCATTCTGCCCTTTTAATGCTGAGATTTAACCTACTATAGGCCATGATACTGGGACCACTGCAGTGTAGTAAGACTTACAACAGAAGGTTTTTTTATTGATATTATATAAACAACTTCAAGCAGAATGTCTGCTTTCTCCTGTGACACATAATGATCACCATCAGCCTGATTACTTATAATTGATTTCCTCTTAATGGTATACTTATTGTCTTTCTTCTTGTGGAGCTTCCCACTGATACATCATGCATATTGCTTTTGGTTTTTGCTCATTCTTGTATAGTTGCTGAGTGCTCACCCTCTGTTTTTCTCGGTTTTTCCGCTCCGCAGGCAGTGGAAGCGAAGCTGTCCCTGGATGCCTTACTGCAGATGACAGGTGCTCAGGTGAGGGATACAATGCGAAGACTAGGGTCCAGTTCAGAAGAATGTGCCAGGCTCAGTGCTGCCCTCTCCTGTCTGAAGAGTGCCACTGAATCAGGTATGTATTTACTCTATGGCTGCCTCCATGATCAAAAACATCAAAGTGTATCATCCTTGGTCTTTGTACTGGTGGTGTTTTTCTGCTCTCCAGGAGGTGAACTGAGGGAAGACGGCAGTCCGTGGCTGTCTGAGCCCACAAGGAGAGACAGCGGCTCTCTACTGACTGCAGACCAGCTAACCAACCTGGGCACTCCACTTCGCCCTCACAGTCCCTCGCCTCTCGCACGCCCATCCACCATCCATTCCACCCCATCCACCCCCTGCGCTACCTTCCCTCATCCCCGCTCAGGCTCGGTGTCAGCGGTGCCAACGCCCGAGGCACTGGCATCATATGTCCACAGCGAAAGCCCTCTTACAGACCCATTTCCCATGTCCTTAGCTCACGCAGCTCGGCTCCACGGACACACTTCCACCCCACCCATAACTCCGCCGTCAAAGAGGCGTCACCGACTGAAGCCCCCCTGCACCCCTCCTCCTCCGTCCCGGAAAGTGCTGCATCTGCTTCCCAACATCACCCTGACGCGCAGCAAAAGCCACGAGTCCCAGCTGGGCAACCGCATCGAGGACCCACCCACGAACAAGTAGGTGCTCACAAAGCGGTGTGGACCAACATAGTGTTCGAGAACTCACCTTGTCAAGAGCTTTTCATCAGTAGGTCAGATTAGACGTGAATGGGAATCCTCAGGTGGCATTGTAATTGTAATTTCCACTGTCCGCTTCGTTTGCACAGGTTTACAAGCATGGAGGAGTTGTGAGGGAAGGTGGGAACGTGAGAGAAGAGCTACAGTATCTTTTAGTTAGCTAGCATTTGTTTTATTATGCAGGCATTATTACAGCTATATTTTGCGGTCTCAGTTGCTGTTACACCTTGATTCCCTCTTTTACTAATGACGGATATGATAACTCCAATCCATGAACATGTAAACCTCATTACATTTTAGCAGACTTTTTGTTCAGATTCTACTGCAATTCTACTATTACTATTAAATACTTGTGATATGATTTATTCTCATATGTTCTCATTCAGATAAGTATGTTTGTGTAAAATCATTCTGCTGTTGATTTCCTAAATTGATTAGTTTTTATTAATAAGGGATTAATAGATCCACAGAAAATGAATTGATGGCTATTTTAATAAGAAATGACTTACTGTATGTATATAAAAAAAAATCAGTCTTTATAATCAGAAACTTTCTTAAATCAATATCTAAAAAAAAGTATCTTGAGATAAATCAGTATTTTGAGAAACCTTTCTCGATTTGGTAAGACAACTTCATACACTATATTAGCCAGAACTATATACATGACACATTGTATTTGCTACAAGGCTCAGAGGTGTTCATATATACAAGGAAAAACCGTCTTTGAGCAATGTAAAATTGGACAATTTAATTTCCACACACATTGTAGAAATAAAGGGACCAGGTTTTTCTGAAAAATAAACAAATGGCACTAGTGGGTGCTATTGTACATGCATGATCATGGTTGTATTACAGTAATTGGGTTACTGTTGCTGCCTCCTGTTTCACCTACTGATGACAACAGTTGCTGGTGCGGTTTTCCTCTAAGTTCTCACCTCAGTTGGATGCTGTGTCCAGACTGAAGCAGAGCTTTCCTTCGATACACTCACATTTGTATTCTCTCTCCCTCTTTCACATCCCTTCACATCCTGTTGCTCCTTTGCTCTGACTGTGTGAGTGGAGCTAATCCCCGCACAGATTCCCAGAGATTATGACTCATGTCAAAACAGGAAGTATTTCCTAGGACTAATGCTCAGAGGTGGCAAGACACACACACACACACACACACACACACACACACACACACACACAATCTCTCTCCCTCTCCCTCATTTCCCTCTCTCTCCCTCTATTGTGATTGGATGCACATACACAAACAAGCCACATGTTTATCCATAATATCCTGTCTGTTTATGGAAAGCTTAAAAAAAAAAAACTGGCAAAGGCAGAAGTAAATATGGCTGACATAGAACCAATGAATCTAACGCACAACCAGATGATCCTGCTAGTTTATCCTGGCTTTGTACAACAGCACCTGCTGTTTTCAACAGCAATGAAAACAGGTCACAACTCTGATAGCTGATTGAACAGATAAAATTAAACACATTTTTTTTCTTACTATGATTGCACACGTGCGTACCTGCATGCATGTGTGTGTGGACCACAGAACTTGGTGCGTCGGTCCTTGTGACTTCAGTCTGGGTGTTAAGGATGTCACCCTGGCTATCCCCTGCCAATGCTATTTACGTACTCCAACGTGCCTCTCTTTAGCCCTTACATAACAGTATGGTGTACAAGCGATGCTGCAGAGCTGGTATCCAGTCTACTTTATGTCTAGTTTATGCCTGGACCTCCTGAGACTCCAATGTTGTATTTATTGTTTTTTCTTTGTGCTTCTCCGTTCTCCAGGTGTGTTAAAAAGAATAAGTTACTCCTGAATATGCAAGTCAATGGGAATGGATGTGAGGACTCGCCTTCTCGCTATCCCGTCATGTCTGCACGGACCCCCGGAGTCACCCCGGCTCCCACTACATCATCTTACACCCTGCCTGGCACGCCCACCCTCCTAGAGGAGCACAGCACCATTAAAAGTAAGTCATTCATGTGTATACATTTTTATTTTGCTGATTTGGTGAATATACATGTCAAAAACAGTCTGTTTTTAGATTGGAATGTTTATCCAATGTGTCCTGTCAGAAATAGGGTGTGTGGTTTGACCCTATTCTAATGCCAGAATCTAAATTGTTAAAAGCTTTTTATGAGACTAACCACTTGGGTTACTTCACCATCACTTCTTTCTCGACATAAACCAATCCTCCTCCTTGGTCTTTCTCCCCTTCTTTACGTCATTCCATCTCTTTTTCCCTGACTAGATAACGTAGCAGTGCATCGCAGCTCCCCACAAGCAGTGAGGAGGGACATAGGCCTAGCAGTCACACACAGGTATATCATACTTTTACAACTTTGCAATATGTTCTGTACTAAGCTTATGTCTTAATAAAGCAGAATAAAGTTATAAATGAAATAACAAATTAATAATAATAACCAGCAGTAATGTTATACTGTAGGTTTAAGAGCATTTCTTGTGTCTCTGTAGGTTTTCAACCAAGTCCTGGCTGTCCCAGACATGTCAGGTGTGCCAGAAGAACATGATGTTTGGGGTTAAGTGCAAACACTGTCGGTGAGTTGAGCACTTTCTATTTTTGTCTCTCAACTGAAAGTACTTTTTCATTGACTGAGACAGTAGAACAGTACCACGTTAATACACAGAACAAGAAATTGCAGGACAGACCAGATTGAACCCTGGGCATGTGTAGTGCATGGAGCTGCACATATATTGATTGCTACTGGGTCTCTCATATCATCCCTACTTTCTGTGCAGGTTAAAGTGCCACAACAAATGCACAAAGGAAGCCCCATCCTGTAGAATCTCCTTTCTACCAAGTAAGCTTTGTTTTAATCCTAAGTCTGCAGTTGATGGACGCACTGTTTGGTGTGAAATGTGACATTTCTAATTTCTCTTCTAGTCGCCAAAATTCGGAGGACTGAGTCTGTTCCATCTGATATAAATAACCCTGTAGACCGACCGGCAGAAGCACCGCAGTTTGGCACACTACCAAAGGCCATTACAAAAAAGGTAAAAATGGCTTAGGAGTTCAGCTTTACAACGCACAGTATCACTTTATGTAGCACTTTAAAACAGTACTGATAATTACAAACGATGCACCCTGATATAAACTATGTAAATCAATAAAGCCATGGTGTAGAGTGCCACTAAAATGCAAGACGACAGTTTTGTCTCTGGCACTTATTGTATATAGTGTTTGCATATATAAAAATGAAGACCACATTCGTCATAATCCCAATTGGTTCCTGTTACATAGACGACCTTTCTCTGATTCCGTTCTACATGTTTGTTTTGGAGAGAAGGGAGTCATTCTGCAAGTGATTCTGCCATCCGCTTTTCAGTCTTTACACCATCTGCCCTTTCAAAACATTGTAAAGATCGGTGATCTTCCTCTTCATTTTATGCCATCAAGCACTCCTTATTTCTGCTAAAATGCAGATGTAGAAGTCATCTTAATTACAATATAATATAATGATATCTATCAGCTCTGATTACTGACGTTTGCATCCATCCCTACCCCACCAGGATCATCCTCCAGTGCTGAACCAGCTGGACTCCAGCAGCAATCCGTCCTCCACCACCTCGTCCACACCTTCCTCCCCAGCACCCTTCCAGCAGAGCAACCCCCCCAGCGCTACTCCACCACCCAACCCCTCGCCCAAAGGCCATCGGGACAACCGCTTCAACTTCCCAGGTATCTCCCTCACATTTGCCTGGATTTAGAAACATATCTGGAAAGTACAGTACAGATACTCAGCTAATGTAGCCTGACAAATTCAGTAGAGACGCACATAGTGCACATTCTGAAATGTGCAAGCTAGCGTTGTACTCAGCCGTCCGTCCCATTCTCATGAACGCAGTATCTCAGGAACGCCTTGAGAAAATGTCCTCAAGTTTGGCACAAACGCCCACTTGTACTCAAGAATGAACTTATTAGAATTTGATGGTCAACGGTCAGATCACTGTGACCCCACAAAACTATTTTTTGGCTACAAGAATTTCACACAAATGTCTGATATGATAAAATTATAAAGTGATGAAATTTTATATCCAAAAGGTTCAACAGTCAATTTCACTGTGACAACATAATATTCTGCAAAATAACTTTTCTGGCCATTATTAAACGCCATAACTCAGGAACAGAAGGGGTGATTGTGGCCATATTTAACATGAATTGATGATACTAATCTTGGGGGTGATTGTATAGATCTTCTATGCTGCCGGGTTGAGGGTGTGTGTGCATCCACGTTAGTTCACAGTACAGGTAGTTTAGTATCAGTATTTGTAACATTTCAATTAAAGGTTTGGTTGGTTTAGGCACAAAAAACCTCCTGGTTAGAGTATGTTCATCAATTGTTACATATACTCTATAGATAATCTGCAAATCATCACCAAATGTTACAAATAGTCTCTAAACTATTTGTAGGCGGACCATCCAAATTAAGAGTTATCTTTGTAGCCTCTATGTTGCAACTTCCATACTTGATGCATTGTAGTCCAACACAAGCTCGTTGATTTCGCTGATATGGACCTTCAAGTGATTGTCATTGTAGCATGTGACAAACCTCTATATCAGTCCTCTCTACTCCTCTGTAAAAATTCATCTCCAAACAAAGACAGTGTTTCTGGAAACGATTTACTGGAATCATACATGTTAACTTCCATTTCACCCGAAAATCCACTTAATACCTTATATTAAATCCCTCCAAAGTCTAGATAGATATTTTATATGACTCAAAAGACATGGATATAAACTGCAACTTTCTAGTTTTCCCTGAATCACTTTTCCAGGTTCACAGTTTTTAATAGTATAGGCCACAGACAACCTTTTCATAGCTTCTCTCTCATATCTGACATTAACACTACTTAAGAACTACTGTGCTTTTTACATGATCTGTTCATTCAAAGCTTTTCTAACCAATGGTCTCTCTCCCTGCCATGCTTGTCGGTCTTTCCCTCTCTCTTTTCTTTTTGCAAAAGCTGCCTGTTACTTTCAGCATAGACAACAGTTTATCTTCCCCGGTGAGTTGACGGTTCCAACGTGTCATGCTGCATTGTTATTCTCCCATCATTGTTCATTCCCCGAAGCTCTCTGTATCTCCTCTGCATGTTTGCTTTTAGGGTTGTGGCAGTTACTGTAGCTATCTTTCACTGTGTGCCAGCACTAGGATTGCATGTTGACACTTAACAGCCTTTTGACACCATCTGCTGGTGGTAGTGGGAAATTGCATGAGAAGTCATGTTCTGTATGTGGTGGGCCGTGTAAAGGACAAGGGGGGGAAATACAAGAGGTCTAGATTTTTTTGCTCCACTCATTCCTTCCTAAACCATCTTTTTTTTTCCCTCTACAGATGTTTCCAGCCCTGCTCATTTGCACCCCGATGTCCTCCAAGACACTGTGTAAGACATATATATATATATATATTAGAAAAATCGAGTTCACTCAGTTTAAGTGAAGACTCAAAGGTTTTATTATGTTTTTATTTTACCCCTCTGATATCAATTCTCTGTGTCACCGCAGTGAGATAGAGCAATCAGCAGATGACATACACGCTGAGCTGGCTGAAGATGAAGATGAAGAGGTAATGTTCCACCATATTGTGTATGCGGTAGACTAGAGCCAGACCAATATGGTATCTTTGAGGCCGATGCTGGTTTTAAAAGGGGAAATTCACAGATTACCGATATGGCAGCCGAGTGAATAGTGAATGTTTAAACTCTAATGAAAATAGAGCTTTTGCATGGGGATTGTGCACCAGTATGTATATGTTGAATTATTTAACATGTTAAATAATTCAACATATACATTGTCAACCAATTCTAGTAGACATTACCGAGAGCTGCTTCTTCTCTCTTACCCTGTGCTGCTTGCCACAGTATTGTAAATCACAGCACACTCTGCTGGATTAACTTTGCATTGACACAAATATATTATGACAAGCATTTTGTTTTCTGCGTTACATAGCAATAATGGTCGGGCTCTAGTATCCAGTCTAGATAATGAAGTTGTTCAGATTAGATTTTTTTTTTTTTTTAAAAAAGACTGATGTTGTTGTCCTCCCAAGCTAGCACGGGGATGTCAAAAGAAATAAAATGAGTCAATGGACTGAAAGACTCAAATGTCATTATCGAGCTCACTGAGCAATAATTAGCTTAAACAACCTTGGGAAGCACTGGACTAGTGACACAGGATGCAAAACAGCCTGTTAACCTTAATCAAAGCTGAAAATGGTGTTGTTGACCCAGATCATAATAAAAGAAGCACATCTGAATGGATGTTTGTTATGGCACCAAAATGGGTTTTGAAAATCAGCTGTCAAAGCAGGGAGACATGGGTCAAACTCATTTCTTTCTAACTGTGTTGGACTTGGAGCAGGTTAAAGGCCATAGATCTATTCTATAAATCCAGATACATCAGGTCTTTTTTTAGTGAGCAATGTAATATGATGATAGCCAAAAAACAATAGCTCCTGTGACATTTGTTTATTGGAGCCAGGTTGACCTGTTTGGCTGTGATGTGGCTGGGGCTGTGATGATATTAATTTTATCAGGAAAGTATAGCTGACCTCAAAATATCACTGTTTTACAACTGAGACAGAAACACAAAGCTGGAGACAAAGGAAAACGTTTAAGTCATTGCTGGCTCACATTTACATAATATATTGAAGAGCAACAGCACAATATAGATAATATAGATAGAAACGTATTTTATGAATGTATAAGAATAGAAACATCTGACCACAAGTAAGCAAATTTCACATTATAAGGTAACCTTTATTTTTACTTAACCTTATTTGGGTAGACTTAATGTTTTTATGCACAGTGGTATAACAAAGCCATCACCCTACAGGAGGGGGAGGAGGAAATTGAGGTTGAAGACGAAGACCCCGAAGGGGAGGAAGAGAATGATGAAGACGAGGAAGAGAATGAGGACGATGGGGAAGATGAAGATGACGGGGAGGACATTAGGATGAACATGGGCTCGGACGGTGAGTGCGATGAGCTGGACGATCTGCCCAGCTCTCGGGGAAATCAGTGGAAGGGCCCCATTACGCGCAAGCCAAGTCAGACCAGCGTCTACCTGCAGGAGTGGGACATCCCGTTTGAGCAGCTGGACCTTGGAGAACTCATAGGAAAGGTGAGGAGTCCAACCTAGACGTTAACAGTATGTTTAAAATATACAGAAAAAAGGAACAAAGGCTGAAGTCGCTTTTTATTCACTCAGGGCCGCTGGGGCAAAGTGCATAAGGGTCGGTGGCACGGCGAGGTCGCTATCCGACTTCTTGAGATTGATGGGAACAATCAGGACCATCTGAAGCTCTTCAAGAAAGAGGTGATGAACTACAGACAGACCAGGCACGAGAATGTGGTCCTCTTCATGGGGGCCTGCATGGCTCCACCCCACCTAGCAATCATCACCAGGTGAGAGCAGAAAGATCCTCAAAAACACACCTTGGAAATGATTTTAACCCGAATACGTTTTCATCTTCAGTTGAAACGTTTCTTCTCTCTCCCCACAGTTTCTGTAAAGGGAGGACGCTGTATTCAGTTGTTAGAGACACTAAAAACACTTTGGATATTAACAAGACCAGACAAATTGCTCAGGAGATTGTAAAGGTAATGTTTTCTTTTATATCTATTCAAAGCTTGTATTGGTGCATGTCCAGACTATGATTGCAGCACTTATAAGTGATGTTGAAGCCACATTTCATGTCTGCAAATTGACCTTCTCCAACCCTGAAGTAACATGCCAAGAAATATTTTCATTATAAGAAACAGGAAATATAAATATTAAATATGATAGTTTATTATTATTTTTTAAATGTATGTTTAATTTAGCTCTTTGGTGTGTAATTAATATTCCAAGAGCATGTTGCCAGTTCAGTCCAATTCTTAATGCGCATGGTACTGTAATGGTACTGAAAAGGACTTGAATTGTCCATAACAAATGAAAGAACAAGAAAAGCACTATTTTGAGTAAACCCTTGTACAAATGCACACAACCAAAACCCTCAGTGTGCACTTATAAATAGTCAAAAATGTAAACAGGAGCATGAATCAGTACACACATCCTTGTCTGAATCAACATGAAAACACTTCCTGAACTGTCACTGTTTGTCTTCCGGTACAGGGAATGGGCTATTTGCACGCTAAAGGCATTGTTCACAAAGACTTGAAGTCAAAGAACGTTTTTCATGATACCAATAAAGTCGTGATTACAGACTTCGGGCTGTTTGGGATCTCTGGAGTTGTTCAGGAGGGGAGGTAAGAAACACCACTCAAGAGGCCTTGAAAACACAACCTCAGCTTGAAGTGCTGTTAACACTGCACTACTATTACCTGGGGAGGTCCAGTGATTTGTAATAATTGCTGAGGTCCACAGCGGCTTCAGTCCTGCAGGCATCTCCCTTATCAGCTAGTATTTTGTGCAAAGACTGAAGTCTCCTGATTGTAAAATCTGAATAAAACTCTTGTTATTGAAGCACATTTTTGAACACACAGTTTGCTAATTTTGTACTTCCTCTGTGGGTTGCTTCATGAATAGCTGTTTTGTACACAGGAGCTGGAGATAGATTGCATTTAGTTAATGCATCTTTCCACTCAAATTTTCCACTCACCTTTTTAATTGTGTGTAAAAATGTGTATCTTTTTTTTTTCCAGGCGTGAGAACAAACTAAAACTTCCACACGGATGGATTTGTTATCTCGCACCAGAGATTGTGCGCAGGATGAGCCCAGGTAACAATGAGGACCGCCTTCCTTTTTCCAACTCAGCAGATGTGTACGCCTTTGGGTAAGTTCTGCACACTTACACACCTTAGTTAACTTACTGTAAGCCCTTGAGACCTACTGTCACACCTGTTTCTGACCTTACCGGGAGAGTTTACCATTCAGCAGTATAACCATATTTTTGCTTTCCCCCCTTTTTAAAGGACCATTTGGTATGAGCTTCAAGCTAGAGACTGGCCAATCACCAACCAGCCTGTGGAAGCTACCATCTGGCAGGTGGGCAGCGGAGAGGGCATAAAGAAGGTCTTGGCGGAGATCAGCCTTGGCAAGGAGGTCACTGTGAGTTGAAACAGAAGCACAGAAGTGTGTCAGTCATTCAGAAAAATACGTGTTTATTCTACTTGTATAAGAGTGGCAAATGATCAACCGTGCTTTAGTGATTGCAAAACTTTGTAGATCGATCATTCATAGTCCACAGTCCAGTGAGCGCATGGCTCAGTGCTTCGCCAGGTGCATTGACTCAAAGTGGTTTGTCGTCTCAGGAGATCCTCTCTGCCTGCTGGGCGTACGACCTGAGAGAGAGGCCGACCTTCACCCAGCTGGCCGACATGCTAGAGAAGCTGCCAAAACTCAACCGCAGGCTGTCCCACCCCGGACATTTCTGGAAGTCTGCAGAGTAGGTATCCAGAAATGAAGGACAATGTGAAGACACTGAACATGTGAAAACAAAAAGAAAATATCCCTCAGTTCTTATTGTGTATGTTCTGTATTTTATGGTTCCTTGCGGTACAAAGCCTTGGGATTAGGGATGGGGATACATAGTCATATTTATAAATAATATCCATAAATGGATATTTGTTTGGTATAATTTAAGAATAAGAAGAGTTAAATAAGTTTGGAGTATTTCATAATTTCTGTTCATTATTGCACATGACCCAAATACGCTCACTGCACCAAGGCAAAGCTCTTCTCAGCACTGCTGTGGCTTGCTCTCGAATGAAATATGAACTTTGTAGTTTATATACGCCAATGTGAATTATAAAGTTAAATGTATTAATTGTCCAACATCACTCTTGACAACTGTGGCACATTTTTCACCGAAAAAAATGACTGTCGCACAGTGTGATTAGATAGTGTGTTGCCATGTCCAGTTTCTTAAACAAGGCTGGCAGGACAAGTAAAGGCTTCCACAGACAGATCCACACACATATGGTTCGCATTTGTATTAATTTCTGTCCTCATGCATGTGTGAAACAGCAGTCATTTTGCCAAACTCACTGTACTCTAGGGGTGTAACAGTTGTCTTTTTTTACATTCAAAACTTTTGTTGTGGTTGAACAAAACTGTCTGACCACCCTAAAAAAATCTTCAAACTAAATCCTCAATTTGAATAAGTGATGAATCGGATTAAACAGAATGGGGGGGGGGATTTGTCAGTTGCTGTTTGTAAATACAAGATTCAAAGTTGGACACATGCAGAGCAAGAGCAGTGGAGAGAATGAAGTGAGGGAGCTGCGTTACAGAGAACAGAGCAGTGGGTCTGAGAAATAAAGCATTATTTTCTGATTGTTTCACAGCGGTTATGTTCTATAGCACAAATAAACACGGCCACACCTCTGCACAACCCTGCTAGAAGGAGCCACTTTGCCAGATGTTGTGTGAATGCAGGCGAAGCTACCCTTCATCCTGTCTGCCGTGTGTGTAGCGAGGCTCAACCTGGTCATGATGTTTTTAGAGTCCTGACAGGCACAGCGATCGAACATTAAAGCCTGAAGCTTGAAACTATTTGTTACAGCCCTACTGTACTCACTGTCTTCTAGGTATAAATAATGGCTAATTTGTGAGATATTATCTTAAATTGAGAGTAACTCTACAAAATGTGAAACAACCAATTAAAAATGGAGAGAAGGAGAATTTTTGGACCTGACCAGGGGGGAAAAATCATTTAAAACCTGTGTTTTTTTAGTTCTGTATCTCACATGTTGTTATCACCACCGATATGTGGTCATCCTATTTATTTCTACACCAGAATGGCTTTCATCTTCTTTTTTCTTTTTTACCAAGACCAGCTTTTCCACTTCCTGCTGTCACACACAATCTACACATTTATTTACATGTCTTTGTTACAACTTTACTTGCACACCGTGTTTTCCACTTATTTCCTGCTTCTTATGATTTGCTTTTTCACAGTCTCTGTTGTGTTTGCTCCGAGCTTACAAACAACTTCATTTTGAATGTAAACCCAGGTGAACAGCTTCACTATATAGTTACATGCCAGTTTTGTTTCGCTGGATGATGGGAGAGATGCAAGTGTGTTTTCTTTAAAAGAAAACAATATAAAGACTTAAAGAAGTCTGCTTGGTCAAGAAATGATACAATGAATCTTAAAATAATCTCTTGATTGAACTCACACAGCCTGACCTGTTTTTAAGCAGTGAATGTCCTTTGACTAATGTACATGTATGTAATATCTTGCTGCTTTTTCAAATTATGCTTTCTTAACTGTTACACTTTCACTAACCGTCTAATGTTTGTGTTTTCCTTTGCTCTCTACTCTCTTTTCTTTTTCTCTTTTCTAATCTAGGTTGTAGCAGTCACTCTGAAATATAAGCAATGCAAAACAAAGCCTGGGTCTGCCTTGCATGCTCCTGTATCCTTAACTCTTACAGGATTGATCAAAGCATTGCCTCTGCCTGAAACAGACGCTGCTTCCACTAATCCACAGACTGATCTTCCATGTCTAACCCGTTGCGTTTTCTTGTTGGGAAGAGAGGATCGGTGGAATGAGGTGTGGCGGGCGGGGAGGGACGCAGCGGTCATCCTCCACGCTTTCCCTCCTTTCGTCTAATATCTCTTTGCCTTCCTTTTTGGTTTTGTTCTGTAATGTTGTTGGGAACTCTGAGGCTTGTGAATAACTGGCTTGTGGTGTCTGTGCTGAGACTGACTGGTGTGCTGTGGTCTGTGCCTGCTGATGGCTGCCCTGTCCTCGGCCTGCTCACCTATTCTCTGTGCTGCTGTGATGTGGTTGTTATCGCCGGGGGCCCCTGACCACACGGCTCTTTTTCTCTCTGAAACACACGCACACACAAAGAAACACACACTGCTGGACATAAAATGGACCCTACTACCAAATGGACCACTTCATTTATCTATGTTTTTTTCCCCCTGAGGGGTTGACACACGTTTGACAGGCTGCTTGAGTGATGTTCTCAAACCAACTGCCTCTGTGCTCCTCTCTCTCAGTTTTTAATGTTTGTGTGATAGCATGGGCTGAGATGGTTGCCAGCCCATGTCTACACACAATATGCACTTTGTCAACAGGAAAAAAAATAATCACGAACTCTTTGTTGTTGTTGTTTAGTTTGATTTTGAATAGTCATATTTTGCAGTGTTTTCTCTTTTTTTTTTTTTCATCAGGAGGGTCTAAGAAGCTTGGATAGTGTGATATGCTCACTTGTATGTTGTCTTTTTGAAGTATAACCTGGTAAATTCACTGTTTATTAGACGCATTTGAAAACAGGGCACTGATGAAGACTTCTGTATGCTAAACGGCAGTTGAAATGAAAAGAAACAGGTGAAATATTCCCTTCATCATTCACAATCCACATGGGAATAGAATAATGCTGGCTATTTATGATTAAAGACTTTTTTTAATAATAATGTCCATCCATTGAAGTGTAAAGTGCACCTTATAAGAATATGAGTTATTTACAAAGTTCCTTCTTTCAAGAAGTTGAGTGATTTCATTCTCTGCGCAAAAAAAATATAAATCAGGAACCTGGCGCAAAAGTGTCCTATATCTTCCTAAAACATTACCTCTTGTGCGCGCTTGTGTATACCGTTTGTGATTGCTGGCTTCAGTTGGCGTGCTTGTATTTATGTGTTGTGTGTGGGTGCACGTGTGACTGAGTGAGCGTACTGTGTTGGAATACGTAGGGTTGGTTTTCGTGAAAGACTGCAGTAAATGTTGTGTTGCAAATCCAATGGTATGTAATGTACATACATTATTTAATGTATAGCAAATGAACCTGATTCTTCTAATATTTGTATAAACATTTTATATGTAAAATACATCACAACATTTTTGAATAGGTACTGCTATGGCTATTACAGATGTATATATATTTATATTTTTTTCATGTATAAAATACTGTATAAAAGCTGTACAATTTTTTAGAATGGGCCAATACATGTTTTTTTATGTTATTGTAAAAATTCATATTTTTGTATTGCATGTGACTACCATTCTGTACACGCAGTTTCTGTTTTCATCCATGGAAGACAATAAAATGAGGCTTGTCATGTAACAAAAGAGCAGACGCCGTTATTTCACTGTGGCAATGCAGTTATTGACTTCTTGGCAGTATGAGCCTACTGTATAATTGACGTACCTTACAATAACTTTTCTAGTCTCACTTCTAAAAAAGAAAGTTTGTACATTATATGAAACCAAATGTTGCAGATACATGTACTTCTACTGAGATTTCAGTTTTATATAAGCATATGTAAATATGAGTGAAATGTGTAAGAAGAGCTCCCACTTTTCAGGGCTGAGCACTCTGAGTGTCCTTAATAGTCCTGCTTGTGGATTTTCACCCCTGCAAACAGGAAAAACTAAAATAAAGAAGCAAGTTTTGTCAAAACTAAGTCAGTAATGAACCTTCAAGCTCATTGTAGTATGTATGTCATATATGTTTGTAGCAGCTGCGTAATGTTCAAAATCCCATTTTGCCTCTAGGTGGCATAAAGACCCAACAGAAAGTAACAGAAGTCATCTTCAGTCTTTATATTCTGAACTCACAGTGAGAGGCAGTGCTGTTTTTTGTTGCAGTTGTGCACATTTTACATTACGTTTTTTGTCTTTAGATTTTGTGAACTGTGTCCTCCCTTTCCTGTCCTGTCAGCTGTAATGTCTGAAGCCATGAATGAACTACAGGTAGTTCATAGTTGTCAGCTATTAAATTAATTGCCAGCTCTTTTGATAACTAATTCAATTTTTTTCTTAAGAAACAAATTATCTGATTTCAAATGTGAATATTTTCGGGTTCTTTTGTCCTCTGTGACAGTACTGAATATTTTGGGATTGTGGACAATCAATATATTTGAGGACATCACCTTGGGCTTTGGGAACCAGTCATCAACATTTTTCAGACATTTTATGGACCAAATGATTTGATTAATCGATAAAATGAGTGACAGATAAATTGATAATGAAAATATGTATTAGTCAGAGCCTGCTTGCATTCATATTGTTGAAATCTGGCTTGGATGTTTTATTAATCTACATTTTTCCATAGTTGTAATTTATAGCCCTAACAGAACAGTATGGACTGTTGGCTTAGGCAATGCTTCATAAGCTTCATTGAAAAAAAAAACGTATGCATTGTTTTCTCACATTTCTGCTTATGCAGCTTTTCATGATGGCTCTATCAAAAGTTTATAATATGAGGCCTTGGGTCTGTCAGTAAAATGATTAATTCTGCTTGTGTTCAGTCCTTGAAACCTGTTATCAGTAAGGATGCATCTGAAGTGTGGCTTTGAATAATAGGAATGATGGATGGATTTCTGTACACTGGTATCAATCCAATGGAAAAGAAAGGACCCTGTATCCTGGCTGATGATGCACTGCAACCAAAAGCTCTTTGACTCCGACTGGTACTGGATCACATGACCAGCATTTGGTGAGAGGAAACAATTTCCTCCACTGGGAGGCCAGAAACAGAATATTCTTTCTTCCCTGCCTGGCAATCAAAGCAAATAACAATTAGGCATTTGTTGTTTTTGTTACGTGCCATTACTAAAATCTGGACCTGATGATTTAACAGTGTTGAAAGACCTTCAGGAATATTGATATGTGCAGGACCAAGGTATATGCCTATGATCAAATTACATGTTTGTATCATGATTGTAATTCAAAGACACCATCACCCAATTATTTTTTGTACTTGTCTCAAACTACAACACATTCAAGTGTTCAAGGTTTCCTATAACAAGAATTCATTTGGAGGATTATTCACAAAAGCTCTCTGCTTTGAACTGCATTCTTCCAGCCACAATGTTAACATGGCCCAAACAGTAACATAATGGACCACTGACAGATTTGGGGACTAGACTGCACTATGCCTCTCATAAATTGTTAGAGATTACTGCCATTGTTTTCTGCCAGAGAGTAAATTCAACAGAATTCAACTCAACAAGATTTAATTGGATAGATATCTCTAAATCACACCATAACGTTTCCAAGAGTCACTGAAAAGAAACCAACGAAGTCATGTGCTGTGAATGGGGTTCCGCATTGGGATAATCTGGGAGCTAAATCTAAAGATAAGAGCAAGACTGTACTCTTATGGATTCAGTTCAGTTCCTCAGACTCTTAGGACTCACGTGGCTTAGCAAAACGTGCACGTGTCTACAAGGGATCAACTACATTAATAGTTTCAATCTGTTCTGGATGTGCAGGCATCATTTCAGGGCAGATGGCCTTCACACAAGCAGATATGGAGTTAAAGTACTGATGGACCATATCTGGTCAAGCATCAACCATTAATAGGCCAGGCCCAGGATCATGCACCCTAACACACAGCAGCCTTGGCACCAGAAAGACAAAACACTGAAGCCTCAATGTCAGCTTGTTGACAACCAGCTCATGGATCAGTCTCCTAATTCCTCCTCCCGTCACTCTCTTCTCCCCTGCCTCACCCCTTGTGCGATTCACTGATAAAATGGAAGCACTGGTTAACACTGGCATTAAATTCACCCCCTGGTCATTGCCATGTCGTCTGTCTCCACCCAAACAAGCACATTCTGTAACACCAACCTTGCTGATAACAAGGACGACAAAAAGAAAGAACAGCTCTCTCCTGCCTGGGCTGATGAGACTGATAGGGCCTGCAAGGTGACCAAACATTTGTCTTATTAGTCTTCTCCCACTTCCCTTCTAACGGATATCTCGTACAAACTAAGATATGAGATTAAGGAACTTGATGTGATGTTAGTGGAAACTTCACTGCTGCATCTCAGATCACAGCCATTCATATCTGCCTGGCATCAATGCAAACAGGAGAGACGATGACAGTCTGTCTACAGCCCTGTCACAAAAAAATTAATTGGAAATTAATGCTTTTGACACTCTAAATTTAACTTTAAGTATTGATGATGATGAAAATGATTTAATTATCAAGCACAATCTCGTTTTTATGTTTAGAAACGTGATTATGCCAGGATAGCAGAAGTCAGCTTCTATCAACTTCCTTTTTTTTGAGTGAAGAAAGGGAGTAGGTTGGCCATTTTGTTTAATTCTCTGGCCACAGATGTGTTACTATAAATCTGCTTGTTTTGAATATGTTGCTCTTAAGTTGAACTTGTCTTGTCGAGCTGCATTCTCAAACATCTACAGGCCACCTAAATACAGTGCAAACATTTTTGATGACTTTGTTGAACTGCTGTCTAATATCTGCACTGACTTGGACTGTGCAGTTATTGTTGGTGATTTAACATTCATGGTGATAGCCCCCAGGACAGCAGCACTTAAGAACTGTATTGTATTCTGGATAACTATGGACTGACTCAGCATGTGACAGAGCCCACACATAATAACGGGGGCACTCTGGACTAAATGATCTCCAAGTGTCTTAACATTTCTAAGGTTGTGGTGGTGGCTCATTCCTGTGATCATTCCTATGTTCTCTTTGAGATGACTATGTCTTTGCACCCAAATGTTCAATCAGAATTAATCAGAAACCGCTGGAAACACTGAAAACTGAATTATTTATTCAGGCTTCCTCTTCCTCACTCGCCCTTGCCTGGGCCTCAGTCAAGGATCTTGTGGATATTTCAAGTTCTAAAATTACAGATGTTATTGATTCCATTGCTCCCACAAAGGTAAAGGTAGAAAAAAACACCATGGAGAAATACCACACTGGTAGAAAAATAAATAAAAGAGAGAGAGCTGAATGCAGTTGGTGAAAAACACATCTCCACCTGCATTGTGACATCTATAAAGAGAGTCTTCGCCTTTTTAATTTAGAACTGAGAAATGCTTGGCGGTCCATCTGTGACATCAAAAGCAATAATAATGCATGGGCCTTATTCGCTTCTGACAACAAGCTGACAAACCCTCATGTGTCACAAACCCCTGAACTTTTATCCACTAAGTCATGTAATGAATTTCCTTCCTTCTTCACTGACAAAATTCCTAAAATTAAACAAGCTGTCAATTCCTCCATATTAGGTATAGGATCTGTATTGGCCTGTGTCAACCTGAAACCAATTTGATTACCATGACACAATTGAAGCCTATGAATTATACAATCTTGGAAAAAATTGTGCAACATCTGACATTCCTCTCCTGCTGCGTTGATATTCTGCCTTCAGGCTTTTTCAAAAAATGCATTTAACTGCATGGTATCAGATCAATAGTCAACACTTCTCTACTCTCAGGCTATTTCCCACAGTAACTGAAAACTTCAGTTATTCAGCTCTTAAAATATAATAATCTGGATAACTCACTAATGAACAATTACGATTCCATATAAAACTTCCACTTTTAATCATTGAAAAGCCTGTTTTTCAACCCCCTCTTGGTTTTTCCAGACAGGATTTTTTACAACAACACAGCACTGAGATATTAGGCATGCTAGACCACAACCAAAATACTATACTACATACTAGTCAGACTGGAAAAGTGGGTTGGACTTTCTGGTTTAGTGCTGAACTGGTTTAAATGACAGAGACTACTTTGTGTCGATCAGTAATTACACATCTCAGTGTGCAAAAACTCTCACTAGTGCAGAAAATGAATTATTTTAATTGTTTAATAATTTAATTATTTAAACTAATAATTTTGTGTGTCATTATGCATATACGACACACAGATTTATGGAACACTGAAAAAAGTCAATGAGTGCATGGTACCAAAATTTCCTCCAGTTAAACAAAGATAAAACAGAAATAATTGTCTTTTGACCATAGAAGAATGATTAAAAGTCACCTCCAATCACTAACATTAAAGACAAGAAATCTTGATGTCGTCATGGAATTTTAACATCAACATTAAGACAATTACAAAATCAGCCCATAAGAATATAATATATTTAATATATTTCATAAGGGACCTGTCCATGGATTTATGTTTATTAGGCTTGACCATTGTAATGCTGTCTTTACAGTTGTCTAAAGTTGATCAAACTAGATTAGTTGCTAGAGTCCTCACAAAGACCAGGATAATAGATCACAACACTCCAGTTCTCAGATCTTTACATGTCTTATTTGACATTTTTAAAATACCACAATTGATTTACAAAGAACACAATT